ATCGCATCGAGCGAGGAAAAACTGGTGCAAATGAAACAAGTTATCTAATTGCAGTGGCTCAAAGAAGTGTGGCAAGTGGCGAGTTGACTTTTGTTTTCTATTCGGAGCAGGCCTCTCCATCCACTACTCCCCTAGAGCAACTTCTCCTTTACCCTCGATAGCCGCCTTCATTTACCAACGTGTTGTGCATACGAAATTGTTGGCCAATACCAACACATACTCACTCACTCACACTCTAAACAGGCTCTGCATTGGCCTCTTGGCGTTTTTAATCGCACCAAATTTCAATTTGAATTTCACTTTCTTTTTCGATACGCTCACTTGGGTTTTTGCCTTTCGAACTTTTGTTTGTTGTCTTTGCCTCTGAGAGTTGTTTTTTTTTCTGTTTCGCTGTTCGCTATTGTATTTCATTTCGTTTCTTTTTGTTTTCAAATGCAGCAAAGCAGCGACCATGAAATCTTTTTTGGATAGAAAGGGCTTTCTAGTGGCGCCCGAGGAGGGAATCAAGAAGTAAAAAAAAAAACAAGGGAAAGGTTTTCGGTGGGAGAGGAGTTAGAAGGGGAGGCAATAGGCCGACACGACATGGCGTGACATCGGGCTGCGAGGCGAATATTGAACCATCGAATGGCAACTCTGAGCTGAGTTTACCGTGTCAGGAGAGAGTAAACATAATTGATATGCATCCATTAAGCAGTAAATAATCTTGATTGGGTGACGGTGGAAATTTATGACTGATCGGCTCAGTGGATTAATGAAAGGATACAACTCTAATAACGATGTATCCTAACTCTGTAAATTAAACTTTTTCTATCTACAATGTCTATTAAGATCTTGTTATTATTATTACAAATGGTCTTATTGGGAGCACTTTGAATTAACATCTCTGACAGCTGAAAACTCACAAAAGAACCTGCCAAAAAGTAGAGCACCAAGCAAACATCTTTCAATTACCATTTCAGCCATGGGAACCGGTTTACGTTTTCACTTTTATTTCGGTAATGAGAATTATCTTGCTAAGTTTGCCGTTTAACTAGATAGATAGAGTTTAGTGTGAAATGGAAATTATATAACCAGAGAAAAGAAATTTGTAATATTTAATTTTGTATCCTATATTATGGTTAATAGATGTTAAGAAGTCAAACTTTCCACCTACATATATTCACCATTCCCCTTCTTACCAGCTCCCTAAAAAATATGGCACGCTTCGCCGGTTGAACAAATTTGTTTTTCAAATTTCGTTGATCGCTTTGTTTTCCAAAGTGTTTTCGATGTGTGTGCCTTTTGTTACACCTGTCCATGGGGTAATCACTCACAAATTCGGTGAAATTATTTACCAAGCGTCCCACTCATCGGTTGGGAGTGGATGCGTAGGTGTACGCAGTGGGTAAAAGTTTCGTAACTAAACCCCTTTAACCCACCGATGACTACGATGATTATGATTATGATGATGATGAGGAGCCCCACTTCACTTGAGGATGCCACCACATTTGCTCATAACAATTGGCATTGAGTTTGCTGTCAGAGTCTTTTGTTTGGCATTTTGTAATTCAACAATTTTAGTTAATACTTACGCTTCAAACACAACGATCGTTCAAAAATACACGTTACGTTGCCATTTTTTTTTTTTTTTCAAACCTTTCTCATTTCGGTGACTCATTTGCGTCTTCTGTAATTTTCGTTGTGCCATTTCAATTAAATAACCATTTGCATAATTAAAGAGCCAACGAGAGTGCTGGGTCCTAAAAACGAATTGTACAATTAAAATGCAATCAAAGCAGTGTTAATGTAGTCATTAAAGGCTGTCAGCAAAAATACAAAAAAAAAAAGGGAAAAACACATGCACAACTGGAAAAAAAAGAAACAAAACAAGGCGAAGACAGCAACAAAATTATGAACAAAAAAATCACCAAATTTATTAAAAAGTTTTTTTTTTTTTTTTTTTTTTGATATAACAATATTAATATTTATTAAACGTCAATCAGCCAACTTAATGGCTATAATACGTTGAGTACTACATAGAACAAAATAACATAAATACCTAACAGGAAGGAAATTAACAAATTTTTATAACTAGATAACTAGAGATCAATGCTAAATGCTAATGCTAAATTTACTGCTTTAGGACTCGAGAAATTTGGCGTCCTCTTTGTCCAGAGATCGGCTGGATGCCTTCGCTTTAAACGTCTTCTTATAGTAGTGAGAGCTAGTGAGGAGGCTAGGTGGTTTGTGTGAGCTGTGAGACCATTTTTTTAACCTCCTAGGGTGCTTTTTTTTTTTTTTCTAAAGAGAAAGAGGGGGGGTTTTTTTATATTGTTTTTTTTTTGTAAAAAAGGAAACATTAAATAAAAAAAATAAAAGGTTTGTTTTTTTTTTTTGAATTTTCATGACGTTAGAATCCGAAGCCAAGCCTCATAGTTGGATGCAGTACATCATCGAGGGCACCACAATTGATTTGTACAGTAGCACTTTGTTAGCTAGGCTTAGCTTGCTCGTTGGCTTAAGCAACCAGTAGAGTTTCCTAAGCTTGGAACGACAAGTAGCTGCTATTTTCGAAGTATGCTGCCTCCACGTGAGGCGCTTATCTAAAATGAGGCCCAGGTACTGCGCCTGTGATGATTGCGGAATGATGTCGTCGTGAAGTTTGACCTCCGGAAGGGACTGCACTCTCCAAGCGAAACAGCAGTGTTGTGATTTCCTTCCATTAATCGCTATGTTCCACCTGTTGGTCCACTTGCCGTATGTGTCCAGAAATTCCTGGGTGATTCTTGATGCCTCGATACGGCAAGAGGAGTTGACTAGGAACGCCGTGTCATCGGCGTAGGTGGCCAGAAGTGTGTTTGGTTCATTCGGACAAGGCAGGTCAGAAGTGAACAGAGTATACAGCACGGGACCCAGGACACTCCCCTGTGGAACCCCAGCACGAGCAGATCTTATGCTTGACTCACTCCTCTTACTTCAACCATAAAACTTCTGACCAAGTAAATATGATTTAAGTAAGAGGAATTGGGCAGTCGGGAGAAGAGATTTCAGCTTATACAGCAGGCCATCATGCCACACGCGATCAAAGGCTTCCTTAACGTCGAGGAAGATAGCAGAGCTGTATTGTTTGTTTTCAAAGGCATTCAGAATATGGTGCACAACTCGATGGACTTGCTCAGGAGTCCCATGTTGCTTCCTAAAACCAAACTGGTGGTCGGGAATGGCGTCTCTGTATGGTTCTTACTCCCATAATTCTACTAAGGAATATTCTCTCGAATATTTTAGAGAACGTAGGTAGTAAGCTTATCGGCCTGTATGATCCAACAAGGTTCTCCGGTTTTCCTGGCTTTGGAATCATCGTTATCACGGCACACTTCCATTGGGACGGGAAGTGGTGGATACGTAACATCGAGTTGAAAATGAGAACAAGAAACAGGACTCCCTTTTTAGGGAGAGCCTTAGCAACCCTGCTATCAATGCCATCAAATCCTGGCGCCTTGCTGGAGCGTAGCTTTTGAATATGGAGGCAAACCTCTTTTGGACTTATGTGCTTTATGGGGAGTGCATCCGAGCAGGAGAGTTGAGAAAGGCCCGAGTGTCAGCGACATCCTCCGAGCTCGCAAGGTTGAATGGCTGAAAGCGTTGCTCTAGTTCTTCGGCAAAAGCTAATGAGATCTCTGAGTCTGATTTGCACCATGTACCGTCTGTTTTCTTAATTGGGATCTTCCTAAGAGGCTGCCTTTTTAATTTCCTTGTAGCTTTCCAGAGATTGAAGCCGTAAGGTTTGCTGGGGTCCGCATTGAGAAGCATTTCCTCAAAGAACTCACGCTTGGTTATACGCAGGAGTTTTTTAAGCTCGTCTTCAGTACGTCGATATGCTCTTTTGTCGACTGGATCTTGGGACCTCTTATTAAAAAAAGTGAAAGTTTTTAGTCGGCGTCGCCTCGCCGTTTGCAACAAAATTACCGGAGGGAAAAAGAAATGCAAAAACAATCAACGAGTCTGCGAAACAAAGCAAAACAAATCGCTAAAAGCCCCGCTACCGCTTCATTTTAAGAGCGGAGAGAGAGAGAGAAGAGAGGAGAGCGAGTCCATAACCAAATCACTGGCTATCGGGAGCGATTAGGTTCCACATTCCCAACTTGCCGCACTGAGTTTGTTCGATTCAATGTTGTGGCTCCCATTGCTCCGGCGAGATGTTGTAAGAAACAGCCCAGCCACGGCAACCAATTCGAGGAACGGCGGGGCGGGTGTGGCTCGCAAGATCTTCCACCCGCACCACCAGCTTAATCCGTATCATAATCATCATCAGCAGCAGCAGCAGCATCATCAACAGCAACAATCATACCGCACGTTTTACACCCATCTGCCGCAAATGCCGCAATACGCCTATGTACCACCAACACCGATCTATCAACCCCTTAGCTGGAGGAATCCCACATGTACTAGTACCAGTAGGCCCTTGCCCAGTGCTCCTCCATCACTCAGTAAGTGGTTCCCGCAGCTTCAGGGTACTTCTTGGGGTACCAAAATGGTACCAATATCCTTAAGTGGGTATAAAGATGTCTTAACAACAAAATAAAACCACATTATTATACTTAAGGAAAGTTTAAATAGTAATAGCTACCAATATCTTTAAACACCCATTACTGCTGCACCTTAGTGTTGTATGCAAAAACCAAGGCACCGCACCACCTGACTTGAGTGGTGGTGTTGCCGCTTTTGCGATGCGATGGGGCAACCAAAAGACGGAAGCAATTTTATTGCTTGTGCATGTCACTTTCACCGCTTGCAATCTTTGCCAGGGCAAAGTGAGGGGAAGTGGTTGTGGAAGAACGTGGACGAAACCACAGCACAGCACAGTGTGCCAGTGGAGTAGAGGCGATACGGATAGCGGTCGTGTCGTCTGGTGGGTACTTTTATATGCGGGTGCTAATTTCATAATCTCTTGCAACTTGGCATTTTCACTCGCCCAACTAACCGTACATCCGTGTGTGTCTTTTTTCTTTTTCTCTTTGCAGTTACCGTCAATCCACCGCCCCAGAGGCCCTGGCTGCCATTGGCCAAGCCCAACAAAACGCGACCAGCCTGTAAGTTGTAATTAAAGCTTAATAGCTGCCAGTTAGCCAACAAGAATTTTCTATTACAAAGCCATTTGTAGTTACCCTAGATAGCCAAGCAAGCCGCTCTTATTTCACTTCCATCATCGATAAGTACTTATTTTTTAAAGCTTTAAACATGAAAACCAAATCAATAACTAACAAAGTTAGATCTTTAGTTTAATGAACGGCTTGTAAGGCTTTTTAGTATGCCCTACTTAATTTTAATTAATTAAACAATTGTCCTAATTTTTAGGCATTTTTACGGTTATGTGCTATAATGTCCTCTGCGACAAATACGCGACAAGGCAAATGTACGGATATTGTCCATCTTGGGCGCTCTGCTGGGAGTACCGGAAAAAGTCGATCATAGATGAGATCCGGCATTATGCAGCGGATATCATTAGTCTGCAGGAGATCGAGACGGAACAGTTTTACCACTTCTTCCTGCCAGAGCTCAAGAACGATGGCTATGAAGGGATCTTTTCACCAAAGTCGCGAGCCAAGACAATGTCCGAGGTGGAGCGGAAGTATGTCGATGGTTGTGCGATATTCTTTAGAGCGTCCAAGTGAGTACTAGAGATAAGACCTTTTGCCTGGATAGGAAACTAATGCAAGGATTTCATCTTACAGATTTACGTTGATCAAAGAGTCGCTGATAGAGTTCAACCAACTCGCAATGGCCAATGCCGAGGGCTCAGACAACATGCTGAACCGCGTGATGCCCAAGGACAACATCGGTCTGGCCGCCCTGCTCAAGGTGAAGGAGAACGCCTGGGAGCCAATGTCTGAGGTAACGCAGATCTCGCAGCCACTGCTCGTCTGTACGGCGCACATACACTGGGACCCTGAGTTCTGCGACGTTAAGCTCATCCAAACGATGATGCTAAGCAACGAGTTGAAGACCATCATCGACGAGGCAAGCCACAGCTTCCGGCCGGGCCACAAGAACGACTCAAATGCCGTACAGCTGTTGCTGTGCGGAGACTTCAACTCACTGCCCGATTCGGGCGTGGTGGAGTTCCTGGGCAAGGGTCGGGTCTCTATGGACCATTTGGACTTTAAGGATATGGGCTACAAGTCATGTCTGCAGCGGTTGCTCTCGAACGACACCAACGAGTTTACCCACTCGTTTAAGCTGGCCTCTGCCTACAACGAGGACATCATGCCGCACACCAACTACACGTTTGACTTTAAGGGCATCATCGACTACATATTCTACACGAAGACAGGCATGGTACCACTGGGCCTGCTGGGTCCCGTCTCTAATGACTGGCTGCGCGAGAACAAGGTGGTTGGATGCCCCCATCCGCACATACCCTCCGATCATTTCCCACTGCTTGTGGAGCTGGAACTTATGCATACGGCAAGCCAACAGGCGCCTCCCAACGGGCTAATAAATCGCCGGTAGCAATAGAATCGACGCGGCAGACCCACCACCAGCAATAGCACTACTACCAGCACCACCCTGATGACGACGACGACGGCGCCGGCGGCCTCGCGCACGCCGGCTGCCAGCGGGGGAGGAAGCGGTAGTGGGAATGGGAGTGGGAGTGGCGGAGTAGCTGTAAGTGGAAGTGGTGGAGGTGGAGCACTAATGATCCCAGGCGGCTATAGGGGACGGAGCTGCAGCAATAGTGGATGCCATCGTCTGACTGCTGCTCTTGCAGCGGCGAGAAAAGCAGCCAATCCTCCGCCGCCAGGGGATAAGCCGGCCACCGCTTCGCATCCCGCTCCCACCTGACGTGGCGATCTGCTCGCATCAAAAATTCAGTTTTAGTTAGATACGACATTAATTTTGATTTCTAACCCCGGTCACCCAGCTCTTATACCAACAATCCCCCCCTCCCCCAAGAACCCTAAGTTATAAGCTGACGACGTTGTGGAGGTCTCGCCGCTTTGTGCGCTGGATCGCAAAGTGGGCTCACCGATGCAACACATTAACTAAGATCGTAATCGTAATAGGAAGGAATATAATTTACATGCTGCACTCCTCTTCTGCGCTTCTCGTTTTGATTTTATCAACTGCACGTTTTCACCATCGAATAAATTCATTATTTACAATATGCATATGTCAACTGTTAAATTTTTGCAAACGCCCCCACTTACATAGCAATAACTAAAACTAAACTAATTTCGTTTAACAAAATTATTAGCATCCGTTCGTAAGAAGTAACCAAAACCAATTATTCATTAAGTAAAAAGTAAATTACATTGTGTAAAAATTAAACGAAAAAAGAAATATGCAAAATTATCTGATCAAACCGTTTTCTAAATTGTGTTAGATCATTGCAAAAAAAATATATATCTACAGAGTTACAAGATACAACTTATGTGTATAGATACTATTTTGGCCAGAGAATTAATTGTACCGGAAATGATCCGGATGTGCAAAGTAAAATAGATCATTTAACTAGTTGATAAATGCAGCGCAAGTTCATGTAATGTATAACATTAGAATGCTTCGAGAATATATCGTTCGATGTTTATTTGAGTGCATTGGGTTAGGTCGAATTGTGTGTATGTTAAAGAATCAACAGAATAATCTTAGGGGCGGAACGTATTTCATAGAGATTTTTCCAACATTTTTCTTTTACGAAAAGAATTAACAATTTTTGTTTTCTTTGTAAGATCAAAGCTCAATGGATTACTTTCCGCTCCTTCGATTCGATAGTAATATAATATACCCACCCCATTGTGCATATTTAGACCTAAAGAGATCTTATATAAATATAAACTATGTGTACATATATGCATGCAGCGAAAACACAAAATAAATGTCGTAAAAAAGTATTTATAAGTTTCGAATGACCGAAAACACATCTTCCATGGAACTGTTTTAGCACACCAATTCCATGTCCGGTCTTCATTGTAAACTCCATTAAATGTCGAGCTATAGCATTAATAATTAATTATGTGAACTTATGACATTAACGAGGCGCACATCGGCAGGCAATCTTCAAATCACCGAAACCCCTCATCAATACGCATAAAAATAAAGTCAAAAGAGAATCAAATGTATTTACACATTTAATTATTAGTGGGAAAAATCTCGCCAACGGCGCAGTTATCTTCCAAACGCTTGGCAATGGGACACCAAAGCTTTGGGTAGGATTTCTTCAACATCTCTAGATTCCCAATGATGTACAGACCCCAACGGGCACGAGATAGGGCCACACACACCCGATTTTGAAGACGCAGAAATCCAATTTGGCCGGACGGATTGCTACGTACTAGCGAAAGCAGGACAATATTGGCCTCCAGGCCTTGGAAACTATCCACACTTGCCACCTTTACCCGATATTTTCGGGGAAGCTAAAAAAAAGGAAGTCATATTATAATTAAAATGCAAAATATTTTCTCTATTTACAAACCGCTTTCTTAATGCACTCTATTTGCGCATTGTAAGGTGAAAGTATCACAATATCACTATGCTCATATTTAGCCTTATTAATGAGAAACTCAGCTAAGTTTGCTAACATGTCAGCTTCGTAGGGATTCTCAAAGGACATGTCAGCGGCGCGCTGCTCTGGTTGGTCGTGTTGCACAAGAAACAAGTTTCTGTCCACAAGGCGGATGTCTTCGTATTCTTTTACAGAGTCTGAACACTGCAATTCATTATAAATGCTTGGCACCAGTAGCTTTGAAATGCAGGGACGCATGCGATACTGAAGATTAAGAAATGAGAAGGGCAAACCAGCCACGATAAGGCGTTCGAAAAGGGAGACTTGTGGCACTTTACTGCTGCCGGTGATCGGTTGAAGCTGCTTGTGATCACCGACGAGGATGACATGTTCCGTGTGCGGCGTAAGGCACGCCACGATGTGTGCCTCTTGAATTTCGGCTGCTTCCTCAAAGATAACGCACTTTGATTGCAGTAATCGGAACAGAAAGTTCAGGCGAGCCGCACACGTAGTGGTCATGGCGAGCAGATCCTTGTCCTTTGCCAGAAAGAACTGGAAAACCATACGAAGCGTGTCGATCCGCTCAGCCACTTGGTGCACTTGTTCTTGCGCTGCCAGAGTCTGCTGGTAGCTCTCTTCGCTGCCATCAAAGTTTGCGTACAGGGTTTGCAAGTTCTGAAACTTTTTCTTGTATTCACAGTTTACCAGCCACCAAATCCGCTTTAAGCGAGCTGGGACTAAATCCGGATTAATCATGGTTCTCACATTGAACTTGGCTATTTGTGGATTTCGGGTCTGACATCCGAAGCGAAGTATTTCTTCGGTGTATTGCGACACCTTCACGAGGAATTTGTCCAGCGAGTCGTTGGTATAGGTCAGCACAATGATTGGACCAGTGCCTAGAACTTTGGCGTTCTGGATCAAGCTTTTAACCAATTCGACTGAAAGGTGCGTTTTGCCCGTGCCTGGAGGTCCTTGAATTATGCTGAACTCTCTGCTATAGGCCTCCTTGAAAGCTTTCCTCTGACTCTCATTAAGAGGTAGATCTTCAGGCAGTTTGTCCATCGTAAACGTCTTGCCATTATGACTCAGATTTACTTTTGGTTCTCTATACGCCGGCAATGGTATCTCCAACTAAATAAATGATAGTTTGTACATTACCGTATTTGTTTTGTTACAATATGCTTACTTTTCCATCTATAATATAGCGACGCATGGGGAACTGATCCGCGCTGCAGGTACTAAGGTAGTTGTGAACCCTAAGATACGGTTCGAAAAACACAGGCGTCTGGAACATTATCAATGGTCGGTCGTAGATGCTTCCAATATTATATTGTTTGACAATCTGTACACTTAACTGTAAATATAAATAATATATTTAAAGTATTGGCATTAATAATAGTAAATGTATTACTAACACAACCCTCTTTAAGTTTTTCCGGCTCAGTGTAACCAACGGCGGCCAGAATAAGATCATCAAAGGCCAAACTCGTTGTAAGGCACAACAATGCTCCTGATTTTATGTCGGCCAACCCATTGTTGACTCCTTTGCTCGATTTTCCTTCATTGAATTTCACTTTAAGGAAAACTAGGCTGTGGCGCTGGGCCTCGGCAAACTGCGGATTTAAAGCTAAGTACGTATTATACCACAGAAGTCGCTGTTGTTCCAGATCTTTCAGATCTGATCCAACACGCAGTTGCTGCACAAACTCGTATAAGGGAACTGAAAAATCATCGCACAGTAATTTTCGCTGAGTGTTCAGGTATTGGACCACTTTATTGGATACAGGGAGTTCGTCCTCAGAGGATTCCGTTGTGTCTTTCTTGCCCAATAACTTGTCCAGCGTTGGATAGATTTGTCCCTTGACATGTTGTGAAACATTCCTGGTAAATACTTCCAGGCCATCAATCAAGTCGCTTTTAAAGGAAGCAGCCAGTTTTTTGTATAACTCAACCAATTCGTAACCCTGACCACCAAGTACTCCAAGCTTATGGGCTCGTAAAAGTAGCCACTTAATGTGAGTCAATATCAGTGCTGAATCGTCATCGCATTTACCCACAGAAGCCTTAGCCAGCAATAGATTTTTTATCTTGTCCAGAAGCACAGATTGTCGGCTAAAAGCCGACAGGAACTCTTCATCAAATCCGCCTAACTCAAGTTGACAGAGGGATTTCAAGATATCCACGAACAGGCCGACACGTTTAACACTATCATTGGCCAGCAATTGATTTACAAAAAGATCTCGCTCCTCAGACAAGAAGTACAGGAACATGTCAACGGGTGGCAGTTTTTGAGCCCTAGTTAAATCGGAAAGGGAAAATCGACCAGCTGCCTTACCGTCGCTTCCGGCATCCACAGAAGTGGCCTCCAAGTTGAGTTGCTTTAAGTAATGTCCTATGAAATTCATGAAACTAAATAGTAAAATTGTGTTAATACTTCGGTAAAATACGTACCCGCAGGAGGGGTGTATTTAATGTGCTCCTCATTTTTCTTAAATTCCAGGGACTTCACCTTTTTCTCCAGACCCTGCAACAATTTTTCCTCATCCTGATCGAACCAATCTTCATCGGAACTTGACATAGTGTTTCGTGCAAAATTGCGTCGCAGATAAAAAGCTAGCAAGGCAAAATAAAAACATAAAGTAAAAACTAGTTAAGAAGGAAAAGCAACCTACGGATAAAGCATATAATGACATAATCTATTAAATACAGATTCTGAAATATATTAATTAGAAGACTATATATCTATAAGATTTTCAGCAAAACAGTCTTAAACATACAAACTATTTCTTGTTTTCCATGCAAATGAATATTTACTGTACCTGTGTAAAAACGTGTCATTTTATGGACGAATGAATTTTTTAGGATCTGGGCACACTGAAGCTAGGGGAGTTGATTGTTGTGGCATAATTTCGCGTAATTATATTAGATATCGCGTTTCGGTTTATTTAGCATTATAATTATTTCCATCGCAACGACCTAAGTAATTTGTTTAAAATCTTACAATTAAACCACGTATGTATAAAGCTGGCTTATATCCCGTTGTTTACTTTCAAATCAGCGCGCGCAATTTACCCAAAGATAACTAAGCGCAATGGAGCGAAGTCGCCGGGGCAGGACTCGGCGGATGCCATCGCCTGGATCGGATAACGACAGTTCCATGGCAGGTCCAAGTAGCAAGAGGAGCAAACATTTTAACCAAACCGAATATGAGGCAGAACGGGAAGCCGAAAAAGAAGATTCGGAGAGTTTTGAAGAAGCGTCTACTTCGCAGTCTGCAAGATCTCAAGGCATGCGTGCATTCCAAAACGGTCAAAACATATCACAGCATGCTGGCACTTTTAATCTTACGGTAGGGCTTAGTAATATATACCATCACGTAAATATTTAAGTTATCCTTTCTTTATCTAGTCGGAGCTATCCATACCTACAGCATTTGACCGCTGTGGCAAAGTGATTTCCATGCGTCTTACCAACTTTATGTGTCACTCAAATCTATTTATGGAGTTTGGACCCAATATCAACTTCCTAGTGGGCAATAATGGCAGTGGCAAGAGTGCTGTGATCACCGCGTTGGCTCTGGGCCTGACTAGCAGCGCTAGAGCCACCAACAGAGCCAGCAGTATACAGAGTAAGTTCAATAAAAGTGTAAATCCTTTCCGAATTTTAACATATGTATGTATTTCAGAGCTTATAAAAAACGGCCAAGCAAGTGCCACCATAGCCATAACGCTTTCCAATACGGGATTGCGACCCTTCAAAGCGGACGTTTTTGGACCACATCTCACTGTTGTGCGTCAAATACGACAGTCCTCCTCAACCTACGATCTACAAGATGCTCGAGGCAAAAGCGTCTCTAAGAAAGTGTCCGAGATCAGACGCATGCTGCTCTGCTTTGGTATCAATGTGGAGAATCCCATTTTCGTGCTGAATCAGGAGGCGGCGCGTGAATTTCTGAAAGAGTAAAACAATCCTCACACCCTATTAAATAAGTGCCTTCTAAGCTTGTTTTGTTATTTGCAGATTGGAGCCAGCATCAAATTACAAACTGCTGATGAAAGCAACTCAACTGGATGTTTGTACTAGCAGCCTCACCGAGTGCCATGCACAGCGAGGCCATTTCACACAAGACCTGGAACAACTTGAAAAGGTGGAGTATAATTTATAATATTTCCTGTCTTAATATATATCTCTGAATTCAACAGAAACGTGATGTGGTTGCCAAACAAGTTGAAGCTGAAGAGGAAAAGCTGTCTATACTTAGGGATAAGGAAGTTGTCAAGGTATGTATAATAAATATATAAAATAATAATACCTAATACTTATACACTCTTTTTTTATTAAGGAAAAATTGGAACAGTGTAAAATCAAATTGGCATGGATGGCTGTCACGCATTACCAAAAAGAACTGGAAAACCTAGAACACTCGATTAAACTGATAGAAAACAAAAAGACCAAGCTAGAGCATACCACATCCAAAAAAGAGACTACGCAAGCTACTATGACACAACAGCTAAGGTGAGTCCAGTTAAAATCTTAAGATATATATTTAAATTGTATAAATAATCTTTTTGTTTAGCGCTTTTAAAGCTACAAAAAATCAAGCATTAGAAACCTACGCAGTTCAGGAGGAAAAACTGAGATCAGCAAAGCGGGCAGTACAGGATCTGCATTTAAAAGTCAGCAATGTTAAAGCTCAGATCGTGAACTCCGAACGACGTTTGCGAGAAGATCAACACGCTTATGATGAATGTGAGAAACTTATTGAAAACTACCACGCCGACTTCAATCGGGTGAAAGATCAGCGTGAGCAGCACGTCAATAAGATGGAGGCGTTGAAGAAGCAGGTAGCTGACAGCGAAGATATCATCACCAAGTTGCGGGAAGAGCAGCAACTAATTAAGCGGGAACTAAACGCAGTTCAAGAGAGGGTAGATGCTATAAAAAATGACAGATTACAACTGCATAAATCAAAGCGTGAGTTATTCATCTTTTTGTCTTATATCGTTCCTTATATCTTGAGTTTTTACAGAGAAAATCAGTTATGAAATTGAGGCGCTTTCTCGCAATAAATCGAATAAACTGTCCGTCTACGGTGAGCAAGCGATACAGGTTGTGCATGCCTTACGAACTCAATATGCCGGCTCCAATATGCACAGGATGCCACGAGGACCTCTGGGCCAGTATATTAGTGCTCCCAAGCCAGAGTACAGGGATCTGGTCGAGAGCCAACTCATGTCCTGCCTACGTTCCTTTATCGTTAGCTCAGATAGTGAACGTCAGTCGTTGCGTATGTTGTTGCAGAACAAGTTCGCCGGCGGTACTATGCCCACCATTATCACAAGTCCCTTTACGGATCGCGTTTACGATGTCTCCAGGAACAAGGTGCGACCAACCACGCAGAATACCACAGTTCTCATCGATGAAATTAGGTATGCTTAAAAGTGTAATTAGTTCATGTATCGCTTTGCTTATTTTAAAAACATCTTGTATTTCTAGCTGCGATGATCCAGTGGTAATGAACTACCTCATTGATATGCTACGAATTGAAACGGTTCTGGTAACGGAGTCCAAGGAGACTGCTGAGTTCCTCACATCCGACACTGAGAATGTGCCGCCCAATCTGACGCGAGTTCTGGTTCCCAGCCTAGGATTGGAGTACATACCATCGCCCAATTATGCAGTCTATTCGACTAAAATAAATCCTGCGAGATATATTCATATAAATGTTGACGATCGCATCCGCCAACTGCATATGGAGCAAAGTGATCTTGAGGAAAAAGAAGCTTCTTTGGAGAGAGACTACATGCAACATAGAAAGGTACTGGAAAATAGCCATCAAGAGATAACAAAGAAAAGCGCCCTGATTGGTCAGCATCAATCAAGAAATCAGCGGGCAATGCAGCAAATAATGGAGTTACAAAACTTTGATTACCAAGAGCTGCCCGAATATGATCGTTTGGTAGGTTCAAGTTCTAATATTCTAACTGTCATATGGTATTGTATTGTATTATTTTTATAGAAATCTCATTTAGCCGACAGTGGCGAAAAAATTGAAAAATGCAAAGAGGAACGAGAAATGCTGCAGAAAAAACTTAAAGTTATACAAGAAAAGAAGGAGTCATTAGAGGCAGTTGAAGCCGAAGAAAAGAGAGCTCTTGAAGGTATTCAAGAAAAGCTTTCCACACTCGACACCGAGGCTCGCGAAGTGGAAAGCAAGATCCGTAGTCTTGATCTTCACTATGAAGAAAATACAAAAAATTTGCAGAAAACAATGGAGCTCGAAAGGAAAATGCTCAGCGAGAAGGCGACCGTGCTGAGTGATTTGGAGAAGGCTCGAAGCGATGCCGAGAAATTGGGAGAGTTTGTAGCCACGACGCAGTCAGAGGAACAAATTCGCGAATCGATTAGTCGCTACAAGTCGAAAATCAAGCAGGTGGAGCAGTTAAACTACAATCCCGAAGAGTTAGAGAGAGCTTTGGTAGATCTGCGAAACGACCTGGGTCTTCAAGCTCGGCACTTGGCTGTGGTCGAATCCGTGATCAAGAAGCTACGCATGGCGTACCATCAAAGGGCGCAGCTTTTCCAGAGATCGCGCCATCATTACTTCACAATGGTTCAGTTTCAGTTTGAGGTAACTTAAATTATAGTAGAATTATGTTATTACCTTAAAAACTGTAATCCTTAATAATTTACAGCAAGCACTGGCTATGCGAAAGTTTAAAGTTAGTTTTGAGACGAGCGATAGGGAGAAGACGTGGAAGATCAACGTTTTTCCACCCAGTGGAAATGAAACATCTAACACGAGGAGCTTGTCAGGTGGTGAACGTTCATTCACCACAGTTTCTTTGCTAAAAGGACTTTGGAGCACTTCAGATCATCCTTTCTATTTTCTGGACGAATACGATGTGTTTACGGTAAAATTGCCTAATGTGAGTCATTTATGTTGATGTTCTAAAAAATATAAATATTTTCAGGACGAAGTAAACCGCAAGTTTATTACGGAAATCCTCATCGGCGAGGGTTTGGAGTGGTTGTCTCGTCAGTATTGTTTTCTTACGCCCCAGGATACCAAGGTCGAGGCTAGCAATCACATTACAGTGCACAAGTATGATTGTAATTTTTTGATTTAAATACCTTTTTATATTTCATTTTTTTCTGGCCAGATTGGAGGCTCCCGACCGGTAAAGCCGTAAACAAATATATATACTAGGAAGTTGCAGGACGACGAAGCATCAGTATCAACTATTTTTAAAGTTAAGGAACAAAAATTAAATATTTATCTGTACGTAGGATTAAGGACTACAATTTATTGTTAAATTAGTTTAAACGTTAAAATGTAATTCGTAAGTTTAAAAAAATATAAAGAAAAAAGAATAAACGCTATAGTTGGATCCCGCGACTATAAGATACCAGTTACTGTTTTACACAATTTTAAAATATTTATTTTGTGTAGTGGAAATTCACAAGCGCCACCTTTTTTCAGAAAAAGCATGCAGTGACATCTCTAAATCTCGTATTATAACTTTCCAGTTCTTATATTTCCCGTGATTTTCATTAATTTTAGGTTTTCCGGGTTTTTTGGGCGTTAAAGTGGGCGTGGATTTTCTACAAAAAGCTAAAACCATCTTTCGAGCATGGTGAGCGTAAGAGTGGGTGTGGCGTGATAATGGTACAACCATAAGATGCAATGGCATCTCAAGACATCTCGTACATATGTACCTAATCTCAACTTTCTAGCTCTAATAGTTCCTGAGATTTCAGCGATTTTAATTTTTCGCGATTTGTGGGCGTTAGAGTGGGCGTGGCAGGATGCTGTAATAAACTTGCGCTGCGTAGGGACAAGAATCTTCATGCTTAATCGCAACTTGCTATCTTTTATAGTTCCTGAGATCTCAAAGTTCATACGGACAGACGTACAGACGGACATGGCTTAATCGACTTCGCTATTGATACTGATCAAGAATATACATACATATATATACTTTATAGGGTCGGAAACGCTTGGTTATATAACATAACATTATAACATACATGTCACTTTACGAGAACCGGGAATAAAAACAAAACATAAATGCTTAAGAAATAAAAATTCGAATTAGTAACACACTTTTTTTCGATGTGGCAACCTCGGCACGTACAAGCTGGCAACACTTCCGGGAGTCATCAAGCAATTTGACCGTGCACTAACCATCAGCTGTCAGTAACCTCAACGCGGCGGCAACAAATTTGTCTTATTTATTTGTTAAACTTACAAAGTTTGCACAATGAGCCGCAATTACAAGGAAGACCAGACGAACGAGGTCGAGGCGCTGGACTCTATATACTGTGGGGAAATGGAAAGTAAGTAGGAGCATAACATTTCCCTAGAAGTCAAGCTCAAAAAGCGGCTTTACAGTTCTCGCCACGGAGCCACACCACAAATTCCAGATTCCCATTGCCACGGAGGAGTACAATGCAGAGGAGCCAGAGAACGGGCTGTCCTGCAAACTGGTCTTCACATACACAGCCACATATCCGGATGGAGCGCCCGTTGTGGAAATCGAGGAACCGGAAAACTTTGAGGACTCTTTCGAAACGGGCCTTCTGGAACATCTGCAGAAGACAATAGAGGAGAACCTTGGCATGGAGATGATCTTCTCGCTGGTAAGCAGTGCCCAGGAGTGGCTGAACGAGCGGTGGGACGAGCACAAATTCCATCAGGAGGAAATGCGTGAACAGAAGCTGAGGGAAGTTGAGGAAGAGGAGCGCAAAAAATTCGAGGGTACTCGGGTAACGGTGGAATCATTCCTTACTTGGAAACTTGATTTCGAGGAGAGCACCGGCATTGCTGCTAAGCGGGAAAAGAACAATGTGTCTAAGAAACAGACTGGACGTGAACTCTTCATGTTAGACACCACACTCAACGATTCGGATATTAAGTTCCTTCTGGAGGCGGGCGAAAACATTGAAAACGTCAAAATCGATGAGGCTTTGTTTCAGGACCTCGGCGAGTTGGATTTGGATGATGACGATGATGAGGATTGGGTGCCTGGAGCGGACGACGATGATGATTAAGTGGCTCTAAAGTGAAATGAATAGTTCTCCAAGGCATGTTCGTGTATTGTATATAACATTAAATGCCAACTCGTTTATTAATCTAAGTTATTTTGGTTCTGCAAGCTCATCTCAGACAGGCGGTAACTGGTCTCCGATTTGATGTCGTCCAAGTCGAAGAACTCTTCGTCGCTGTCCTCCTCCTTTGACTTTTCTTCTGCCTGACTCTTTTTGGCTGCTGGCAGTTTCTTATTGGGAAAATTCAGGTTCGACCAAGAGCCGGGCTCCAGTTTGGGTAGAGTAATCTCCACTTTTGTGCCGTACATATGCGCACTGGCCTTGCTCACGTCGACAATCTGTAAAAAAAAAAGGTTAGCTAAAAATCCCAGTCACATTTTAGGACATACTCCGCGCAATTCCAGATCCAAGTCAAACCTGGCGTTGTCCTGCTCGGGAAAGATTAGGTTGACGTGCAGCCTGATTGGATTAAGCTCAACCAGACTCTGGCTGTAGTCATATTTTTTGGCATAAATGGCCACTACTACATTGGTGGCCGTCTGGTGCCAATCATAGCGGCATTGCACAACCTTTTTGTCCTCATTCTGGAAGTGCAAATCGAAAAATAAGTTTGGTTTTTCATAGAACTTCTTCCTAACTACCCACCTCCTTCACCCATTTATGCTGCCCATAGGCACATCCCTTCTGCGCCATGAACTGTGCAAAGTCCGAGGTTCGTTTCTGGCAACATGACCAAAACTTGAGGCCTTCATGGAAGATGGGCACTCCTGGATGGTAGGTGCACTCGCCGAAATCGCTGCTAGTGGCCGCGAACGAGTATGAGCAGCCGTTGTTCTTACAACTGGTGCCCACCTCGATGGTGTCGCTGGATTTCTCCGATACTGGAGTTTTGGCGGTAAAAACGATCTCTTTCAAAGCGGGTGCCACCGTGGGTAGCAGAACAGTCAGCGGTGATTCAATGGGTGGTCGAGGTAGAGCTTCTCGGATTGGAGCGCGTACCTCGATGACCTCGTCCTTGTCCGACTCATCCTTGACTGGTTTCTCTGGCTCTGGAGGCTTGACATTGTTGTGTTTTGCTAAAGTGCAGCCCTTGATGTTAAGGAACTCGGTAAAATCCACTGACTTCTTGTTGCAGCAGGCCCAACCTTTGTAAGCGTCATGGAAAAAGGGTTCTCCCGGATGGTGCCGGCAAGATTCTAGGCGGAATTAGCGGGGGGTCAAACTTGTATCACACATGTGCTTTGATAAAACCGTTGACAGCTTACCATCGTTGTTGGTCGTCGGATCAAATAGCTGGCCACAGCCTCTGTTATAGCATTGCTGCATGTTAACTGTGTTTGGGGTAGCTTAAAGTAGAAAAAATTCGCTTAAAATCTAGAATATTCGCAGTGTATGGGACAATGTGACCAGACTAGAAGGCTCTAATTTGTTAAACTGACAAGGTGTTGGTAATTGAACATTGGTATGAAGCGGTCACACTAGAAATGTAACCGCGATAATTTAAAATTATAGAAATACTAATGAATTCGAAATAGTTTTACTTTAAATGCTGAAGCGGGGAAAAGTTTTACGGATATATTTGGAGATATTTATTCGTTCTAAGGAGGTGAAACCTTTGATTTATTTATCGAGCAAAATTATTGCTTTCTTAATTTCCTGATCTAGCATTCCATTTATTTGATTTAAATCTGTGATTGTTAGAACATTAAAAGCCATGATATAAATGTAATCTGTGACTGCCAGTGCCTTGGAGTATGTGACAAATAGCAGCTTTTCGACCACCACTAATCGCTGGTTGGTTTGGAAAGGCCAGCAGTCGCAAATGCAGAGCAATTAAAAGTGATAGTAAATTTGGAATTATGTTAATTACTGCCACTGTTCGGCAGGCCATTGCCAGTCTTTATAGAATTTGCTAATTGCAAGACGGAATTGAACTAAAAACCATTATTCGCAAAAATCACTTGAAGGTCACCGCTGCTTTGGCTACGTGATTTTTGCACGGAACTGGCTAAACGACACTTTGAAATTAGATCAAAGAATGGGCGGGCACCGGGAGTCTTTGTCTTGGGTAACTTTTAACTGGTTCCCGGGGGCCCCAGGTAATGTCTCCGCCTTGCATGATTGTTTATTTGTCACACTCAGTCATATACACACGTTTTCACGGTTTCATTTTCATTTATTGCCCGCGGTGTCAGAGCATTAAATGAACTTGCACACGGCAAGAAAAGCTGTAACTGGTTCAAAATTAAATGAAATGTTTATAAGTAAGTCAATATGGAAAACGCCATACGAAACGCCATACCATTTAAAGCTTCTTTCTACTTCCTAGTCAAACTGCATTTAAACTTTGAAAAGAAAAATGTTAATCATTTTTCACAAAAAATTTATGTTACCCCTTATCGAAAATGCGAAAATTGGTTATCTCAGATTTTCTCCTCAAAGTCTCATTATTATGTCCATAACTAGGCCAATAATGCTCCAAATATACCATAGAATGTTATACCTCGATGAGCTTGCTTTTCTAATTCGACACATTTCTGCATTTAAGGTACCAAAAGTAAATATTTTTCACAAAAAAAAATTATGTTACCCCGAAAATTTTTCAAAAATATTTGAATCATCAGAAAGTTTACTTAAGACCTAAAAATTGCGTTTCTATTTCATTTTTTACTGTGCTCTCTTTCAAATTGTCGTTTCGCTGGAAATTCTTGTGGTCAACAAGGTTATCAACACGCCTGGCCTGGCCTGGCGCTGTTCCTGTGCCGCACTTCAAATAAAAATAAAATTATGACAAAGTCAGCGTTTTCCGCAGCTCCACAGGCACATTCGGCTGTTGGCTGCGGCTGTGAATCATGCCATTGCTAATGATCCGTTGCCCATTGTTGTGAAACCGAACGAGAATTGTGGACTTTTTTCTGGTGCGAGGCAGTGCGGCTTTTGGCTTTTGACAATTGCAGAAATACAAGTAAATAAATAAATAAATATAACGGGCGGCGAGTGGTCGCAACATCGCCAGTGTCACTGGAAATTAACACCGCCCGTTTTGACTTTGGCTCCAGCTTTTGTGTTTTGCCCCGGCCGCCGGGGCGTATACGTAGTTTAGCATACAATGGCAACAGCAGTAGCAGCAGGCAACAGCAAACATGCAATTGTGGCGCTGGCTGTCATGTCATATTGCACAGATTTCCCGCAATGGCAAAAACATTCGCAGCATTCCAGAGCCACTGACGATGCCCAAGACGTGCGTGCTCCGATTGCCCAGTTACCATTGCCAATACTTAGCCTACTTGTCCTTATCGTCGATTGCCGATTGGCTGCCAATTTCAAAGCTGAAAAACTGAAGATGGATTTTGCAATTAGGCCGCCGCAATGCAAATGATTTGAGCTCTGCACGCTCTCAAGTTCGTTTCTCAAGTCTTTTGTTTGCCAATCAAAATTGGGGCAAAATTGGGGGATGTCTTGTTAGCTTCTACCATAATTTAATACCATTATAATGAGATTTTGGATATACTTACTTTTGAGAGTGTGAAAACTTTGAATACATTACCCACTTTTTTTCCGAACAGAAATTATTCTAAAATATTCTAAATATGAAATTAGATTTTTATTTTAAGGTATCACTTAACAAATCAAAGTTAGAGATCCAGTTGAACTAGTTTGTACAGAACATGATCCTCATTTAAGTTAAAAACACTTTTCCTATTTATTTGTTAATAAGAGTTAACACATTTATTTACAAGAAAATTGTTTCTAGTCTCCAGCTCTTGCTCCTAGTTCTCCGGCTGCAGTCAGTGCATCCTGCGGCTTTTCGACCACTGACCACTCAACATGACTTGGGTTTTCGACTTTGGCCACAGCTCCAGCCGTCTTAGAAGTATCTAAATCTCGTAGTATACGGACTTCCGAAGAAGTTATATGTCGCATAGGCGGTGTCGGGGGTCTGGAATGTGGTGCTAAAGAACGTTGACGGATCCCCCGCCGCCGCCACTGCCACAGCGGCCGCTGCTGTTCGAACAAACAAATACAATTTAATTGGGTTTCTCACACTACGCGGCGTGATTAATATTGCATTATTGGTTATATTGGGCAAGTGCACTTTTGGAGGGAGGAGGGGGTATTTGGGGATTAATTGTGGTTTGCTGCGGTGGTGCCAAGTGGTGGTGGCGGTGGTTGTTGTGAATTCCAAGCGTGGGCGTCACCCAATGACACAGCCTCGAAGGTCACGCTGGGGTTTAAAGCTCACTCCGTCAATCACAATCGCCACTGCAATCACACGGAGTCGACGTCACAGTCGTTAGCCGATCGCCATTGATTGTCCACCGAGTCGTCCGTCCGTCTGACAACGCCCAGCCATTTTGATTAGAATGTCGGTCACATTTGGCCACATTGACTACCCCTGCACCATCGGTATGTACACTGGGAATATTATTTAACTACATTTTGTAGATATTTTGTGAAAAACCCTATGGATAGCCGTTGCAAATGATCAATTACAATAAAGAGAATAAAAATACAGCATTAAGAGCTAAAAAAAGTTTCAAGTTCGTTTCTTAAGTCTTTTGTTTACCCATAGCAGCTTTGAACGATCTAAAACCTCATTTGATGCTTGGTGCTACAATGGATAACTATTTAAAGAACAAAAACCTGTGATTGGAGGGAAGCCTTCGACTAAGCTAACTTCTCTTTGTGTAATTGTGGTGGGTGGCTGCGGCTGGAGATTGCCCAATTGCGGGCAGGCCAATCGCCGCTCGAATTCATGCCTGGAACTAAATCAGAAGGGGAGCGAGTGTAATGGGCGGGGGAGCTGCCATTAATCTACGCCAGTCTTGGGCAATTGTTACGCTGCGGCTTCAGTTATAGATTGGTGCTGCCATAACCATTACCATGGCCTGCGGGTGCAGTGGGCCAGTGGGCCTCCTAGCCGCAGGCAGTCCTCATCAGGAAGCCGAATCCCACTGCGTAACCACATGGCTTTATGACTCTGCGGCTTTTGGGTTACACAGAGAGAGAGAGAGAGGGAGAGAGAGAACTTTTGCCATGCAAAGTTAATTACACAATGGCTGGTCCTTGTCGACTCTCAGGCTCTGGCGTTTTTTCAGCAATCGTGCATAAATTGTCAAATTGTAAAAATTATCTCAACTTAGCGTCGTTGCCGCAAACGATTTTTACGCTTTTTGTTTCTCGCGCCCGAGTCCATTGTGAAATGTCTTTCCATTCATTTGTACAATGAGCTTGGAGTCCTCCAGGTCGCAAAACAGACAGAAAAAGTTGCTCCATTTCTGCATGCTCAAAATCGATATGCAAAAACACAGAGCAGAGCAAGCTGAGCTCGAAAATGAAAATGAAAAGAAAAAAAACCGAAAATCAACTGCCAACATATTTTGCATGCGGCAAATGCAAAAGCCAGCCAAGTCGCATTAGTCGCGCATATCATTGACTTCGTCTGGCTGAAGTCTGTGCTCCATTCCCTCCATTCCATTCCTCGCCAGACCAGATTCTTTGCTCCTACCTACTCCGCTTTGAATCCGGCACGGGACCATTTGCGGTCTGAGCTGGAGTCGCGAATAGCAAGCGGCAATTGTTGATACAGCACCTGCTTCTGCTCGGATCGTTAAGGAAACTGTTTAGATTTGCTCTACAAGCTAAGGTTATTTCGATTCGCCTAGGCATTTCGTTCTACAGTTGTAACAAAAACGATTAAAAAACTATTAAAAAACTATTAGAAACTAAAAACCACAAGCAAACCATTGGGCAGATATTGGTTTTGGAATAATATTGGCCATTAATCTTTCTAAGCCTTAAAACTTGAGTTTGTTATAGATTTTAACTTTTATCACTCAGCACATAAGATTTAATTTTTAGCATAAACATTTTAATAGTACTAGTATATCTCAACTTTTTAATATACAAATTTTAAAAAAGAAAATGCTAAATAAAGCTATTTCAAGTTCGTTATCTAAGTCTTTTGCTTAAAAATCTAAACAGTTTTCAAGTTTGTTTCCTAAGTCTTTTGTTTCACCTAATATAAGAAGTTATATCTTTTAACTTACAAACTTCTTTTAAAAGTTAGAAAGCCCTTCTTGTCTTGTCTTGTTCCCTGCAAAGATCACACCTTGAAAAGCCAAGGAATACGGCTCCTAATTTGGCTTATCTCCTCATTTACATTCCCATCGTTTTGTCCCGCTTCCCAATTGGCCACAAACATAGCCACCTGGAGTACATGTGTTCATCTGCGGCCTGCTCCGCCAAGTGTGAAGCTGGTCGAGAGGAAAGGGAGAGAGCATGCCCTGGTCGAATTGGAAGTGGTCACAGTCGCATGATTTTCCCCCAGTTCCGTCTTCGTTGGCGTCGGCGTCTGCGTCTCAGTCGTTTATTTCCAGGCATCCAATCGCTGTGCCGCCGCACTTCAAAGCCGGATCGGAGCTGTTAATTAGGCGCTAGTTTTATGTGCGCTTAAAATAATTGCCACCGCGGTGATCAGTGATCACTGATCAGCTATTTGAGTGCTTATCCATATTCAAAACATACATAAGATACAGCTCTAATGGTGCATTGGCAAAACGAAAAATGCAAAATCGAAATGCTGCGAACAGAATTAAATAGTGTCTTTTTTCTTATATTTTTCGGTTTATTCATAATTTAAATTTAGATTTTTGTTACAAATAAAATAAAGTAAAATAAAATAAATCATAAAATCAAAATACAATTCCAATTTGAAATATAAATTAAAAAGAAGCGAAAATCATAAGATAAAATCAAAATACAAAACGAAACAATAAGGTGGTAATAAACATTGCGTTTTCAAGCTAATTAAACTAACTAAATGTTAATTTTATTATTTTTAAGGAAGAGGGGGAAGGGGGAAGGTTAGGGAAGTTGGGTGCCAAGTTAGTGGGTCTTTTGGTGTTTTTCTTTTTTGTGGGTGCCTGTAATTAGCTAAGAGGGACGCATTTCCGTTTCCGGTGCTGACGTGCATATAGTGTGTGTGTGTGTGTTTGTGCATGCGTGTGTACTTTGGGTTAATTACTGGTAATCGGTGTGGTGTGGGGTAGATTTGGTATTCGGTGTGGGGTTGATTTGTTACTTTAACCAGAGAGTTTTCCTGCGAATAAGACATTTGTGTGGATTGCAAATTACTGGGTAATTATTTAACAAAATAACAAAGAAATAACAACAAAAAACACGGCTACATATTGCACTAATAAAGCTTTTCTCTTCTAGGACTGTGTGTGTGTGTGCGTGGTTGTTTTTGTGTGAGTGAGATGGAGGAGCATCTATCTTAGCTTGTGTTTAAACAGTGCGTTTAATGAGGTTCGCATTACTTTGCTGAGGTGGCACAAAACCATATCCGGAGGCGCCAACGATCACGCCGCTGGACTCGTCCACTGCATCAGGTGGGGATGGGGGGAACACAACGGGTCCTGCAAGGGGATTGAAATATATTATAAATATGAAAACAAATATAAGTTTGTTTTCTACCTCATTTAATACTTCTGAAAGGCAACTTTTAAATTGTTTAATTTATAGAAAATACTTTAAAAATTATGTATATTTTGTAACAGACAAATGGTGTACTTTTAATTAAAACAACGCTAAAAAGATAATGAAATAGAAACGTTTTACTGCAAATTAACTACTACAAATTAGCCATGCAAAATCATTAAACAAACAAATTAATGTGAAAATTGTAGTGTAAATTTTAAGTGGCCATAACAGCAGCCAGACTCTCCTTAAGTGAGTTTTAGTGAGTTGCCTTAACTTAAACTTAAGTTATATACTCCATATATAGATAATCCATATACTCACCTCTGTTCTGTCGGGGATCCCGGACCTGTGTGGCCGACGAGGGTCCTGCTAGCGCCACGGGATCGAATCCAAAGCGAGCTCGGCTGGGGAACTGGCCCAGAAAGTATTGCTGACCCGCGGCATAGGCCACGAAGAGGCAGAGGGCGGCGGCGATGGTGACTAACTGCAAGTGGAAGTGGACAATGCACATGGTTAAATGGGTATTTCTTGGTTATTTGGATATATCTAGCGGATTGTAAACATATGGTATGACGGCATGAACGGGCCAATTGCACTGGTTACACGCTGGCCAAAGCAATTAAGCCGTGGAAATGTGTGCCAATGCCATAAGCCGACAATTAAATAACAAACGCAAGACGCAGAATGCCACATGGTACGCTTTCGGTACCGGTCAAGTGCAGTCGCCTTGAGCACGGGCCCAGAAGCCCAGAAAGTTAAGAGTGCCGGAGTGCCAAGTACCCAGTTACCGGAGTGCCATTAGCAGTTTCAGTTCGCCACCGATTCGATTTCGGTTCTGGTCGATGGCCAAAAAGACCTCTGCAATTTGCCACGTCAACTAAGGCAATGGCCCATGACGGATTTATGACAAATATGACCCAATTTGATCTTGTTGGTAATAAGGGAACAGTCAAGTGGCACATTCAATGGATTATTCATTGTTAAATGTGATTGAGTAGTAGTTTATAGATAAATATAAGTACTTAAGTTTAAGATTCTTGCATTTAACAATCAGCTAAAAGAAAATGTAAGTCACAAAATTATCCCAGCACCTGATCCTTTTTGCGAAACACTTAAATATCAGTTAGGTGTCCGTTCTGCAACTTTTAATTGGACCTGCATGTTGGGTTAAAATGTGTGAGCATATTATATTTAATTGTTCATTTAACAACCCAGTATGTGGCAGTTGATTTGCGATTGCAAGTGCTTTGGAAAAATAAAATCTTAATTACAGTTGTTGGGCTCCAGGAAGTTTTTCCACTTCAAATGGTGTCTGACCCAAGGCAAAATATATTCAATTCGATCTGGTTGCATTAAGTAAGTTCCTTTTATATGCTTGGATTTTATATCGAAGCAAATTGAAAGCCCAACAAAAGCCATTGGAAAATGTAAGCTTTATTCAGTTTATTTTCAATGCACATCACGTTGAGCCGCCACAAATGCGCCGAAGTGTGATAAATTTGTTAAATAGCAATCACGGCTGCGATTATTTTCCCACTGACCCCAATCTCCTGGTCGATAGCTTGGGATGCTAATGGCCAATGGAGACGGAGATCGGTGGTGGGTGGTAATGGAATGGGAGCCACATGCTGTGCAAATTGTCTAGCAGACTGGTTCATAAATCTCCACTACGGCTGTCTTCGGACCTGTGTCGAAGTCGAACGTCTTAGTTAAGGCCGTCGTCATTCGGCTGGCAGACTGACTTTAATCATAGGGCAAATTTGACTTAATAGAACGGGTTTTCTTTGCTGGCCCGATCGATTGGACAATCATTTTCAAAATGCACCCGTTTGCTTACATTTACTAAACATGTACGAGTATGTATCATATATAGTGCAACCTGCTAATGCAAATGTTGCATAAAGTTTTTCGGGCCTCATTAATTGCTTAATGGGCCGCGCCTTCGATTTTTTGTTGTTTTTTTTAGTTTTAGAGGGATCAAAAGGGAGGGATCTGAGGCCCAAATGCAACAATAACGCTAATTGCTATTAGCCAAAATATGCTACAAAATAATCACAAAATATGCAAACGAGGCGGTTGGTCGCAAAGTTGCCAACAAGCCAGCGCGACTTGTGAAAAAATTGTTTTAATTAATTCTTGTTTGCTGCCGCCGTTGTTTTGGTGTTGTTGTAACTCAACTTGTTGTTGCTATTGGTTGAAACTAAAACTAAAAGAAAACTTCAGCTCAGAGCCTATTGCCACATCCAAAAAAACAAAAGTGAAACAGTGGCGCAGGAATCGGTTTTAGCCAGTTCTCAAGAGCGGCTAACATGTGATCGTTAAGGGAACTACTGACGGAAAACATGAGTGCTACAGGTCTGTCACTTAGACTCACTTGATCAGTGAGTAATGATCTGATCTGGGGATTAAGTTTATGGACAGCTAGTAATTCATTTGCGATGATTACTTAGTATTGACTTTAAAGTGCGGAAGCAGCTTTAATTCATCGCAGTTTAATATGACATCTATTTAAGGTCTTATTGAAATTCATAAGCAATGATTTATGGAAACGGGTTTTCCAGAGGTGTGAATCTTAAATTTATTCAGCTGCTTAATTTGTTATTAATTTTGTCATTTTATTAGTTTCATATTGTTTTAATCTTTATATAAATCTTTGTTCAAGGTATTAGTTTTGGTATTTTTGAGAAATTGTTTATAAAACCAAAAAGACCTAGATTGGTCTTTAAATAAATGCTAGTAATAAAGCATAAATTTATTAGCCAGTAAAAATATTTTCCTTGGACTGCCAAAACATGTTACTTAATAGATGTAAAACCAATCAAGCTTCCTACATAAATGGCCTAAACGGAAATGTGACACAGACTGCAACTAGAGGAGGCATTCAAAACCGAGCTAAACAAATTAGATCCATCTGTCTTGATTTTTCATCGCTGTGTTTGGGTTCGGTTGCTCTACTGGTTGTCCCCTTCATCTGTGCCACTGACCACTGGCCAGAAAATACAGACACCAGACGTCTACTATGTAAACACATGTAGCCGTCAAAATGTCGACAGCCGGCTGTTTGCATCTGGAATTCCGCGAATGCCGCGAGATCACAGCTTCACAGATGCCGAATTTGAAAGTAATCGCTTTGGCTAATTTAGTGGCTTTTAATTGGAGGCTAATTAGTGCGGCTGTGGGATTGGGAACAATGCCTGCGGTCTTCCTGGGCCACCACCCCCAAAAGCTAACTGAAATTCCAACAAATTAGCCGAACAAATGACCTTAGATATGATTTCGTAATTGGGCGACTTGGGCTGCTATAAAACACTCGGGCTGAAACTACAACACACAATTCAGATATCGAGGCACGCAGGCACACAGGCACCACTTCGGTGGCTGTTTTTTCTATTTTAGCTGTTGGCCAACGGCGGCTCATGCGAAAATAAAACCCACCCACCCACAACAATGATTAAGTGCAGCAACATGTGAGCGTGCCAGCGCATATAAAGTCAAGTTAAAAAACTTGGAGCTGCTTGGTGGAGTTGGAGCTGGAGCACTGGTCATGGACAGACGACGATAGGTACATTGTCTCGTTAGCCCCGAACGCTGATAGCCCCTGGATTTGGGGTATAATAGCTCTGTCATGCTGCAGATACTCGTATATACCTAAGTATGCAAATCCCTGCAAGCTGACTTTTCTGGCAGTTGAAATTGAATAAAAATTGACTTGTAATCCCCGTTTTCCTTAAGGAGTTTTAACCTGCAAAGAGGCTTATATTTTGACAGCTTAAAAAGTAAACAAATTAATAGTTATTAGGCGTGATACTGCCCTTAAATGGGGAAGTCTTTTAGGATGCTTTAACTTTTAAGATAAGATATAAAAGTTTTGATATATGTTATAAAATGAGCAACTCTTCTGAGAAGTTTATTTAGTTACAAAGATAACTTAAAGTTCAGTGTATTTAGAGGCCAACTGAACTGATATACGGTTTCCTCCTTTCGATTTTTCCACCTAACTAATTGCTTTTTGGTTATCACTTATCAAAAATAAGAAATCTTAACTAAAGATACCACAACAATCACTATCTAAAAGTCCTGAGTTGCTCTACTTAAGCCACTTTCCACAAGGCATTCGCTACAAAACTAAACTCCATCCAGCTACTCCCTTCAAATTTTCAATTTGATTTTTCATTTATGCGCTGGCATTTTATTGGCGTTTAGATTTTGATTGGCTTCCACAATGTGCACTATAAAATGAGTTATATTTATTGCTTTGGCCAGCGCAACAGGTAATCGAAACTACAGACTTTCAATGGGTTCGATTTGGTCCAGAAGTTTAACTTGCAGTCAGAAAAAAAACTAAATTTGCATGACTCAGAGAGGGAGTTTTGGAAAAGCTGGGTAAACTGATGGATAACCAGGTGGCAGGCGAACAGCTGCTAATTAATCTTGTTTATATTTAAACTTTAACCGATTTGTCATTTGCCCAGTCGGCTGTGATTAATTTTATGTGAAAACTACACGCAGATGGAAAAGTGAATGTGTGATCGAAGCCAGACAATTGAACTCGCCCCGAAACACGAGTCATTATTGTTATCTTTTGTTAACGATAGCAACGCCCAGTGTTTGGATTTTTTTTAACTTTACTGACTTTTTTTTGGCAGAGGGGTCAATGCTCGATTGAGCAACAATTTGGCTGACTTTCAACACGGAAGCTTGAGTTAAGCGTTAGGAGTTAAGAGCTAAGAGTTAAGAGCTCCGGGAGCTTGGACTCTCAAACGCAAATAACGCCGCTTGTCCGAAGCTGGAATGGGTGCAAAGTGTTGGATGCTGTAGAGTAGTAGGTGCAACCAACTCAAAGTGGCAACAGTTATTGGAAAAGCAAAGGCAAATGCAAAAGCAAAGAAAACAAAGAAAAAAACCCGACGACTGCCGCTTCAAATTACTTTGAATTGTGTTTAATAGGTGGGAAATGGAGTCAGTTGGCGACTTCGTGGCCAGCTGCCCCGCTGATCGTTGCCCAATCTATTGTCAATTGTAATTGAATTATTAAACATCAATTTGGCTAGGAAGTGCAAATTGCCAATGGTCGTGCAGCGTGAGAATTGAGTTTATTTCGATTTTTCTCTGATTCTCAGATTTTTCCTTTTTCCTGCCAGTGAAATGGGTTCAAGTTCAAACTGGTTTCCAGCTGCAACTCGGGCAAATTTGTATCGTTTAGAGTCTGACAAAATGCCAAACACAGCGCCAGACAACGGCGACGACGACGACGACGACGCACATGCCTCATAAATATGGTAATGGACCGCGAATATCTACACAGAAATACCATACTTTTCGCAACTGAACGTTGCATGTGGGCAGCCTTTTGGTTTTTGGTATTTTTGAACCCCAACTGGACATGTGTTCGTTTGCCATGCACTTGCTATGAGTACCCCGCCAACTGACCTGACGACTGGCCAACTGAGTGACTGACTACATGGACACATGGACAACTATCTAGGCTATCAGGCTATCCGAATCCCGGCACTGCAGTCGTGCTATTGCGACAGCCATGTCCAACGCAACTCGAGAGCCCGAGAAATCCTATGCCAACTCCAACGCTAATCGCTGTCCAGTGACAGAAAACTATAATAAAAATTGTCGAGCCCGTTTCGTCCGATGGGACGATATCGAATGACATGGCTTCGGGGCCCCAGAAAGCGGTGTCTCCTGTTCGGAATGTCCCACTGCTGCGGAGACTAAAGTGTTCAACGGTTTTCAAGAGCTGACTTAAATGTTTCTCCTTGGAAGTGGTAACGGGTTGGGTTTCTGGATGAACAATAATAGGCCATAGTTTTTGGAAAACTTCTCCAACTCTCTTATTCCTTTCTAATTAACTTTATATCTGTGATATTTTTAGAGACTTATGCAATATAACGTCTATATCTTCACCTGACCCAGAGCTGAAAACCAAAACAAAAACCCAAACAAAAACTGTGCTTCGAGTAATTATGCACGGAGTGGACTTGTCGTCGTCCCCGTACTTGGGCATTGAGAAATCGGCACTTTCCGGCGTGACATCTTCATTAGAGGGAAGCCAAGCGCAACCGAATCCAAAAACCCAGATCCAAAATACAAATAAAAACTAAAAATACGACATCAAATTGTAAGAGTATGCATGGCAATTAATTTGAATTTCCACACGCAAGGCGTGCAAAATTCAGCAACATTGTATGTTGACTAAAGTGGACGGACATCTGCTGGAGCGATTAACTGACTTTACTGAGAGCAATTAATAAATCTTGTTCGTGTGCATGGTCGAATCCTAATCGAGAGCGACGTTGATTGCGGTTTCCCAGGGTGCCAGTGGTGGCCTACCTGGATAGCCCCCCTCTTTCAGCACCCGAATGGGGCTATTGCATAAGCCATTTTCCAATGCAATGCACGCTTGCATTTTTATAATGTTTAAGTTTGATTTTTAGCTTTGCCATTTTCCACGCACAGCTTCGCTTCGGTTCATTTGATTCATTCATGACTGCATCTGGGGTTTGGTTTTATGTTTTTTTTTTTTGGTATTGACTGGCTGGGAGCCGGCTTGGGACACGCAATTGGACACGAGAAGTTGGTCAGCCGGCCACTGGCAATTGGTCTTGGCTTTGGCATTTCGGCTCTTGGCCATTGGCGCGTGTGTATCGCACTTTTCAATTAGGCTACAAAACGCATGCCCAGGCACGTTTTTTTTTCTTGGCTCGTTTTCTTGTCTGCCAATCGTCTATGAACTCCGCCGGCCCCTATCCCCTAGCCCCTTACGCCGGATCACAGATCTCAATGGCCTTCATCGTGAACTTGAGAGATATATGTTTTTGCGCGCGCGTACGACTGCGATTTTGCGTGCGTTTTCCCATGTAATTGCTGGCTACTCGACTTGATTGCCGACTTGCGGGGCGGAAACGCTTTGGACTTCTTATTAAATCTTTTTAGAGGCATGTAATTTCGTGTTTCATTGACCTATAAATTATGACATGATTCAGAATCTGATGGGAAAATAAACCAACGTTTATGAAAATTAGTTTAACTAACCGCTTGGCTTTACCCGCTTGAAAAGATTGCGTAAAGAGGTTTTATTTGGTGGCGGGGTTACTCATCAAGCATTGGAAATATCCAAAAGTTTAGATCAATAAATTTATTAAAAACTCTAAAAAAACTGCCTAAATGAATGCCTTAAAAAAGTTTGTAGGTCTCTTAGAATTTGATCATTTGAATTTTGTTTTAATGAATGAAATTCACTGAGAAACCAGTTTGTTCTTAAAATAAATCATATTAAATGTGCGGAAATTTTAATTTTGATTAAATTATAAGGAAATATATAATACTCATATTCAGAACGAGATTAAGAATTATTAAGTCAAAAATTAAATTAAGGTTTGCTTTAGCAAACATTTCATTTATGCATTTTAAATCAATAACATTTTGATGTGATAATAAAAACCAACTGGTTTTGTTTTTTTGAATAATCAAACGAAAGTGAAAATACAAAATTACGAAATAAAAACTTTTATGTGAAATTAAAAGAAATGTATAAAATCAAATATTGAAACCAGCAGTACAGCATTCCCATCTCGCTCATAAACTTCCTATCAAGATCGAATTATGCCGAAAAACTAAGTTTGAAATATGCATATTTTGGCCATACGCATTCAAATTTCCATCAAACATTTTCAGCGCCTTGAAACGTGGATGGTCATCGAAAATAATGGACATAAACTTATATATGGCTTATATGGATATAGACATATCGAGGCGGTGGCCTGGCTTTCATGGCCCGCTGACACACGACGCCGTGGACCATAAATTAGAGTGCCAGGGCCCAATAAAAATTCTTGGGGAGCAAACAATGACTTGGTCGAGCGGGGCAGTCATTTGGCAACTGTCAAACCGAAATAGTTGACTTCATTTGCGGCTTAAACGAGGCTCAAACGTGTTAACAATTACGCTGCATTAGCGAACCATGCAAATGCTGTGACAATTGTCGCGAAAAAACGAAAGACTTAGGCAACAAACTTGCTGGCTAACGAGGAAAAACAAAAAAAATGAACCAAAAATACTTACGAATTTCATATTTGCTGGTTGATTGAGCTGCGCTGAATGTGTTGAGCGTGTTTAGAAGCTGCAATTAGTTAACAAATATTTGTATTATATCTGACTTAAACACTTGCACTTTTCATTTGCTTAACACGGAAAACGTTTATAGCGTTGAATTTATAATCGACTTGGGTATTTCATTAATTTTTTACGTTTATTTGGTAAATTCTTTGGTTTCGAGTTTCGTAAACAAATGCAGCAATGCGTTATTTTGATGAGTTGTGATTTTTTTCTCCTTTTTTTATAGCTTATTTTACGTATGTGATTTATGGCTGGAAAAACCGACGAACACGCGAAGCCAGGAAAAACTGAATCGAAAAGGCTGTGAACTGCAGAGCAGTAGTACTTGCACTCCAAAATGCTGGGGTCTTACACGGTGGAGCTCTCGGGTTTTTGGATCTCGGATCTCGAACCGCTGTACGTCGGCCTGTGCAGTAAAACGTTTAATGAATTCCAACAGATATGCTCAGTTGATTTTATATAAAGCATGGCCCGATCTCTGCCGCCGTCGACGGCGCTGTCGTGCGTTTGTTTTGAGTGGGTTTTGATGGAGATTTGAGTGAGTTTTTCTTGTTGTTATTCGCTTGGATTTGGTTTTGGATTTGATTGTTGGGTGTCTACGTGCTATTGGCTTTTTGCATTCACCCCCGGCCACGTGATGTTTGTTCTCTGCAAGGGAATCAGTTAATGTTAATGTTTATGGCTAAACTGCAGCAGTAGCGAATTCAACTTTCTAGCGAATCAATATTCATCGGCTCGGTTCCGGTAACCAGTTTTGGTTTTCGGTGCACAAACGGGTCGATCAGCTGGCGATGCTTATGCAAATCAATGTATCTAGCATATGTAATTGGAAAGCTGGCAACACCTTGACTTGATTGCAGGTGAAAATATAAAAACAAACACTGCTTGAGACGAGGCTTTTGGCAATTTCTTCCGCCTCTGACAGTTCCACTTGACCATGAAATTCACTGGATATTCGTTTGATTTAAATGACAATTTACGTTACGCTCGCTTCAGTGATTAAGAATGGCAATATGCATAATCTGAATCATAATTATATGATCATAATACGTCCGTTCTCGGCCGGAAGTGTAGAATTCCATGCCCCAGTAGAATCCGGCGGCATCTTTTTTCCTGGCTTAAGTGTATCGTTAAACGATTGACATTTGTCTGGCCGACTGTGTGGCCCTTAAACAAAAACAAAAAAACAGCGATAAATGTGAAATTCATGAGGAATGCTTGTCATGCTTGATTAACTTTAATCTTATACGATTTGCACACTTGTTTGTTTGCTGCTATGCGAGCAATTCGTTCGTGTTGGGGTTTTTTTATGTTAGCTGTTTTATGCGACAAGTCGTGGCGAAGAAGGGATGGGGTCTAAGGGGGGCTAGGGGGAGCTGGAGCGGGAGCAAGTTCAAGTTCAAATCACAGCTGGCCACAAAAGCTCCTTGGCTGGCTGCAACCGCCAAAGTCGAAGCGATTGACTAATAACTGATACTCTTTACTAAGGGTTATAGAAACTGATGAAGAGAGGAATATTCTAAGACGTTTTGAAAAAAATAAAGTTATACAAAAGATAAATTATAAAAGTCATAAAGGTATAACTTCAATTTTTGAATTTTCATTATTTTTGATATGTCAGTAACTTACAGCTGAATTATATTTAAGATATTTATATCTTTAACTTATGAAACACTTTAGATTTAGATTTCATTATTATTATTTTGTTTCAAATAAACTTAAACTTTAAGTATAAGTTCAATTTCCTTTCTTAATCGTATTATTTTTAAGAGAATAAAAATAACATATTATTGTTTTAGGAATTAATAGTGATTAAATCTTATTTCAGACACTCTGTATAGCTTAAAAATTAATTTTAGCATAATCTAGGGTAATCCCCTGCAGTTAGCTTTACGATCAAACATTTGGCCAGGGTATTGTCTTACTGGCCTTCCGTTCTGTTCTCTTTGGTTTTTGCATTGTCTTCACTCCACGGCGAGAGGGTCAAGTTCAGTTTCAATTGCTGTAAGCGTGGCAATTAATGCGGCTAATTGTTGATTGCCATTGATTTATGCTGAATCAATTAGCCAATTGCCTTGCTCGTACTTTGGCTCGGCTTTCTTTGCTCGATTCGGCAGCGGCAAGTTATCAATCATTGAGCGGCCTCAGATTTGGCCTGTCTTGGCCTGGCCGCAGGTTATTGCCACTTTGAGGAATTGAATAGTTTGGTTTACGGGCCTCAACTTGTCCGCACATGACAGCCAATAGCTGTAGTTTATAAATGAGTTTTTAACCGTGCTACTAATTGCCAGATTCTATCTTTCAGCTATTCTATAAATACCAGATGACGCGATGGTCTAGCCATGATAATTGCCACATCCTGATACTGCTGATAATCGGGTGGGAAACTCTGGCCCACGAGCCAGAGTCCATTAATCATCGCCAACTTTCATTAGGGAGCTTTCGGGCGGCCACTCCCCGAAATCGAAAATGCTGGGCCCAAAATAAACCCGCCATATCTCACTCGAACCCATGAGGAAGTCGATCGCACAGGTGAGTCAAATATCGAGGGGCGACAAGAACGAATGACGCGAGAAAAAAAAACATATATCTCAGCGGAAACTCGCTCAGATATTGCACCTGTAGTTGTTGTAGTTGCTTTGAGGCAGGTGAAAAGTGAAATGATTTCATAAATGACTGATATAATTAGGCACGTTATATGCCAATTAGCGGCGTGTTGAGGAAGCAACCTCCGCGAATCTCCGCCGCCTTTCACAGGTGACACATCTTTCACCGTTAGCCGCTTTTGCTAATTGTGCCCAAATGTGCATTTGAATCACAATAATAATTCCGATCCGTTGCATCTGGATTCCAAAGTTCCTGCCGCATTTGCATCATTTATCGTCGTAAATTCTCACGGCTTGCGACCTTGACAATGACCTCCGAAGTTGGCAGCTAACGCACGCCAAGAAGGAAAAACTCTTGTCTATGTGGAACTGGTTTTCACCTCCCGTTTTCCACCACATGTCGAGATCCAAGAGCCGAAAGACCCGAGGCGTGAACGCGCCAATGTGCGTGTGCAATAAGCCATAAAAACGTCTCGCACCATGACAAACGCGTTGTTGTCGTTGTAATCCGATGCAAGGCGGCTAATATGCAAACTGGTTGGAAGCGTCAAATAAGCACCAAAAAAATGGGGGAAGCTGTCCAAAACCATAATTTGCATTCATCAGTTTAGTGGTCTCAGCTGCACTTCCGTGACATATTAACTGCCTGCAAATTGTCCCATATTTGTTGCCAAAATTACTATTAATAAACTACAAAAAAATCTCAATCTAAAAGACATGTCTAAATTTTGATTACCATATTTGCTTTATAGCCCGTTTAATTTAAGGATAAAACGCTTTACTTTTATTTTAAATTAGAGTTTTTATAAACAAAAAGTTATTAATAAAACTTATAAAATTATTTTTTAATTTAAATTTTAGCTTTTAGCGTCCAATATTTAACATTTAAAACCTTTTTAAAAAGTTCAAAAATTCACGCATTTTTTTTTTAAAAAACTATGATTTGAATTGTTACTCACCCTGAAATATATAAATAAAATTCTTTTTGACCATTTAAATTTGATTGTCATTTCTTGTAACGGTAACCAATAATTTTCGATAACCACTCAACCATGCAGAGTGGCGTGAAATCGATATGCTAACGATAGTTGCGAATCCCGGCATGTGACTCACCACTAAAAAACCGCGAAAAACAAAATGATTTGATGCTGAGCAAAATATTGATCATAGAACAAACAGATAAGTTTATTCAAATAGAATCGATTGATCAAATAGCTATCTTAGTTTATATGTAATAAAAAAAACTATAAAGTCCAGCTAAGATAATGGTTATTTAATTCATTTATATTGATATTTCACGTTGGCTTTCAGTAAATACTATTGTTCTAAATACAGTGAGTCACAAAAGTATTCTTTAAGATATACTTCAATAGCTTGTGAAACGAATGGAATGGAACACGTTCGATAGTAACGATAGTTGCCAATCACAGTAAGTGACTCACAGCTGCCCACCACTAAAAGGCCGGTGAAAAAATTATAGTCTGCAAATATTATTTTACAATTATTATTTTAATCCGAGAGGGCCACCGAATGCAGCAATGACCAATCCGCGGCGCGCACACTGTTCCTTGGCGCTGCTGGCGCTCCTCGTCGTCCCATTTGTGGTTCTCGGCGAGGATGATCCTAGTGAGCATGAGTACGTGAAGCGGGAGCACAGCTTAGTGCGCCCATTCCAAGGTGGGTAATTGGTCGCTGATAAGATAGAATACGTGTACCTCTAACGTGGCTTCAACTCTGTTTGCAGGCGTGGGAGTGATCCTGCCCCATTGGGATTTTCTGGGTAACACAATGGTGACCAGCAACTACATAAGACTGACGCCGGATTTGCAATCCAAGAGCGGTGCCCTTTGGAACTACCCGGTAAGAAGGCCTTAACACAACTTTCTGAGTATAATATTTATGGTTTTTAATCCAAAGCCCGTAATGACCCGCAACTGGGAGATTCATGTGGGCTTCAAGGTGCACGGCAAAGGCACTGAACTCTTTGGCGACGGCTTCGCCATTTGGTACACAAAGGAGCGTATGAAAACAGGACCAGTTTTTGGCAGCAATGATCACTTCTCCGGGCTGGCCATCATCCTGGACACGTACAGCAATCATAATGGCCCACATAATGTAGGCAACCCAACGTCATTAAATAAACCTTGAATAATTTTAAATTTGCAGCACCAACATCCATATCTCAGCGCCATGGTGAACAATGGCAGTTGGAGCTACGACCACGACCGCGATGGAACGCACACTCAGCTGGCTGGCTGCGAAGTTCGCTTCCGCAATGTGGAGTACGAAACGCTGGTTAGCATCCGATATGAAAACGATATTCTTTCGGTGTCCACTGATCTGGAGAACCGCAACGAGTGGAAGAACTGCTTTGTGGTCGCTAATGTCGAGCTACCTACGGGATATCACTTTGGCATGTCGGCCACGACGGGTGATCTGTCCGATAATCACGACATTCACAGCTTCAAGTTCTTCGACCTGGATTCCACCGTCACTGTAAGTTCACATCTGTTTGGCAAACCTCGGAAGGGGAATACGCTTTACTCAGCTGCTTGCTTATCGGCTGAAAAGTGCAAGGAACCCGTAAGCGGGATTGAGTTTCGATATGTGTATATGAATACCATACAAAATAAGAGCGAACTTGTTTTTAATGGCACAAATTTGCTATAAATTAACAGAAGGCGTCAAACACATTGTTTGAACTCAAATTTAAATCATATTAATCTTTCAAATGTTAAGAAACGTTTGTCAAGCAGATACGTTAAATATGAGTGTTATTTTACCAATATCATATTACTTAAAACCAGTTTACAATAAGCAACAATTTTCTTTCATTTACAGCATGATGAGATTGTCCGACGCACCAATATCATACCGAATGCCAAGACCTTCGAGCCCCCGCGCGAACACAAAGAGGATCCCAAGCCGGGAATGTCAAACGCCAAGATCTTCTTCATCCTTCTTTTTGTAGTGGTCGTAGCGGCTGCAGTAGCAATTTTCGCCATATCCTATTTTAAGGATCGCAACGCGCGAAAACGTTTTTATTGAGATCACTACTAGTGATTCACTAGCCCATTGAGCTAGTACATCAAATCATCATGTTAAGAGTATCCCGGACCTCAGTTGATCCCAACTTTTATTTATATGTCCCGACTGTATCCCATTTCTTATCACCCTTTTTAATTTCCTTAATTTTTTCGTGAGAGGGTTAGACATAATATAACACGTGTTGGAGAGTTAAATTTAAGTGCAAATTTTTAATCTGAACTATAGGAAAATTGAGACCGTGAGAATATTATTGCTTAGACAAGAATAAAAGCCACCAAACAAATTCATGCGCTTCTTAATTAACGATACATTTAATGCTGACGCCCAGCTAACATTGACTCAATCTGACGCACTTGGTTGCTGACAAACCGATCCCGGGCACTTGTCTCCTGTGGCTGTCCTATCGGTTCACCCTCAGACTCCAAGGCGTCGTTAGACTTGTGCATGCCACTAAGGATGCACTGTTCGAATAGGGACTTGGACCGCGCATCATCGTCTTCGTCGTCTAGAGAGTCATCTGAGCTGTAGTTCGGTTTTTCGCCATTCTCTGACTGCTTCTTTTCTCCATTTGTCCTAGATAATGTGCTGGTACTGGTGTTGGCCAGACTGGAAGTAGTACTAGCCCCACTGGGTTGAGGTCGACAGCTTCCTGCTGCAATGGCCTATAAAAAGTAAGAATTTTATTGAAATGTTAAGTAATACATACATTCCAGTTAAAAATCTGCCTGGTCTTACTATATTATTTAGAAAGAAATACGAACATTTTGATTATATTTCGGCTATTTTCTTACCTGACTGAGAAGATTACAATCGTCATCCGAGTCCATGGATAATGAGCTTAGCGAGTCGCTTTTTTTGGGCGGCAGTCGTGGTTCGGCTTCTCCTTGGACGGCGCTGCGTCTAGGGGGAAGCTTTGGAGCCTTCGTTTCTTCTGCAGTCCTCAGAGGAAGCTTTAAAACAGGCCCTGCCTTTGCCGAGCCCACCGTGAGATGAGAAAGTCCAGAGATGACTGAAAACGTGCAGGGACTGTCCTCCACATAGTACTTGCTCATTTCATCAGACACAGGCAGATAGCTGGGCAACGCACTGCCACCACACCGCATCTTGGATATTGCATCCTCTGCCGGAATTCTTGTGTCTAGCCCGGGAACATCAGCTCGCGGCGCCGGTACTGGCTGGTCTTCGTTTGCATTTAAATCGTTAGGTATTGACAGAATAGATAGATCACTGTTGCTTGGCGCCTTTGAAAGTAGGGCGGGAGTGTCTTCTGTACAATAACTACGAGGTGCATCTCCATTGCCATTTATGTCATTCGTACGCTGACCTCGAATGGCGTTGGAACTAGAGTCATCCAACATGCTCAGATTACTTAGGCTTGTGGCACAGGAGAATGCCGCAGGCGTGTGCTCTACGTGGAATCTGTTTATCTTGTCTTCGAATACATTGCCTGGTTTCCGTTCAGGTGTCTCTGAGTTATCTTGAGGTGGCATCTTTCTATCCCTTCTCGGCGACTGCGGCATACTCTGTGTCGGTGAGTCCGGCAGTTCAGACGGGGAGATGACGCCACTCTGCATTCTGCTATACTCGCTGATCACGGATCCGTTATCCTCGCAGGCAACAGTTTCATCGTCGCCCACCAATGAGTCCATCGAGCTGCGTCGCGAAAACATTAATGGAGTTTCCAGCGCGGAGTCGATGTTTTGAGGAGTATTCTGGTCAAACCGTCCTGGTTGGACTACAGGCTTCGTTGGAGTTTTCGGCGCCAAACACTTTTCCGGCTTTTCTGTAAGGCTGTTGAGAGAGTCAAAGCGACTGAAACTGCCAGGAGTTCCCTCCTCGCAATAGTTGATTGGACGTTCAGCTGTTTCCGTCTCAGCTTCTGTAACAAGTTTCTGCTTGACTGCTGAAACCGCCACAAGTCCTGGACTATTACGCAGCTCTGTAGCCGAAGAGGACTTGGCTAATTGTAACTCACTGCTCATTATCTCATTAGTCTCCGTTTTAAGCTCCGGCTGTGCCGACTGAGCGGATCGTCTCTCCTTATATCTAACACTAAAATCTGTGGGCTGGTCTAAGTCAATCTCAAAGGTCTTACTGCTAGTGGGTTTGTGCTCCATGTATTTCATGGAATAGTCAATAGGCTGCTCCTCCGTTGGTGTGACAACCTCGAAGGGATTCTTGGCTCCCTCCGACTTTGTTGAGTATTTAGTTGAGTCCGACTTTCCCGAGTAAATTGACTCGCGACTCTCGCACTTTCTGTTCAAGAAACTCGTAGTGCTTACGGTGGTAGGACGAACCTTTTTAAGCGATCCTGTGGGATTGGAGCTGAGACGAAGTGAGCTGAACCTCCGCGGCAGAGTACCACCATGGCCAGACTCCTTGTCCAGCGGCAGAGATCCACCATCTCCATTAGGCATCAGTTCCAAGGCAGCCCTAAAGTTTACCAGGTTCTTTAAAGCTGAGGCACTGCCCTCAGCAATCATGGAGTTCTTGGAGGTGATTAAGGCGCGCAGCAGAGGGATGGCATTGTGGTCGATAAGGTACTGCTGATCCTCAGGACAGCGCGCCGATAGGTTCCACAGAGTCCCACAGGAGTTGCTCACCACAGTCAGGCTCTCCGACTTCAATTGCTGCAGCAAAATCGCCAAGCAGTTGTACCGCCGAAGGATTTGACGATAGGGTTCACACACCGCAATATGGCTAGACACATTTCGCAAGATGCCACCAGCATTTTCGATGATCTTTAGGGTTTTACTTGGACCTTCATAGCTCAGCATGCCAACAAGAAAGGCAAGTGCTCCGTCCACTGCACAGAACTCAGCCTTATTCGTGCTACAGTGCGCCGAAAGATTCCAGAGAGCAGATAGTATGGCTTTGAGAGTATTTTCGCTCTTATTTTGCATGGCTGCTCGAGCCAATGCTGTCACCGTACCTAGCTCGTTGAAGATTGTCTTCATATGTTTGTCCGCGCGCCAGGAAAGATTGCGAAGCACTCCAGCAAGGACCTAAGGAAGTAAGGAAGTATAAGAAGAGTTTTACAGAACTTCGATTTTATAAATCAGATTTTAGCATTTAAGTAAACGCACCTGAAGTAGTTCATCTGGTGCCGTGTTAAGCTGTGCAATGACGACCTCCATAAACTGCCGCTGTCCGCACAGATACGATTTATTGTGGACGTTCTCGTCTCCGAAGGTGAGATTCGTAAGGGCCATTAGGCCGTAACTCCGAAGGGCGTTACATTGTTCCCTGCCGGCAGCTGGTCCATGAACAGCATGATCAAGGTGAACTAGGTTTGGGATCGCCTTTAGAGCTCCGAGTTCGCACATGGTCTGTCGGTGCTCCTCGTCGAAACTGGCCTTCATTAGAAGCTTCATGGCCGCTAACGGATGCCGATCCTCATCATCGGCGATGGCCTCACCCCCGCTCTGCAACTGGGTGCGCAGGAAGTTGCAGTAGTCGAGGATCTGGTCCAACAGTCGCAGCATTTTAACCTCTCGCTGACGCTCCTTTTCCTCGGGATGGTTGTGAACGATGTTGTGCAGCGCCTGGCTAGCATATTTTCTGGCGGTGGAGAGCCCATCGTCGTTGGCATGCAGAATCTGGACCAGTAACTGAATGCAGTCAGAACTGCGTAAAGCGGTACATGTTTCCGGATTCCGCGACAGCTCTAGGAAGTTACGTGTTAGCTCCAGGCGAGTAGCGTCGCTCTCGTTCAGCGTCATGGCTTTGAATGTATTTGATGTGAGTCCTTGACTGTAAATGCATGCAGTTTGCAGGAGAACAGGCCTGTTTCTTGGTTACTTCTGGAAGAGTCCTGTTGAAAGGTCGCTTCAACAGGTAGTTCCTTTTCAAGTCAGGTCCTCGATCTTTGTTTGGGCTGCTTTTAAGCCATTTTCCAAGCGCGCAGGCTCAACGCTTCAGTGTTGCCGATTAGTCGATTCTATAGCCAGATTCGCATATTCCTGGAGTGCTACAACATAGCTGTTCTCTTTAATGTTCTAAATATTATTGGATATTTGGTATTCTTAGGTGTTTTGCCAATGCAATTTAATTAAGAAAGCCCTGAAATTGCTCACCACCTACAAAAACAATTTTTAAATACGAAAAAGCATATCAGATTTCCGAAGCTCTCGAGCTGGCAACACTGCACCACTTTGAAGTAAACAAAAATCGATATTCATTGAATGTAATCGAGATCCAGTTGAAAGGTGCATATGTTAAAAAATGGTTTACTTAAAAAAAATTCTAGTTAAAAAAATAGTTTCAATTAAATTTTAATGTAAATTATTTTGATAATTATGGTCGTAATAAAATTTGAAAAAATAAATATCGATTCCCATTTGCCCACCTCTAGTTAACCGTTACGTCACGTCAACAGCTGTTGACAGACGCAATATTGTATTTGACCTGCCGGAAAATAATGAACTTCCTGAAAAAGGTAAGTCAAATAATAAATAAAACATGTATCAATATTAAATACACCTCTACTCCTGCAGTTTGTGCCTCAGATGGCGGCCGAGGTGCAGCAACTCAGCCGGTCAAGTATCCACACCAGCGCCGTCTGCTGTCGCGTGCAATCTGGGCGATACCGCATAACCACAAAGCGGAATAGGCCACTCACCTACGAAATGGCCAATCCACCGCATTTCATTGGCCACCGCAAGTCGTGGAACTCGTGGAATACATGTAAATTGTCAGAAACTTTTATTAGATATTATTTTCATTTTACACATTCTTTAGCCACGGTTAAGGATGGTCTACGTCCGTCGCAAACCGCCATCGAGGATGTGTTTATCCGTAAGTTCGTCACAGGCACCTGGCACGCCCTTGTCTGCTCCGAGATCATCATAAAGCGGCAGCACAACACTATAAGGATTGCGGCCCTTATTCGGCAAGCGATTACCCCGCGCAAAATGTACTTCCTTATTGGCTACACGGAAGAGTTGCTCTCCTACTGGATGCAGTGCCCAGTAACGCTGGAACTGCAAACGGTGGGAGACAAAAAGGACGTCGTCTTCAAATACATTTAGTTCATTTCGCTATTTACATGCTCAATATAAAAATCATGTAGATTAACTTAGTGAGTGTATTCGACTTCACTGCTGTTGTTTTGCAGAGATTTAATGGCCTTGTTCACAATAACACCGTCGAGATCCTTTACCTAAAGAGGAATATCTTAGTCGAAATTTCAATTAGTGGATTTATGATTTGCATACCGTTTCAATTAGCCTTTTGACGTCTGTCAGGGATTTTTGCTTCAGTAATAGGGACTTTATATCTTTGACTAATTCAACGAACAAAAAAACGACAATCTTTCGAGAGCCGCCACAGACTTTGTCCCAGATCTTGACCAAAACAGTCTCGCAGATGACGCCAGCAAAACAGGTTATATACCAATTGTCCAAGAGCGTTGAGCTGCTATTGAACAGGCCGAGCTCCTCTAGGTGGCTATAGGAAACAAATTAGTTTAAGTATCAGACTAACCAAAATTGAACCTACTTGAACAAGGACTGATCCTCCCGCTTAAGCATAATCTGTGTCTGCTCCTTCAGCTTGACGCACTCCTTCTTTAGCTCGCGGGTGTACTTGTAGAATCCCTTGGCTATCCAGTAGGTTTCCACGTCGTCGGTAAATATCTGGAGCAGCGTGCGCACAATCTCGATAAAGTTCATGTCTTCAGCCTGGAGACTTGAACTGGCGTTGCCGTGCCACAGTCGATTGGATTCAAGAAGCCACATTGTGTGCATGACAAGCTCCTTTTCCTTTTGATCGGCACATCGGAGCACAGTCACAGCACGGAGCAGATCCTCGTACATTTCGCTTCTCTGATCCCGTATGTATGCTGTGGACGCCTTGTGGAGTGGCAGAATTCCCATTACCAGGGCCCACAAATAGCTTCTGTGTATGTTGGGCACCGTATAGTTCATGCAGAACTGCTTCAGCTTGTTCAGGTTACGGATATCATCCTGGAGCAGCTTGTTCAGCGACTTCTTCTCCTCGACACTGTTAATAAGGCATTTCTCGTAATAGCTGGATCTGAAGTTTCGCTCGTCAGTGTTCATGGTCATCTTTGCATTGTTCTCAATAATAGAGATGTGCATTCCGTCGATGACCTCATATAATGATTGCTACGGAAGCCGCACTGATAATACTGTTGACAATTTAAATCGGTAAGAAACATAATTAGTATTAATTAGACATAATTAATTTTAAATTGATAAATTAGTCTTGAATTTCAAATAATTAATATCACAGCCAATTAAGTTAAATTTTAAATTAAAGTAAAATAAATAATGAAAGTTCTCATACGCATACTGTTTTGCTTGTATACAAATCGATTACCGCCCAAGGGACTACATCGATTGTGTCATCGATGGCTGGGCCACCACTAGTAATCACTGGTGCAAAAATGTCTTTTCTGAAAAGGTAAACAAAATGTGCAAATCGTGGCGAGGAAAAGCAGTATTTCGCAAAAACGGAAGCCTAATAAGGCTGCCAGAGGTCCTGCAATTAAGGATATAAAGAGCCTCACCCTATCTGTCGGATATATCTGCTTGAACACGAGTTCGAGGCTGTTGCTCGCCAGCACATGAAAATCAATAATTGAATCAGAAAATCAAAACACGGATTCGCCCAGATGCAAGAAGGCCCGCGATAAATTATGCAATTGTTGGAGCCATTACCAACCCTCCTTCCCCTTCCCGCCGTTCACGTTCTCGTTTTGGCCCCGTTTGCAGTTAATGTATTCAAATTCAAATGCTGAACTCAATTTTGGCCGTTACCATTGCTGTCACTACTGCCGTGCATGTTGTTGTAATTGGACCAGAATATCGCGATGGAGCAGGAAATCGGCACCTGGGACTCGGTGCTGCTGGAGAACCTGTCTGAGGATAGTTTCATAAACAACATTCACCAACGCTATAAGCGCGATCACATATATGTGAGTCGTGAAAGTCCATAAGCTTTCCACATTCCTATAAATTTTTATTTCCAGACCTACATTGGAACTTCTGTTGTGGCTCTGAATCCATATCATCACATATCCGAGCACTCTTTAGACAATGTCCGAAACTATGGCGACAAAGGCATCTTCCAGCTGCCGCCCCACATGTATTATATTCTATATTCTTCATATACAGTTCTGATATATTTGTATTTACACTAGCTATGGCCTCACTAATCTTGCCTATCAGTCGCTCAAGGATCAGAGCGAGGACCAATGCGTTCTCCTCACCGGAGAGAGCGGGGCAGGCAAGACGGAGACCTTCAAAATGATTGTGAACTTTCTGACACACATACAGGATCGCTCACATTGTCCCGCCACCCCGAATGTCCTGCGCAAGCAATCCTCTACCAGCTCGGCCAGCGGGTTGGTGACGCACGCCCACAGGCGCGCGTCCAGTAGCTGCTCCGGCACTGCCAACTTTATTATATGCAAGAATCGTTCGGAAAACCCGTCAGCAACTATTTCACGCAGACAAAGTCCTTCTCCCGGACCCTCCCAGCGATCGCGGTCGCGGGCAGAGAGCATCGAACGCCAGAGCAGGCGCCACATGCGCGAGAAAATCGTTGACTTTGACTTTTCACACCACAAGAGCAGCGAGAATATAAGCTGCCTGCTCGAATCGCATGCCCACCAGTTGCATCCGACCAAGTCGTGCTTTAAGCACCAGCAGACCCAAGTCAGCGGCTGCACTGCCAATTTCCCGACCGCGAAAGGTTCTCCTAAATATGCTGTGCCCACTGTCTACGGCGGTTGTCGCCAATGCGGCCACAGTAAGTGCGTTCGTGGCCAGAGCCTAGAAAAGGAAGATCGAGATGAACTACAAGGCAGTAACTGTCGCTTATCCACCATAGCCAGCGTCGCAACTCACCCGACGCATCCGCATCGCGGCAGCTGTTCCAATCTGATCCGCCAGCACTCGACTGAGAGTCAGCCAGAGCGGGAACGGGATCGAAGCTCTCTTATGGGGTCTACGCAACGTATATCGCTGTACGATGCACACAAGCTGAGCAAAGTTCTGGGAGATCTGCCGCCTCCGCCGCCTAGCTCCGTTTCTCCCACGCCATCGGCCAGTTCGTCGCTGCACAGGCGCCACAAATCGCCCACGCAGCGGATGCGAGAATGCGTCACCTGTGCTGATGTGTTCCTTGAAGCAATGGGCAACGCCTGCACCCTAAAGAATAACAACTCCAGCCGATATGTGAGTGTAATAATTAAATAAATAATTTCAAATACAACGATAATGATAAAGGATAACGAATACTGATATATATTAGATCATTCATCTAGTTGTTTATATTTATTAACATTTCCTTTTTGTCTTCTTAGGGTAAATTATTCGATATCGAAATCGATTTTAAGGGCGATCCAATGGGAGTGCACATAACCCACTGTAAGTAAAACCCCTAAATATAAAAAAAAAATTACATACTATAGTGTGTCGTCTTTAATTTATTCTTGCTTACTTCTAAGATATGTTGGAAAAGGTTTGAGCTAGCTATATTTATATCAGCTTTTACATTTCATACTAATATTTGTTATTTTCACAGACCCGTATAACGGACACGATCATTGGGGAGCGAAATTTTCACATATTTTACCAGTTACTTTTAGGGGCTGATCTCCAGTTGTTAAGTAAGAAATCTCTATTGGAACTCTTTTAAAAGCACACCTAAAACTGTGTATATTGGCAGAATCGCTTAAGCTGTATCGGAATGTGGAAAAGTACGAGCTGCTACGCAACACAACTGCCATGGAGGAGGACCGTATGAATTTTCATTACACCAAGGTAGTAAATATGGATAATCATAGTGTGAAATAAATTATTTATTGTCAATCTTTTATAGCGATCATTGGATGTGCTAGGCCTTAGTTGTGAAGAAAGCAACTCCATTTTTCGAGTCATTGCAGTGGTGCTAAAGTTGGGCAACTTTATTTTTGTGCCTATCACCAACATTGATGGCACTGAGGGCTGTCAGGTGTCCAATGTTTACGGTAAGTTCTATGTGATTAACTTGAACATATTTTTCAATATTCATATTTACAGAGGTTCAAGAGACAGCACAGCTTCTTAATATAGAAGCTCAAATTCTGATTAACAGTTTAACCAGAGCAAATAGCTCGAACAGCGCGCAAGAGGATGTGGGATGCGAAATGGATGCAAGGCAAGCAGCTACCAACCGGAACACGCTATGTCGCACTCTCTACAGTCGCCTCTTTACTTGGCTGGTGAATAAAATTAACGAATCCCTAAAGTCAACACAACGAGAGAAAAACTTGGCTTTGCTAGACTTCTATGGATTCGAAGTGTTGGAGCACAACTCCTTTGAACAGTTCGCCATTAACTATAGCGCGGAAAAGATCCATCAGGCAAGTATAAAATATTTAAGTTAGGCATATTCCTAATTCTTTTTTACATTTCAGAATTTTGTTTTTCATGTGCTGCGTTCGGAACAAGAACTCTACATCCGCGAAGGGTTAGAGTGGTCGCGCATTGACTATTTTGATAACGAGTCGATTTGCGAGCTGATAGACAAGCCCAGCTATGGAATCCTGAGCTTGATCAACGAATCCCATCTAAACAGCAACGAGGCTCTACTCTTGCGGGTTCAGCAATGTTGTGCGGGGCACCCCAACTTCATGACCACCGGCAGCAACTCCATGTGCTTTCAGTACGTTTCCGAACTTATTTATATTAAACCAAATGTTAATTTTGATGTCCTTTTAGAATTCGTCATTATGCAAGTGTAGTGAACTATTCAATACACCGATTCCTTGAAAAGAACTCGGATGTGCTGCCAAAATACATCAGCGCTGCCTTTTACCAGAGCAAACTGTCCCTAGTACAGAGCCTGTTCCCGGAGGGGAATCCTCGTCGGCAGGCCACCAAGAAGCCTAGCACGCTGAGCTCGAATATCCGCACACAGCTACAGACGCTCCTGGCCATCGTTAAACATCGCCGCTCCCACTATGTGTTCTGCATCAAGCCCAACGAAGGAAAGCACCCGCACCAGTTCGACATGGCTTTGGTGCAACACCAAGTGCGCTACATGTCACTGATGCCGCTGGTCCATCTTTGCCGCACTGGCCATTGCTACCACCTGCTACACGTCAAGTTCTTTCACCGCTATAAGTTGCTCAATAGCCTCACTTGGCCCCACTTTCACGGAGGCAGTCAGGTAGAGGGCATCGCCCTGATTATCCGCAACCTACCGCTGCCTTCGGCGGAGTTTACGATCGGCACCAAAAATGTGTTCGTGCGCAGTCCGCGCACCGTATATGAGCTGGAGCAGTTTCGCCGCCTACGGATCAGCGAGCTGGCCGTGCTTATCCAAAAGATGTTCCGTATGTATTATGCGAGGAAGCGATTCCAACGCATGCGACAGAGTCAGATAATCATCTCCAGTGCCTGGCGGACATGGCGGGTAAGCTGTCATCTAGAAAATAACTTGCATGATGAGCTTTATTTTACTTTCATTTTCTGCACGTTTAGGAATGCCGATTTGGCATTCCTTTCACTGGTCGTAGGCATTTGTGGAGTTTATATCGTGTTGTAAGCATTGCATGATTTATTCTTTTCTTAAAAGCTATGATTATTTTCTTATTAATAATTTATTTATTTCCCTTCAGGCCCGCGAGGAGTATCGGTCTTTAAAATACAAACGCCAAGTAAAATGGGCCATCGACGTTATCGGTCGTTATTATCGGCAGTGGAAGATACGGCAATTCCTGCTGACTATTCCCCTGCGACTTCCACCAAATACGTTGAGCCCTCTCTCCACGGAATGGCCAGCGGCGCCTGTATTTCTAGCTGATGCATCACGACAGCTGCGGTCTATTTATCATCGTTGGAAATGCTACATCTACCGGAACTCATTTGATCAAACGGCACGCAATCGAATGCGAGAGAAGGTTACCGCCAGCATTATCTTCAAAGATCGAAAAGCCTCCTACGCGCGAAGGTAACTTATAATTCATTATAATTCATATTTTTAAAACTAAAATAAGATATTAATTATTTACTTTTTTCTGCAGTGTTGGTCATCCATTTGTGGGCGACTATGTTCGACTGCGACACAACCAGCAGTGGAAAAAGATCTGTGCCGAGACCAATGATCAATATGTGGTTTTTGCAGACATAATCAACAAGATAGCGCGGTCCAGTGGAAAAGTGAGCTAGGAAATTAAATTTATAATTGGACTTGTTACATTTTTTATTACTTAATTTTAGTTTGTTCCCATTTTACTGGTGTTGTCGACCTCATCGCTTTTGCTGTTGGATCAACGAACGCTTCAAATCAAGTACAGAGTGCCTGCTTCGGAGATTTACCGAATGTCTCTGAGCCCTTATCTGGATGACATCGCTGTGTTCCACGTGAAAGCGGTATTATATTCCTTAATTCTAATTAAAAATCAAGAGTTAATTTATCGCTTATTTCGTAGTCTGAATTCGGACGCAAGAAGGGAGATTTCGTGTTTCAAACGGGTCACGTTATTGAAATTGTCACCAAAATGTTTTTGGTCATACAAAATGCCACAGGCAAACCGCCGGAGATACATATAAGCACAGAGTAAGCTGAACACCCTGTATTAATTCTTTTGGATAAAAGATCAATTTTTTTAAATTCAAAAACAATTAACACATATCACCATATATTCTTGATAACTTTTACCAATGACCTTACAGATTCGAAGCGAATTTTGGCCAACAAACTGTCATCTTCTCGTTCAAATACGGCGGCATGTCGGACTTAGCACAAGGCCCACCCAAGGTCACGCGTAAGGCAAACCGAATGGAGATAATTGTGTGATGTACGACAGAATTAGAATCTAATCGCGGTAGCTCATTAAGTCTGCTGCTATCATCTTCGTCGCCTTAGGCAGAACTCGGGTTCGGCGGTCCGTATCCAAAATTCTTACCAGTCATCATGCAATTGCAATTACCATTGCCCTTTGCTGTGGTTGAAGTCTTTCGACTTTTATATGGTCCCAGGGATCAAAATACAATTTTAGCAATATATTAACACACTCACACTTCACAATTTAGTTTTGTTCACAAGTGACAATCAGAGTAACCAATTTGTTGTCAGAATTGTGCCAAAAGCAGGAAACTAGAATTGTACCAAGGAGTAGATAATGGATGAGCGAGCTAATTTTAAACTGCACTGTTTTATTTAACTACGTAATTGTAAAGTAAAAGCGAAAGAAACTAACGAAGTGAACAACTGAATTTACTCATCTAATTTGTCAAACTAGATTTAAGTGTAAGTCATGCACCAAGTCGATTAGCATTGCAACAATAAGTACGTACTGTAAGAAGGCACAGGGAAAGACGACGCTCGGGAGGATCAGAAACGGGTGTACGAGCGGATGCAGGTGCTGGATATGCAGTGTTTGGGATTTTACACAAACTATGATATTTCCGTTATAGAAACCAAGGCATTTCTCTTACATTTAAGGTTTCATACACAATAATTAGTGAACTAATGCTAGACAACAGACATATAAAACTCTTTATATACCGGAAACACAAATGAACCCAATGTATGCAGTTCGCTGCGACTTAGCCAAAAGGACAACTTTTCCCAAGAAAAAAAAAACAAAAACCAAAAATGTTAAACCAACTATTTACAAAGCAGAGCAGATGAGTAGTTAAATATTTCAAATAAATATATGTATACACCATACGAAATTAATAATGAGTCTATATAAAAGCGACAACAATATGGGTAAAAACAGAAGTCAAGTTTGTTACAAGTTGAGAACGAATGTATGTAGTTGTTTATATATAACTTGTTATTGATAGTTCGAACATCTACGTAATTCAAGCTGCAGTGGAGTTTTCCGATGTCTCAGAATATCTGCGACATTAAATTCCAACAGTTTTTATTTGTATTTAAGTTTTAAGCGAATACTTCGAAAGAAAAGCCAAATATGAGTAAATCGAAACCCAACCAGTTGGTAGTTTATAAAACAATGTTTAGCAATAATAAAACATACACATAGTAAATTGTTTGTACACACACCCAAAGGGGGAGCGATCCCCTTACAACTTGGACTTTGGCTTCTTCAGCATGTCGCGTAAAACACGACGGAGGATCTTGCCACTGGGGTTCTTTGGAATATCGTCCAAGAAGATAACACCACCCCTCAGGCGCTTGGCGGGCGAGGCATTGTCGTTGACGAACTGGATTACGTCGTTCTCTGTCAGCTGGACATTAGCTTGTTTCACTACAAAAGCCAGCGGCAGCTCGCCAGCCTCCTCGTCCGGCTTTCCAATAACCGCCGCGTCCTTAATCTTATCGTTGGTTAGCAGCAAAGCCTCTATCTCAGCGGGCGGAACCTGGAAGCCCTTGTACTTGATCAGTTCCTTAATACGGTCCACGATGAAGAACTCAAAATCATCATCGTAGTAGCCAATGTCACCGGTATACAGCCAGCCGTCCTTAATAGCCGTCTGTGTGGACTTGGTGTCCCCGATGTAGCCCTTCATGATGCCATCGCCCTTGAAGCACAGTTCTCCCCGCTCATTGGCTCCCAGTAGCTTGCCGGTGTCGGGATCAATTACCTTAGCATAGATTCCCACTTTAAGGACTCCAACACTGCCGGGCTTACAGAATTCATCGTTCTGCACTAGCACACTTAGTGTGGACTCGCTGAGGCCATAGCCCTGCCGGATGAACGGTACTCCAATGCGCTCCTTAATCTGATCCTCAGTCTCGCGACTCAGCGGGGCTGCCCCACACAGCAAGACCATTAGTGAGGACAGGTCGTACTTGTCAACGATAGGGTGCTTGGCCAGGAAAACCATTAATGGTGGAACCATGAAGGCCATCATCACTCGATACTTTTCGATGGCAGAGAGAAAGAGGTGTTCTTCAAACTTGGGCAGAAAGACCAGGCGGGCTCCGCGGCAAGCGGTGGTGATAAGCGTCAGGCAGCCAAAGGCGTGGAACCAGGGAATGACGGTGAGCAGAGTGACTTCCGCCATTGGAATCAGGGTAGGCTGGCTAATAAAGAAGACACCGTTGAAATGATATAACTTGTAATTGGCCTCAAAAACTTACATTTGCGAGTCAAGGGTGGCCAGTAGATTCATCTGGGTTAGTTGCACGCCCTTAGGAAGCCCGGTGGTTCCCGAAGAGCACACGATCAAGGACACATCCTGTTCCTTATTGGCCGCTGGGCTCGTGAAATCCGCTTTTGTCTGAAACTTGTCATTGTCCATCAACTCTTTGAGGGCATAGATGTTCTTGAAGTGCGTGGAGTTTCCACTGAGAGCGATTATGCCCTTAACGAATTTATTCTTGCTGGCTGCCTTGGCAACGCGATCAACGGTGATCTTGGAAGCGAATATGATCTTGGGCTTGGACAAATTAATAGCGTGATCCACCTCGCGATCTGAATAAGTTACATTTAGAGGAGCTACAGTGGCTCCAACTGCGAAACCGGCGAACATGGCAAGGGCGAAGTTTACGCTGTTCTCGCTGGACAAGCCGATGACGTCATTCTGCTTGACCCCCAGTTTCTGCAGGATGTAGGCCAGACGTACAATGGACTTGTGCATGAAACTGGCAGAGTAGTCCACTCCATTGACAGCATCTACCAGCACCGTCTGGTCGCCAAAGCTTTTGTACTTATCCAAAATGTACTGCCCCAAGGATCTGTAATCCTGAGCCTCTCGTTCGGTCACAGGACCTCCATAAACAATATTACCCGGCAGCAGAGTCGAAGTCATTTTGTATCTGCAAAAAAGGAAAACGTAATAGTTAAGGCTTAGCACTTTATAATGGGTTATAATACTAGATAAACGGACACTAGTCTTTTTATCTACTAAATATTGTTCCACTGTATGGTAGTCTTCAAATAGTAGTTGATTGTTACAAAAAATGTTTGGAAAATTATTCCCTAAGGCGTCACAGGGGTTGAAGTTTTAGCCAACCCTTGAAACCAGCACTATTATAGCCACACTTTGAACCCCCTGGGCTATCTTATCGTACCCGGTAAGTAGATCTTCTACTGTAGCCGGACTTGCCATCGATGTTAACAATGTTCCGTGCTATCTGAGATAATGGATTATAGAAAATCTGCATGTTCGCTAGTCCAGGTTCCAAAGGTCGTAGTTCGCCGCTTTTGAAATGACATTTTCCTGTTTTCCTAAGTATTTACAACTTGTTTTTCGAATAAACACTAATTAAACCTTGTAATGTTTATGTTTAACACCACTAATTTATTCATTATCATTAAGGTATTCCTTTTGACTAACCTACGGTCACTTTTCTATATTTCGATGTGAGCGGGAGCGGCTTCGATGCGAAACTAAAAGTTCGTCAGAGGATTGCGAGGCGAAATCGGATGTCAGGCTGCGTTTATGGCACGATTAGATTAACGTATTTGATAAGTCCGGGGGGTGTAGTGCGCAAGCGCGAGCAGTGGCTGCGGTTTTTTCATTCAAAGTAAACGAAAAGTGCAACGGAAAATCGGTCATGGGGGTGGTGGGGGAAGAATTCGCAGGAAAAACAACAGACAGCTGCTTGAAATCTTTATTCGATAAATGTTCATCGAACTGTCAACAGTAAGACAACTGACAGTCTGGCAACGCCGTAGGTTTATTTTTATTTATGTGCGGTACACTGGGTTTCTTGAGAGATATTTGTTTAAATCCAAATAAGTTAAAAATAATAATAATTAATTGATTAATAAAATTATTATAAAAGGTCCTAAATTAATTAAAATAAGGTTGACTTCATTGAATTTCGAATTTACAAATATATACAACTTCTGAAATGAAAGCTTTCTATAAATAAAACTTAAAAAATTACATTAATAACATTTTCTAAATAACCTCTTCATCATTTTAAATGAAAATGACATATATTTCATTCAATTAAAGGGAAATTATCACAAACGCAGGCCCAGACCATGCATATTAGTGACCCTAAGCAAGTGCCATTATTCAAGTGTAGCGCATTTGTAAGTTGCTTCCGATCGAGCCATTGCTACATATATTCTGATTCACGGATTTCAAACACGCATCGAAATGGAGTAATAGCGCAAATATAGGAAATATGCCAGCGGCCAGTGCTTAGTTGTTGATATTCTTGGGCGTGGAGCAGAAGTCCATAATATAGGCGCATAGCTACCTCAAGATAAACGTAATCAGAACGGTATTATCGATCGTGCCGTTGTTTAATGGTTAATATCTCGTTGATAGGTACCACTAACTTGGGTGACGACGCCCTTTTATAAGAAAAACAATGTCTGCGTGTATAACAAAAAAGTTCTACAAGTTGGACATAAACCGAACGGAATGGGAAATTCCAGAAATATATCAGGACCTGCAGCCCGTGGGATCGGGAGCCTATGGACAGGTGTCGAAGGCTCTGGTTAGGGGCACCAACATGCATGTGGCCATCAAGAAACTGGCCAGGCCCTTTCAATCCGCCGTGCATGCCAAGAGAACATACCGGGAGCTCAGACTTCTAAAGCATATGGATCATGAAAACGTAATAGGTCTGCTGGATATATTCCATCCGCATCCGTCGATCTCCTCGCTTGAGAACTTCCAACAGGTGTACCTGGTCACTCACTTGATGGATGCGGATCTGAATAATATTATAAGGATGCAGACCCTGTCCGACGACCATGTCCAGTTTTTGGTCTACCAGATATTGCGAGGACTAAAGTACATCCACAGCGCCGGAGTAATCCACCGTGATCTAAAACCCTCAAATATTGCCGTCAACGAGGATTGCGAGCTGCGGATTCTAGATTTCGGATTGGCGCGTCCCACGGAGAACGAGATGACGGGTTATGTAGCCACGCGGTGGTACCGCGCACCTGAGATTATGCTCAACTGGATGCACTACAACCAGACCGTGGATATCTGGTCGGTGGGCTGCATTATGGCCGAACTTATTACCAGACGCACATTATTCCCTGGGACCGATCACATCCACCAGCTTAACTTGATCATGGAGATGCTAGGCACGCCACCAGCCGACTTTATGAAGAAGATCTCATCGGAGAGTGCACGTGCCTACATCCAGTCCCTTCCGCCCATGAAGAGAAGCAACTTTAAGAAAGTTTTCGAGAACGCTAACCCGCTAGCCATTGACCTGCTGGAGAAGATGCTGGAGCTGGACGCCGAGAAACGTATAACAGCCGAGGAGGCATTGGCCCACCCGTACTTGGAAAAGTACGCCGAGCCCAGCGACGAACAAACCTCGCCACCATACGATCACAGCTTCGAGGACATGGATCTGCCGGTAGACAAGTGGAAGGAGTTGATCTACAAGGAGGTTACCAACTTTAAACCTCCGCCTTCGTTTGCTGAGGTACTGAAAAGTGTCAAGTGAATATCAATCCATCCATCAAGGACAAAGTATTAACCAGGTCAATTTATTTTTATACCAATTTACAATTTAAACGATGCCTTTTGTACTCAATTGTACGAATTCCTATTTTTGACTAAAGTTTTTGTTTTGTACTATTTTTTACCAATTTGTTATGGCTTGCCACTAATACTATATTGTATATTTTACAATAAATTCGTTTTTCTAAAAACTAAGACTTTCAATAAATAGCGAAATAGAACCTATTGTTTTCACTGTTTTGACAGTAGTATTGGTTGATGTATGAATTTACATTGGTAATCGAATATTAGGCGATTTATCTCTGTTTATATTTTCCGGTCGTAAAGAGAAATGAATCATTGGGAACTAAATGACTGATAAGGTTCTAAGAACACGTTGATAAAAAATGCAGTTAAGGTAGGTAGGTGTGCGATTGCGAATTTAGTATTCCTTCAACTGTCGATCACTAAAGATATTTGTTTCAGAGTTTTGTAAAGAATGGAGGGATTCACAAGAATTCAAATAAATCACAGCGTTTGGGAATTCCCAGACATATATGAGTTTGTTAAACCCCTGGGAGCCGGTTCATATGGGCAGGTGGCCAAGGTGAGACATCTGGGCAGTCAAAATTGTGTTGCTATGAAAAAGCTGGTGCACCCTTTTGAAAGAGAAGAGGATGCGAAGGGCGCCTATCGTGAGATTCGCCTGCTAAAGCACATGAATCACCGGAATGTTATCAGCTTGCTAGACGTCTTCCATCCGCCTTTGGAAATGAACGACTTTCGGCAGGTTTATTTGGTGACCCACCTAATGGACGAGGATCTGCACAGGTACTCGCGATCAAATGAGATCAGCGAGTACCATATAAAGTCAATTATGTATCAAATACTACGGGGTCTAAAATATATTCACAGTGCCGGAGTCATTCATCGCGACTTAAAGCCCAGTAATATTGCTGTTAATCAAAATACCGATGTGCGTATACTTGACTTCGGCTTGGCCCGTTTGTCCGGCAGAAATATGACAGACCCTGTGGGAACCCTGTGGTACCGATCTCCCGAGTTGCTCTTTGTCAGGGGTGACTACACAAAGGCAATAGATATGTGGTCTGTAGGTTGCATCTTGGCGGAACTTATCTCGGGACGTGCTTTATTTCCTGGTGACTGCTATTTCAATCAAATGGACTGCTTGCTTAATATAATGGGTACGCCGTCAGAGGAGTTTGTTAACGGTATAGAAGTGCCACGTGCGCGAAGTTTCTTATTGAACTATCCATATCGGGAAAAACGAGACTTCCGTCAGATGTTTCCGGATGCCAATCCGCAAGCCGTGGATTTGATGCAGCAAATGCTGGAAATGGTACCCGAAAGACGTATTACAGCTTCAAGGGCAATGAAACATCCGTTTCTTAAAGATTTTATTGAGCCACAACATCACGACGAGGACATAGCTCCAGCATATGATCAAAACTTTGAAAACATGGTATTACCCGTAAAATGCTGGAAGGAGCTTATTTTCAATGAAATTGCCAATTTTAGAATACAAATTTAGAAATAAACACATTTCATAGAGAAATCGGAAATCATTAAAGAATTCATTAAAAATTGTCTTATGTATACGGCCTTGCAATATATTTTAAAAATGATTATAAAGTCAATGGCGTTTACTTTGTGCTTTAAAATTAAAGAAAATAGCCATCTTTTTTAACAATAAATAATGCTTTCAATAAAAATTAAAATTTTGTTTTATACATAAATGTAATACAATTCTAATTAGGATTTGTAATATATATGTTGGATTTTATTATTTAGCCAAACCACTATACCATAGTGTTCGTACTTTACTCCAGAAAAGATAAGTAACAAGGGAAATCCCCAGTTTTATTTTTAAATAAAAATTAACGACTTCCGTTATGGGAATACCCTCATTATTTCAACCAGATCTGGCAGCACTGGTAACAGCTGACTCTGGCTTACTATGCCGGTTGGCTTTGTTGTTGCATTTAATAATAACAAATATGTTAAGCTTGCGAAGTGTAATAAAAAAAGGGCTTTCGGCCAAGAAAACATGCAGTAGAAATATCTCAGCTCTCTACATAACCGGCGATAAAGCCAACGAGAACTATGTGACGCTGCAGCCCTATCTGGATTTCAAGGGAACTTTCAGTGACAGCCAATCTTTGGAGCAAAGCATAGCAAGCAGGGGATCGGACATCCGATTAGAAAGTGTTCTAAGCAAGTACGAAAAGTATGAGATGCATCACGCCCAACTTGCCAAGGTAGCAGAGGAACGTGAGGCGGTGACCAAGCGACTGAAGGAGATCACCAAATCTGGAGGCAGTGCTGACCAACTCGAAGAGCTGAAAGAGCGTGGAAAATCGTTGCGCAACGACTTAAAGACTCTAAAGCAGACACTTTATCCTATCGAGGACGACTTTATACATGACTTCCTGAATTTGCCTAACCATCTGCACGTGCAGTGTCCCACTGGGGTTGAGGAAAAGCTCATGTACCGGCATGGCTTACCCAAGTCAGAAAAAGTCCCGTCTCATTTGGTCTGTGAAGACCTTATACACTTTGTAGACAACAACAGGTATTACATGTTGGATCAGGCTGCTCACTTTGATATCAATGCCGTGCAATCTCTGGCTCGATATTTCGTCAACCATGGAAACTTTATACAAACTGCCAATCCGGACTTTGTGCGTTGCGTTCTCTTAGAGGCAAATGCAACGCCATTGGATGATTATCACCTGGTACAGGAAGAACATCTGCAAAACAAGATAAATACAGCCTATTTAACTGGTGGAGCTGCCTTCGAGAGTTACTTGGGCGCCATGACAAAGTTGTGCCTATATCCCTCTGTGCTGCCCCTGCGATATGTGTGCTGCGGTCGGAGTTACAATAAAGCGGAAACGAAGCTGTATGGGCCCACTCCCAGTCTTTATACAGTGACTCAGACGAATGCGGTTCAAAGCTTTGTGGCAACTCAAACGGCTCAGGAAGCGGACTCCCAGTTGGAGCACATACTGAATCTGTCAATAGACTTTTACAAAGCTTTGGACATACCCTTTCGGGTTGTATATGCACCAGCAAATAATCTGACCCCGGCGGAGAGCCTCCGGGCAGTTATAGAGGTATATGCCCCTTCACTCCAGCGTTACGTGTGTGTGGGACGAATTAGCAACTATGGAGACTTTGTCTCCAAGCGAATCCTCTTTAGCACGCGGCGAGACAAGCACTACGACTTCCTCCAGTTAGTAGGCGGACCAGTGCTCTACACCTCACGACTTATAGGAGCTCTTCTGGAGCACGGCGTTCGACTGGAAGACTGCAAGCTATTGGGAACTACTACCCAGAAACCCACCCATCAGCAGGATCTGCAGCAGTTCAAGGACCTTTTCACGTAGAAACCGATCTTTGTTCAGTTTTTTGTTGTGTGTCTTAAGTCTAACAATAAGTAAAAGTTAAGTTTTACATACAATTATTTACAATCTAGTGTAATCTCATGGTCAGCAGTGGGTTGAGCCCACATGCCGAAAGGCTAATCGCTGCACTTGATCTGCAGCTTGGGAAATCTCTTGCGAAAGTTTTCGCATTTAGGCGTGGTGAAGGTAAAGACATTCCTGGAGTCGTCCAGCACGGAATTAGGACTGGATCGCGGAACCCTCAACACATAGGTGGTGTTGTACTTGAGTTTGCTAAACTCCAGTGGGTCCTTCTGCAATCGATAAAAAAGGTAAAAAGTTATACGAAATAGTAATTGTTTGATTTTTTTTGTAAGGCGTACACCTATGCCATGGCTCAGTTCCTTTCATCATTATTGGGCTAAATTTTGATTGGCATTTGACCACGTACTGGCTATTCTTAAAACGTGTTTTCCGTGTCAAAAGGAGGAAACACGATTGCGCCTTGTTAAACAATACCCCATGGTCAACGATGTTCCACTGATTGCCCTTGCCCGGTGGTCCGGCCAATCGGCACGAAGTATTCCGACATGTGGCTCGTGGCACCCATCAAAACAAATCAAGGGTATTACTTACTTTGGCGCGAATGGCGCGAAACTCTCGCTGCTCGCAGTTCGTCTCCTGGGGACACAGTTCATAGACCCTGCAATTACATTGGGGAATAGCGTGAAATGTCTGCATTTCGGCTATTTGTTTACAAATAATTACTTCTCCTTGTGCGGCTGGAAGCCCAGAATCTGCACAATCATGCCGAACTTCCGGTTCAGCCGGAAACCCACTTCATACGTGGCGGCCGTTGTCCGGTTTGCAACATTGAGTGAAAATTCATTTAGGCCAGATGGCGCCGGGGTCGTGGTCCGTTCCAAGCTGTTGGAGCTGCTAATGTGATGATGCCTGCGTCTATTGCCATTCCCGGAGCACTGAAGTGGTGTGATTGGTTCTAAGGGCTGCATCGTTGTGTTGAACAGCATTGATAGCTTTTCGGACTTGAGGCGACGTGAGCCAATGTAGGAGATGGCTTGCACCTGGATATAGTACGAAGAGTTGGGCAGCAGTTCTTTGATCTCGAACTGGTGGGTCTGAAAGGAACACGAGCTGATTGATACTGGTGGTGATCGTGCATGAGTACCAAGGTATTCACTCACATCCTTAACATAGGAGTCCATGGTAACTATTGAGGCCTTCGCGCTGTTCACATACAAGGACCAACTGATCTTGTACTTCTCCACGGGCAGATTTGACTTAGAAGGACACCATACCAGCTTAACATTCATAAAGACTCCATCAAACTGCTTAGCGATGATCTTTGAATCGTTGGGAGCCTTTGGAGGCTTTGGGTCTAAGCGATATAACGTGGTTGATGGTTAGTTGGAAAACCCGAATTAAGTTACTCACTACCCGTTGAGGGAAAGGGATCACTTGGCTCTGAATATCCCCGGAATCCAAAAGCGTTAACGGCAGCCACTCGAACTTCGTACCATCGACCTGGTCGCATATGAAAGAATATGTACGTGCTGTGGGAAAGCGCGAAAAAAAATTATTTGACATTAGGATTGGAATAAAGTTCAACTTACTGCTTGCTAAGACCGATGTTCTCCTCCATGGTCTTTTCCACCTTCTGCCATTGCCAAGGTCCAAGTTTTCTTTCTGAAAAATGACGTCCTATGTGTGATCGTACCTCCACATGGAAGTAGTAGACGAGTAGCGAGGACTCGATTTTCAGATCAACGGCATGACCCCGTGACCTCCTAAAGTACAGGATCTTAGGTATAGGAGGAAGTTGCGTGTTGTTCCTTACGCCAAGAGGTTCCACGCACATGGGTCCACAACTAGATGCGCAACACTTCTGTACCTCGGGGCATTCGTGATCATACTGACAGTTGTCCAGGCAAGAAAGCCTTGCTCGAGTCTGCCTTCCAATTTTGGGACAACTGCCGGCTCTAGGTCCCAATAACAGCTCCTGGATGCACTTGTCCAGGCACAGTTCCCGTCCAGCTTTGTTTGAAGGATTGCTTCCGCACCTTGCCAAACACTGAAGTTCCAAAATCTTATCCTTGACGTCGTTACTATCCCTGAACCAGTGCGCCAGCTTCTGTCTCTGCAGTTGATGAGACGACGATGTGGATGAGGTATATAGGGAGGATCCATTGGCCACGTCTTTGGAGGATAGCCGGCCAAGAACAAGCAGCGCCAAAAGCGCCACTTGCATGCTGCCCATCTGAAGCGATCCGATTCTCAGGGATTGCAATCTGGAAATGATCGTATGTCAGGTGATCAGCTCTTGGTTTCTGGACATTCCGTGCGTTCGTAATTTGTGCCGATCATCAGCAGCAGCCCGCTGATTATGCTGAAGGATCACCCGCTCCGCTGCCCCACGATTTCGATGGGAGCCAAACCGGTTTCACCCATTTTGCATGACCAACTAACTAATCATTCCTCGCATTTGTGCCGCCCGACCCCAGAGTCGAGGCAATGAAAATGCAAAAAAATACATAAATGTATCTCAAGTGCTTGACAGGACTTCAAAGCGCGCATCATAGTGCGTGCCACGAGAGCATCGGACGGACGGCCAGACGATGCCAGTTATCTTCATTTGAAGATGACTCTTTGATGCCCTACAGTCCACCGCTCAATTTGCCCAAAAAAAGCAGGGCCCTAAACTGGTTTAAATATTAAAAAAATTTCTGTATATTCCTTAACAGCAAACTAGTAAAACAGTTAGTTTCAAAATGTGCATAAAATACATTCTAATTTTTAATAATTGAAAACCAATCATTAACTATTATATCTTGATTATTTTTCAAAATAAAATGGATGTTCACCATTACAAGTACAATTATAAAAAGAATCCGCGAAAGAATGTGAAGAGAACCCCATTTGAAACATTTTTTTAAGTGTAGAAATCTTCGCACCTTTCTAAGCACTGACAGCTCATTTCATCTTAATTTTCCATTGTCGATTCTTAGAAGACTCGAACCGGCTCCTCGAAATTCTTCAATATTTTTCCGTAGCCATCGATATCGATGTGCTCGCTTCGATTCCATGTAGGGTATTTAGCACGCAAATGGGAAACTAATGTTTTATGGTATGGTCGATGGTCGTCGGTTTATGTTGTTGTTTTGGTTTTTGTTGCTGTTCGACTGCGTGTGAATGTGCAGGCAGCGAAAACAAAATCGAGAAAAATACGGCTACGACGAATGTGCGAGAGCTGCAAGTGGATGTCACCACATCTATAGGCACATCCATAGCCATAGCCACCATCCGCAGTCGCAGGGGCAGCAGAAGCACCACCAGCAGCAGCCTCATCAGATCAGAAGCCTAGCCAGCAGATGCCGCACATACCAAGGCGATACAGACACTCTGGGAGCAGTCGAGTGGAGAAGTGGTGCAGCGATGCGGTGGTTAGTGGCGGTGGGGCAGCCAGGAGATGCCATGCCTTAGCACAGCTGGGGCTAGTGACGTATATGAACCTTTTTATATTTATTTTTAACTTATTTTTAAAAAAGTTCACAATGTTTAACACTTAAGATTTTTTGTCAATGGCAAAACTACGTATGATTAATTAGTGTCAATTTCATAATATTTGTCGTGGTTTAAAAAAGAATTCATACTGACATTAGGAGTAGTCCTTTAATTTTTCAGTTTTATCCATATTTTGGATCGATCGGACTAATATTACGATCACAGCAGGTAAATTTATATACTGCGATTTCGAATATTTCTCCGAAAAGTATGCCACGATTCAAGAATCGATCAAGAATTGATAACTGAGAGCCAGGAAGCTCTCTTAATTGTAGAAAATTACATTTTTTTATAATACTCAAGATAAGGCACTAAAAATGTACTTAAAAATCGCGAAAATTTTATTCAGATTTATATAGGTAATATTGTAATATTATTATTATTTAAATCCCCAAAATCGAAACCATATAATTTTATTTTTGGATTTTTTTTGCTGACCGCAGCTGTGGGTATTGCCTTCCGACTGGGATACGATGAACTGGGGGGCAAGGAGCTCGGAATGGCTACGGGGAGTGCAGGCCCGGGGCGGCCTAACTGAGGGACATTAAGCGACAAATGAATGTGCGCGACGATCGACGCAAGAAGATGAAGCGGCGACTGCGACGACGACGATCACCAAGAGCAGACGAGATGAAATGCACCAAGTTCCGCGGAACGAAAAATTTGCAACAAAATTGGGCAGTAAAGCGTCGGCAATGCGGGGATTGGGATGGGGCTGGGGCTTGGGTATCGAGTATGGGGTATGGGGCATGGGGATTGGGGATGAGGATCGCGGCCACGACTCTTCCAGATGAATGGGTTCTGCGGCTGACGCTGATGAGACAGCCGAGTCGCAGCCAGGCTGGCTGCCGTTGCGTAGAGGCGATTAATTGCTTTTAACGATTCAAAAATTCAAAATTACTTTTTATGCTTTACGCACACCAAGACGAAAAGGCACTTGGCGAGCATAGCAAGGCACACATATGATGCACTTGAAAAAATGTCTAAAAAAGAAAAAAAAAAGAAGTAAAATTAAAGCTAAAAGGATCTACAAAGGATGGTCGGAAGATAAGATTATTAACTTGAATATAATTCTTAACAAATAAATGTTTTAAAGTGTTCCTATTCGACCATAAATTTGTGGAATTTTCACTAAAATGAATTTTGTTTCATCAAAATGTAGATTAAAAAGGTTGTAGGCATTAGAAAACATTCTAAATAGCCTGTTTGTATAAAATAAAAGACGTTTAGTTTTAGAACAGATGTTTTCTGCCAGTGTACATACAGGGGAGTTGTTAAGGAGGGCAGCAGATGGAAATGGGGATGAGGATGATGGGGGGCACTAAGATCCGGATCGATTTCGTTGACGTCGTTGCTGTGATAAATCGTTGGTGGTTGCTGCTGTTGCTGGAGTGTTGCTTTTGTTTTGCCTCCAGTTGCAGCTCTGTCTCCATCTGCACCCCCATCCCTACACCAGCCACACATTGGTCCTCCATTTGGGGCTTACTACAATAGCAATCCGGCGACAATGGCCAGCAAACTCAAAGCAACAGCAGCAGCAGCAGCAACTGTGTGTAATATGATGCAAATCGTTTAACACTTTGACCAACAGCAGCAACGTCATCGCATTGTTGCCCCTGCTTCTGCCAAAGTGCATTGGTGGTAAAAAAAATAAATAAATAAAAAATAAACGTTAACGCTCACAGAGGGCAAGTAACAAAACACCACCGAAAGAGGGAGGGGATCAATCATCAATTTTTGGGGGCAAAGCCAGTACGGCAGGATCATATTGAGAAGCTCGATGGTTTGGTTGGGCTAAGAGTGGGTTCCATAATACCCACGATCATTGCTGAATCACAGTTATCCATAATGTAAATAGCAACTGAGTGTTTATTGTTTGCATTAAAAGAAATCGTGAAGTTCCCTTCTCAAATATCATGAAAATAAAGTGTGATTAGTATGCGTCAGAAGTCAACGTTTTTGATGCATGCAAATTTATAGCCAAAACAATTCATCATCAATATTATTGAAAAATTATATTTTCCAGAACCATGTTTCTTTTTATCTACAATTTATGATTGTAAACTGTTGGAGTTACAAATGAGCTGGCCAATAAAATACTTTGAAAAGAACCAGAAACTCGATAATCCATTTTACTAATTTGAGATTACCTAGCTACCCCGAGCTAGAAACTTGGTATTGTCCCCTTTGTTGTCAAGTGGCGGTATCCCCGGATCACATTGTGCCATTTAAACCCACGAGGAAATCCAAGCAGTCCCAATGGAAGCCCATTTATGGGGTTCAAGCACCCAACTGGGCATGTGCTCAAGCTCAAGCTCAACCGGAGCGAATCGGAGTAGGATGTGTGTCCATGGCGGTGTCGGATTCTACATCAGGTTCTGAACCCGAAGCCGTGCTCAAGGTTCAGCGATATTATATGTCGAATGTGTACATTCATACTCGTACTTCCGATTTTGGTATTGCCTGAAAGCTTCTCTCAGGGTTCCTAATTCGAAAGTTTTAGTTTAATTATTAAGTTCCCCAAGAGGAACTCTGTCATAATAAAGATCGAATTTTTAAACAATTTTACTAACGTTTCTTTGCCAATTTAAATTTATATTACAACTGCTGCTGTGGCACAAGTAAAAAACTTTAAAAACATAAGAACGTAACTTGTTAGATTTGATTTTCGATTTCCTTAAGACTATTTACAGTGTTCTTTAGTCAAAAAACGCCGGTACACTATGTGTCCGGCTAAGAGAGCTTTTATCTTGAGAGAATTCATGTTGCAGCATGTCACCCGTGCACTATCCGATGGGATCTATATGCATCCCCGTTTGGCACCCCTATATCGCCACCACCATCCTTACTCATCCGCAATTAGCACGAAGGCAATCTCATTTACGCCGACGGAATTGCGCAAGTGGCGAGCAGTGCGAAACATTTTTAGGTACTCACGGTAATGGAAACACTTTTGGGTGAAACACTTTCGGATGCACTGGCTCCACCTCGCGATCTGCGTTCTACGTACACCTACGTAGCCGAAGCGCCTTCTTTGATCGCTTGCTTCCACTTTATTATTTAATTCGCCGCACTGTTCCGATTTCCGCTCCTGGGAACTGGCAACTTGGAGCCCGATCCAAACCCCAAACCGAACCACACCGAAACCGTTTCTAAATGGGATTCTCAAGTGGGAGCTCTTTTCGTGCGACCGTTGCGCTGCAGCCGCCAAGAGAGAGTGACACACTGAACGCCACGGACTCGGACTGCAGGGCTCGGGCTCCAATTCTCCCGTTCTCCCGCCGCTCTCTCGCGCACAGTGGTTGAAATTAGAGGATTTTTGAGTTGATTTAAAGACTAAAGTAATAATGTGGGCATATTTATTTTTTCAATTCTATGATTACTTCCAGTTTAGTATTAATAATAAGTTAATTTAAATAATTTTGTTTTGTTTAAAAAAAAAAAAATTAAGTGATAAAATAATATGCTTTGGTCATTTGGACCCACAGTACTTTGCTCCACTTGCTATCGCTCCCTCTCAGCATCTTTCGGTCAGTGTGTGTGCCAAAACAGAGATCTCCATCTCCATCTCCATCTCCACCTCCCCGTCTCGCTTGCTCTCCCTTTCTACTACTACGATGCCGCGCCTCCCTTGTTTTCATTCAAAATTTCATTAAAGGATGCACACACGCACGCACACCCACACATTGGTCTGTTGATTTGCATGCACCAATTACTTTATTTTCGTGATTACACATTTACACTGTGATTACAACGGGAACCTGAAAACAGATTAGGTTCTGATCGTTCGCATCCTTGGATTCCCACAACATGCTGCCTTTCATCTGTAACACAGAGGGAAATAGTGGAGTTTGAAAAAATATTAAGATTGTACATAAAATGACATTTAGGTTCTTGAGGATCAATGTCTTCTTAACTTACCACCGGAAGAGTTTCGTTTACGAAGATGTTCGCCCAATACGCCTTACCATCACTGGCACTCTCTATACATCCATGGTCCCCGTCGCAAGGATCGGGACTTATGGCCGCCTGGGTCTTGATATAGTTAAACACCCATCGAACTTCGTGTTTGAGAAAAGTTACACCGTTACCTGCAAGTGGAATGTATTAGTCATGTTTATAAGTGGGGGATCCCTAGAATGACCCTCAAATAACGCTTTATAAGCATTTCAATTTTATGTACTAATATGTAAGCCTCAGGCTAAAGTTTGTTTATTCAAATCTGAATTCTATCCAATTAAATGAATCTGTTTTTTGCATGCTCCCTTTATACTTAAAGTTTGGCCAATCTTTGTTACACCCCCTATCGGGTATTAGTACTCCAAATGTTCGATTCGTGCTGAGATCAATCGATTCGATTTCGTCTCCATTTCTGCTGATTCATCAAAATATCATTAAGCATTCATTATTTTATTTATGGATCGACAGTGGGGCGGAGTCCCAGGCTGCAATCGATGTCAATATCTTAACGACTGCAACGAAGTAAACAGTAGTAGCAGCAGGAAATTTGGTGAAATTTTCGAAGATTTACAATCTTGGATCAATTATATATATTTACGGCAGGTGCTTATCATTATTGCCATCATTATTTGAGCACGCAGTGGCTGTTCCACTACCGAATTCTCAGGGGGTTCTATAAACATGCCCCGCCAAACATCCGCTGTCCACCTGATCGAACATGTTTCGCCCGCACTAGATCTATTTTCGTTTCCGACTGACTTTTGCTCGGAAAGCGAGGAGAGGGTCTCTTTCTCTTAGGAATTCCGTATGCACGGATCTGGTGTTATCAGTGCGTTGATATATTTGTATTTACCATTATCATCGAAGCGAACAGTAACCTTAATGGTCGCGTTTCGGGCCATGGAGCAAGGCAGTGTCGTACAGCTCTCGATCTCCAGGTAGCTGACCTGGTACAAAGAACCTGAAATAATCAAAGGATCTTTATATAAGTTAAGTCTAGGATAAAAAAAGTTATATGTAATCAATAACAGAAGGTGACTTTTAAGACTTTCCTTGAAAAGTTAAGCTTTTAATTTCATGTTATTAAATTAGGAAACTCCAAGATAGATAATTTCCTATCCGAAATTAAGTGCACTAATTGGGTACGTGACATTGTACATGCCACTGCCACACCCTACATACACCTTGGCAACTAATTTAAACTTAACTTAAGTAAAAAAACTTTCCCAGCAACTAAGTTGAGTTATCTGCGATCCACACAGACATACACCTATATATTCACATTTCTGAATAATCTATAATCTATGACCAATTGCACTTTCCAAGGCCGTCGCACAGTTTCTATCTTTAAAATGAAGCCTGTTCAATAGTCAAGATTAATTAAGTCATTTATTTGATCAGTATCCTCTAAGGGGGCGTTCGCTTGTCTATCAGCGTCATATTTTGCAAGGTAATCCCCCATAAGGGCGTCATATCTGTTTGTTTACAGTTCTTCAAATCTATAACATAAATCATTGATTTAGTGGGCACTCCATAAATACTTTTTTAATCAAAAAAACGAAAAACCAGAATACAATTAATAGTCTGTGCCCTGGGAAACTATAAAAACTTGACGAAGTTTAAATGCCCTGAACTACTAAACTACTTAATTGAAAATGGTTAAAAATAGGTTTGCAATTTTTTTTACATGGCTACGAACTAGTATGCCTTTATTGGCCGTAAATCAGATTTTGGTTGTAGTTTTGATAAGAGTCTGAGTAAATGAAATACCCTTTACAATCAAAAAGAGCGTCCCATTTAGGTAATTTATAATGCATACAGGTAATTTTTGCTAGTGTCATCCGAAAAGCTGGGTTTTTTAGTTCCTAACCTATTTTCAAATTATAATCTGATAATGTTTTTCGATTGATTAATTGTGGTTATATATCATAATTTTTATTTATCATATCACGCTTAATACAATGTGTTGAAAATGTACGCTATACAATCAGTGAAATACCCTTTATGATAGTTGTATTTCATTGCGGAAGCAGCGGTTCAAATCAGATGAGATTGGGCCCTATGATACTTCCAATGGTGTGTTCTAATCGATATACTTACACGATGACGCTACAAAATATTTTATTCGTATAAATTGGGTTGATTTCTTTAGCGAAGATGGTCGGTGAGGAGCGAACGATCATGAAAATATACAGAAACTAGTGAAAATCGCTTGTGATGTCCGCTATGTATCAATTTTGGAGACTTCGTTGGGTCTATTTTTTTTTAGAAAATGTAAGATATCATGAAGGATAATCTTTATCTTTAAGAACCGACGACCCACCGACGAGCACTGATTGTGGGATATACTCACCGCAGTCTTCGAAGGGTAGAGATCTGAAGGACAAGTATTTTTTGTAGACGGCATCTCTAGTTGACTTGATTGTTCCGCCGGCCATTTCGTGGACAGCGCAAATGACCAAGAGTATTTTTAGGTAGTAACCCATGAAGGCGCCGCGCATGTTTTAATCACTCTTCGAGATCTTGATTTGTGATTCGATTAGAATATCGGCCAAACTCGATTCGTTTTGGTGTGCAAATAGCTTCCAAATGTCAAAAACAATAACAAACGGGTTCGATAATGAGGATCACGGGCTAGCGACGTTTTTTCGGCGATACGATTTGCTTGGTGGTTAATAGGTGACTGACACCAAGAATAGTGGGTTCCACCAGAAGTAGCCTGGCTCTCTTCCATAGAAGAGTACTTGCCCTCTCCGGCTAAACGTAAATAAATAAATACTTCGCGGGCGCTTAGGCAATAAACTTTGATTTATTGACTGGAAGCCGATTGGAGCAACTAACGCTGACTTTCGCTCTCTCTCTCTCTCACTGATACCGCTACCGATTCACTTTTAAAGGTTTGGTATAGGGGATGTCCGTGACGTCGCATAGGGGCTTGTGTCGGTATAGGAGTGGGTGGTTGGGTGGCGGGCACGCGAGTGAGTCGCCTCTATAAATACCTCAAAATAAATCAATTGCTTCTGGCGATGTGTAGATAAAAGTAACCAGCCACTTGACTTTAATTGAAAGTTAAAGAACATAGCGAATCGTAATTAAATATTAGATAATGCCCCCTTCAATATATCAATTTAATCCGCAGACAACACCGTGCGAGGTGGAAAATTTCGGAATGTGACTCATTTGGGCAGCTGAACTCCTCACTCAATAATACCCTTCAGGTAATTGGTATTTTTAATGATCCTGAAGTCAGTGCGCAGCTGTATGAATTGCCGAACCACCGACTTGTCAAGGTAATTCTAAAGTGGGGGTAAACAAAATAATATCTTAAGACAGGCAGTCGAAATCAAAGACACTACACACTTACCAGAGTGTCGCCCGTGCAAACCTCTTGGAGGTTTTGTGGCTTAACAAGTAATAAATTGCACAATGCATGGAGAATATCAAAGAGCTGCGTCACCAGAGGACTATCCAGTTCGCGAATGCACTTGCGATACTCGTTCACATCACAGATAGCGCACATCGCTCCTGCCGTGTTGAACTGCATAGTTTGTAGATGATCGTAAATCACCCGATGCAACCGAGTTCCCAATTCCGTCAGAACATTCTGCAGATTCTCTCCATCAACACACTTCTTAATCTGCACAATCACAGGTTGCAGATTTTGCACGACTTGCAGGCAAGCCTGGGATATAGAAATCGTTTAACTTCCGAATGCTTTAAATCCCTAAATTATATATCTTACCGCTGAGGATATGGTATCTACATCAGTCTCCGGCTTATAGTCGGTTTTCTTTTGTTCATACTGCAAATATACCTTGACCCAGCCAATAACAGCACTTATCGAGCGGTCCAGTCCCTGGTCCAGCTTGGTCTCGATCTGCTCCATTAGTATACGCTTCTTGAACACATAATCTGAATACTTAGGTGTATTACTGGAAAAGAATGTACAAAAATTACTTTAAATCTTTAACCCGATATATCTGTACTTACTTCACACATGGTATGACAGATGTGTGGCACAGTTTGTCCAGCAGATGGACAATGATGTTCGTCTTTTGCACCACATCGAAAAAGTACAGTTGGGGAAATACTCTTCCCTCGGATAGCGGTACCGCTTGCAGACCTAATTCCAATGCATAGTCCACATGTTCGTGCATCAGGAATCGCAGCAGGATATCGTTAAGTTTGATGGCATTGCCTGGTAGGTCAGTCTCGTTGGAAAGCAGACGACAGCGCTTAAGCGAAGCCTTAGCCTCCTGCAGCATGTTAATTGCAAGCTCTTCGGATAGAAACGTTTCCCCACCATAATCTTCGATAGCGGCAATATTAATGTTTGCCCGAGTAGCTATCAAAACTTCCATGTTGCGTCGAAAACCTTTAGTGGTCGCAGTCTTTTGGTGTTTTTTGCTAGCATAGAACTTCTCTAGCTCAGTGGAGCATTTCGCTGTAAGACACTTAGTTTCCATTTCTGTATATCCAGCCAAATGCTTAATAAAGATCTGCTGAGTCAGCTTTTGCAACAAGTCGTCGTCTATGGTGGACATGTAGATTTGCAGATCAGTGGACAACTTTAATGTACTAAAATTAAATTTTGATAAGAAATTAAGATCATAAATTTCACGGACATACTATGTCAACACTGTTATCAATAAAATATTTATTTTTATTAGCTCGAAATAAAACTTATCAACTTACCGTGAGTATAATTCGTATAGTGTCCGCAAGTATTTCTCCTCGTCCTTCTTGTCTTCCAGCTTTGTCATAGCATATTGATGCAGCTTTAGCTGGTAAATGTTCAGTATGAACTTTGACATGACCTGCTGGGGATTTGCAAAAACTTTCTGGATGATCTCGTAGTGGTGCTTACACAGCGGCACAATGCCTATAAAAATATCTTTGCCGCTATACGGCTGCATCTGGCTCTGTTCGATATACGCGTCTACACACTGAGTGTAGCCTTTGAACTGAGAAAGGATTTGAGCGAGGGTCTTCATACGTTCAATGTCCTCGCTTTTCTGGGCTGTGGCAAACTCCTCAATCAGTCGTCGTTCGACTTCGTCATATTTCTTTTCAATTTTCCTCTTGGACTCGGCAAAGTTTCCTGGCGGAAGATCTTGAGAGATGGCGTAGAGCTTTTGGATAACATCAGCGGCTTCACTTAATCGAGCAGCATCCGCAAAAATATCGTTGACAATCACAGGACCGGCGGCAAGAAATTCTGACATAAAATTGAGCAACTTTTGCGCCTCCACGGAGCGACTGCGCGGAGTGTTCACGTTCTCTAGTTGTTCGCCCAGGTGCATGATCTTCCCGGCCACCGAGTTTATTTTCTCGTCGAGCTGGCCGAACACATCTATTGCCGTTTGGTGACGTTCCTGTAGCTTGGCGATCTTTTTGGCGTGAGACTCCTTCTCCTGGCGCAGCGACTCCTCAAGCCGTTCGCACCTGCTCTGCTGCTTCTCCTGAAGAATCTTTAGATCCTTGATAGTCTGGATGAAGGTGTCGTGTAGGGCCACAGGATGGAAGTCCTCGCTGTTCTGCAGCTCGTTATTCGTGCGCCAGGTGAGGCGTTCTATGAACTCACCAACTTCAAACGGCTCCTGTCAGATATAAAATATCAATTTAGAACCTGAGTTTATGTTAAATAAGCAGCGAACCTACCTGCTCGAACTCTTCCATGTATTGGGACAGCATTTTATTGTTTTCAAATTTTTGATGATCTGATTTGTAGGCGTTCCTTTTTTTCTTCTTCTTCCTACTATTATTGTTGCTTCCGCTCAGCTGTTCTTTCGGGCGTTGCCAATCCGCTCAATTTCTCTCAGCTGGCAATGCCACTCGGGTTGTTTACGTTTTTGTTTGCTCTCTTCCCCAAAAATTCAAATTTTTGGCGCTTGTTATATAACTCAAGAAACTTTTCAGTTAATTGAAATAAAACTCATTATTTATGCTTGCTGATCTTAATTAAATGTTTATTATAATATGAATGCGCGCCTTACTTATTGCCTCGTATCAAAACCATTTTTTTACAACAAATTGCAATGTGCTAAACAAGTTAAAATTTCAAACATTAATATTTTTTATAACCTTTATAATTATTGCGTGGAGTCAGCGATTTATTAAACCTTAAATACAGTTTTGAACTGATTATGAAAATATGAAGAACCGAAAACTTTTTTGTTGACTTTCTGTGTCGATTTTTACCAATATACATTTGTTTAGCAAAGGAAAGCTAGTTCTTTTTTACAAACTGCGTCTGCTGCTCCAGCTGCAGTTGCTCTTGGTGCTGCTGCTGCAGGTGGAGATGCGGATGTGGGTGGGTGAGCGTGTGACCGATGCCGCCAGAAGTTGACGGCAGGTCTAATGCGTGCGGCACGATGTTGATGGCACTGGCGGTGCTGGCCGAGGTGGCCAAGTCAACGGCCGGTAGACGCACCCCGTCCTCGAATTGAGCGCCAGCTGCCAAGCTGCTTAGCACTTCCGGAATTGACGGCGTATCTACCAGCTGGTGTAGGTTCTTCAGCTCTGTCGAGCGCAAACTGGCCGATAAGCTTTCGCTGGACGCCAGCGAGGTGGATAGCGGTGAGTTGCGTTCAATGGATGAAGCAATGTCTGTGGAAGAATTTATAAACAAGGATTCTATTACCCAGAAGGAGCTGTCACACTCACCAGTTCTGTCCGTGTCTGGGGAGCATGTGTTTTGACCTGCTATTCCCTGCGGCTGCTGCATCATCATCATCAGCTTCTCCTCCATCTGCATGATAATCTTCTTCTGCACGTCATATTTCTTGTTCACGGACTGCAATAATTAAATTTTAGTTGTTTTATCTCATGTTACGTTAAATTATGATAATTCGATGGTTTTTCTATGTACAGTAAAAACGTATGAGTATCAGCATAGACCCAATGATGGTCTTACCCTGAACTTTTCCTCGTATTCATCCTTGACCGTGCTTAGTAGTCGCTTCTGCTCCGTCATGGCCTTCTCGCTGCTGGCCAGCTGGGCTTGAAGGTCGCTGATCTTGTGCTTCATGCTCTCCAGCTGTGATGTCTTCTCGTCCAGGCTGTGCCTCAGTTCTGAATAAATAAATGGGTGATGAGGAAACACCTGAAGAGAATAAAATAACAAATATTCACCCTTTAGTTCTAGGTGGCTGCTTTCTTGCAGCATCTGCAATTCCTCGTCGCGGGCCCTGAAGTTATCAATCTCAGCCAAACGATCGCGACATCGAACCTGCACCTCGCCCATTATGATGAACTCGGCTTCCAGGCGCGCCAGTTCTTGCTTGCAATGCAGTCCCATGTCCGCCTGTTGTTGGGTATGCTGGAGTTCCGTTCCCATGCTGAAGATCTGACCTCGAAGAGACTCTAGCTCGTAGTTCATCTCCTTATGACGGGCCACCTCACTGGTTAGGCGCGTTTGCAGGTCGTCATTAGCCTGCCGTAGGCACTTCTTTTCTTCCAGTTCGTGCTGGTACTTTGCCCTCATCTCGCTCAGCTCCTCCTGGTGGATGTTTTGTCGCTCGTTAGCTAAACGCATGGCCTGATCCATCTTGTTGGCCAGATCCTTGTTCTTTGCATCAAAGTTCTTAAGCTGCTCTCTCAACCGATCTCGCTCCATTTCCAGGCTTCGCTTGTCCCTGCTTCGTCCCATGAGTCGTCGATTGCGTTCCGCATGAATGGATCGCCGGTAGCTCTCGTACTCTAATTGCAGGCACATTAGTTGACCCTGCTCAGCATCAAAGGTCTCATTGGCCTTGATCGCATGCTTGATGTACTCATCCAAGATATCCTGTGGGTACAGAAGACTCCTCTCATAGTTGTTTCGCTGCTCCTTGCATTCAAGCAGTAGTTCAATCAGCCAATTCTCGTACTGCGATGGAGCACTATCCACACCTTCCACCGTTTGAGTAGAGGCGTGGGTGCAGCTTCTGGCCGGCTCCTTGGGGGCCGAAATGGCCAGGATCCGGCCGCTCCTCTGCAGGCGGCTGCCAGTCTTTTGCGTATTTCCATTCTCCGGTCTCTGGGCCGGACAATCGGCCTCGTCATCATTCTCCTCCAAGTGCTGTTGCCGCATTCCCGCCAGGGCGGAACAGGATTTAGTTCGACGCATAGGATTTTCTGCCTCAACGCTCCAATTGGCCTTTTTGGCCGCCGAGCTCCTGCTGTCCGCACATGAGTCATTTCCACTATAGCTGGCCATACGATTGCGGCGCTTCTTGGCCAGTTGGTGCATAGATCGACTGGTCGGCATGTGGAGTCCTCCCACACTGCACAGGTCCCGGTCGGTCTCATTGCACTCGCCACAAACGGCGGCGACATCCTGAGTGCCAGCTTGATAGACGGAGCTTCCAACTAGGGACAATTCGGAGTTCATTTCCGGCAGGCTGCTTGGAAAAGGTGCGTTTACCGTTCGCTCCACGTTGTGCCTGTCCTGAATGACCTGCTGAAGGCGTCGCTCGTAGGTGGTGACTCTGGTGACTTCCAAAAATGAGTGACTGCTTTCCTCGGCCTCACGAGACACATCTGGGAAACTAAACTGATTTTGCTGGTCCTTGCGCATGGGTGAAGAAGGCTGGCTTGTGGCAAAGATGGCTCTTACTGCATTAGAATTAACCGCACGACCTGGCTGCTTGATCTCTCTCAAATCTTTTAGCGGCGTAGTTTCAGGTGTCGCCTCCACCGCAGCTTCAGGCGGTGAGGAGCCCGTCATGCCTACCATTAGCTGAGAGTTAATTGCCGACTGCAGTGGTAAAATAAACGAAGTGGTAGGTGTCAGTGGTATGGCGCTACTGGTCGTGGCTATCTCGTTGTGCGGACTCCAAATGGGACCCATATCCCCACCCGAGGCAGACGAATCGAAGCGGGTGTAGATGTTCCTCGAGTGCTGAAACTCCCGCATCTGATAGCTGTAGTCCGTATTCGAGGTGTTCGAGGTCATACGGCTATAGCCTGGTGTCATTGGATACGCATAGCTACCGTCTTCGTTGCTTGCCTCAGGCAGAAGAACAGGCAGTGACAGGTTAGCGCACTCCATAACCACGTCATGCGGCTCCATCTCTTTCCAGCGCGTGTTGTTCACCTCCGTTTCCGGCGTGGCCGTTAACAGCATGGGATGCACTCGCACCGTATCCAGTAGTGGTTTAATAGTGTGCTGAAAGATGCCACCGCCGTTTCCCCGCTTAATGAACTCTACCAAATAGGCCATAAAGCTGCACGGATACATTCCATACAGACGGTGAAACAGCATCTGTAGGCCCAACTGGAGGTGAACAAGTTTTTCGTCCGGCAATTTATTGCTGTTTTGCAGCTTCCAAGAGGCCAAATGCCCGAACACTTCAAAAAGATCGTTCAGAAAGTTGGGAACAGAATTCGGTATGATAGGTAGCAGTGTGATGATGCACAGCAAGGCACTCATCAGCGGCACTATCTCCTTCTCATGCTGCAAGAGGCAAGAAAGCCATGTTGTACCCGATTGCATATACATCATTTACTCACCGTTAGCAGTTTGAAAACGCTCTTAATCAGTCGGTGCTTCTCGATCTTATACAGCCATGTGGGATGATGCCGCACTATAAAACAGAATACCTGGAGGCTCTGCACCCGGTGCTGAGACTGTTTTAGGCAGTCGTCTAGCTTGTCAAAGATGTAGCCATCGTGCGGCGTTTGGGCCTTCACCAGCACCTCCAGAATGCGCTGAGATCCAGTTTTGAAGAAGTAGTCCAACATGAACTGCACCACCCACTGTTCCTTGTCTGTGTAGGAAAGGACAAGAAGGAATAATAGATATATAAAGGAAATTCGGGTGGAACTCACTCTGCGTTAGCATCTCCACCAGTTTGCGCTTGGCCTCCTCGTTCTCCAGCGTCATGTTGGACTCCAGGTCGCCGATGATCTTCTCTATCACCATAGTGGCGGATTTCTTGACTTCCTGTCCCTGCGATTGATTTTTTCGCTCGCCCTCGGTCGACTGCTCCTGCTCCTGCTACTCCACTCTTGGTCCTTCTACTCCACTCACTCGTCGTCGTGGTTGTCTTTTGCAGAGCTGCGTGTGCTTTTTCTCGTCTTGGTCGCTATCAACTAAAGAACCAGTGTTGGCATTGAAATTCCCATTGCGTTCGTCTATCCGTTCTATTGGGTTGGTTGAGGGCTACCCTTTTAATATGCTTACCTCTGCTAAACTCATATTTCTTTACATGTTTGTCTTGAAAATGAAAAAGGTTATTTTTTTGTGATATTTCTCTTGCGCTGTTATCGCCAGCCAATCGATGGTTTGGTCTGGCAGCTCCACGACGGAAAGTCCGGCAGCTTTATCCACAATCAAAACAACAACAGCTGTTGGCGCAACTTTATGGCGATCCGGTGCGGATACGTTATAATCATAACAAAATAATATATGTATGTTAATACAATGTATTACTCAATAATCCGACGTCTCGCAACGCAACCGAAGTTGGCCAACGTTCCCAAACAGTAATTAATTAAATTATTATTGTAAGTATTTTTACTGATGCAATTTATTTTCAGAAAATGGAAAAGCGTTGTGGGTTTGGAGGTGCATGCACAGATTGCCAGTGCCTCTAAGCTTTTCTCCGGAAGTGGCACATCCTTTGGAGCACCACTTAATTCATCCGTGGCCTATTTTGATGCCTCCATTCCAGGAACTTTGCCGGTAAAAATTTAAACTTATAGTTGAGATGTCGTTCTTACTTTTAAGAATTTTTCAGGTGCTCAACAGAAAGTGTGTGGAATCCGGCATTAAGACATCATTGGCTCTTGGCTGTCGGGTAAACGAGGTGTCCATGTTTGATCGCAAGCATTACTTCTATGCTGATTTACCAGTAAGAAAAGCCTTTATAGTGTGTTGAACTCGAAAACTATGACGTACTCCTTCCCAGAATGGCTACCAAATCACACAGCAGCGAGCTGCCTTAGCCAATAATGGGAAAATTACTTTCCCAGTGATAACACCAGGCAAAAAAGTTTACTATAAGACTGCCAAACTACTCCAGTTGCAATTGGAACAGGACAGTGGAAAATCCCTGCACGATGACTATCTTAAAAGGAGCCTAGTTGATCTCAATCGTGCTGGTTTGCCCTTAATGGAGTTGGTTTTTGCCCCGGATCTGGAAACGGGTGAAGAAGCAGCCTCGTTGGTAAAGGAACTAATACTGATTTTGAGGCGCCTCCAAACCTGCAGTTGTAAAATGGAAGGTACTTTAAGTTTCAATGAAATTTTTTATATAAAAACCGAATTTCTGGCTTCAGAGGGTGCCCTTCGTGTGGATGCCAACATATCAATTCATCAGGAAGGCGACCCATTGGGTGTGCGCACTGAAGTCAAAAATATTGGCTCGGTTCGCAGTATTTCACAGGCAATTACATATGAAATAAATAGACAATTGGAAACTGTGGCCAATGGCGGTGTGATCACAAATGAAACTCGCAACTGGGATGCGGAAAACCGGCGCACAGTGGCCATGCGTGACAAAGAGGTGCTGCAGGATTACAGATTCATGCCTGAGCCAAATCTACCGCCCCTCCATGTTAACCTAAAGGCGGGATCACAATCAACAGAGGATTTGCTTTCTGTGGCAGCTTTGACTGAGGAAATTCCAGAACTACCCGAGGATACAAGGCAACTCCTGGTTGAGCAGTACAATTTAAATGCAGAAACAGCCATTATTTTAGTGGTGAGTACTTATTCTTTATTCTATTCTATTCTATTCTACTATTATATTTCCCAGAACGAACCCATTCTATTGGAACATTTTTTGAGTATCAGCCGTAGTTTGAGTGAACTGCCCCAACAAAGTCATTTACAATTTTCTTATCAACGATTTGCTGAGCTATTGCAACAAATTGAACTTAGACGTGGAGGATTGGTAATATGCAAGAAATATCATGCCTGAATTTTAAATGATTAACTTTTTTTTTATAAAGTTCTATAAAAGGTGATGATTTAAAGGATATATTGAAAAGCCTGCACAGTGAGCATATTAACCTTCAAGCTGCCCGGCATCTAATTGAACTTCTGCACAACAACCCTGAAGCCAAAGTCAGTGAGGTAAGTCCTTTGAATCCAATAATTATTCCATATAAAACTTCATAGACGTTTTTATTCCAGCTCATTGAACAGCACAACCTACAGCAGATATGCAGTCTAAAGGAAATAGAGAACCTTTGCCAGCAGGCCATTATCAGCCAAGCCAAGGCAGTGCAGCAGTACCAAAAGGGCAAAGCCAAAGCTTTGTTTGCTATCGCAGGCGAAGTGGCCAAGCTCTCCGCCCAGAAGGCTAACATGAGGCTAGTAGTAGAGTGCCTGGAAAAGATGCTAAAGCCCACCAAGAAGTAAGAGTTAAGGCGAGTGACTGTGTTCATTAGAAGTGTGTTTCTCTTGTATATATATTTTATAAAACATGCAGTCGACGAACCGCACTGTATATAGGATTAGATATGCTAAGGATTAAATATATATGCTTTTTTTTGTGCTGACTAGTTCGGTGTTCTGGCCAATATGTAAATGCAAATGATGTAAATTCTCGTGTTAGATATAGTTCGGTGTTCTCCCTAGTTCTGGGAGAATCGGAACTCGTGACCCCTTTTAAGGCATAGTTATTTGTGTGGAGATGAAAGGATGGGGTTATCGCTAACGGATGCCCAAATGCGACTGGATGGAACGCACTATATTCGATTGTCTAACAGGGCAGACAATGAACAGCTAGAATTGTACTAAGGCAAACGAGTTGAAATGCACGCGATGATTAACTCAGATGCGACTGGAACAGTCCAGGAAGCCTTTTCTAAATAAATGCAAATGGCAGTGAGCGTTACGTCTTCTTGGCGGGATCAAGGTTAACCAAATCTGAGCTTTACATCGATCTAGTCGCGATCGTAGTCACGACAGGTCGAGGGAGGCAGACTCATCGAAACGGCAGAGTCGAGACTGGAATAAGGTATAGTTAGAAGTCTTTAAAATATAAAAATAATAAAGGACTCACCGTCTACTCTCGCTTTCCAAGAGGTGAGCATCAACCGGGTGCTGCGAGACATTGCGAAGGGAATCTCCCAGGGTGCTCCTTAGGTGCTGCATTTCCCTATTCGCCTTTGAGCTGCGTAAAATGTACTGTTGCCGCCGTTTGGCCTCCTGAGCCAACTGCTCCCGCAGCATGGAGATCTATAAAATAAAAGTTAAACTCATTAGATATACCGTTTTATATAATATTAATAAACGACCAACCTGATTCTCCAGTCGTAGGACTTGCTGGCGGTGCGACTGTTCCCTGGCGTCGAGCAGCTTCTCGGCATGCATCTGAGCACTTCGATAGCGATCCCCGTCCATGCCATCATGGCACTTGGCGCTATCATTCATGCGCGCTTTGCATCGTGCCAATTCTGACTCCTTCTCTGCTAGCAGAGTTTCTAAGCGCCGCACCTTGAGACGCAGATCGCGGGTCTCCTGCTCGATCACACTGTGATCCAATCCGCAATTAAAGGAACCTCCACCCCCTGTGCCGGCATTACCGCCACCTACATCGTAGCGATTGGAGTCGAACTCCCCGGACTCAGCAGCTCCACCATAGTAGGAGTTGGACTTTTCGGCCCGATCGTAGGCATTTCCGCCGGAGAACTTGCTCTTCCGATCGCACTCTAACTGCTTGACTTTATCCTAGGGAAAATAAGTAGAGTTGAAAAAAAAGTTGTCAATATTGCGTATGAGTAACAAACAGCCTAGTTAAATAATTTATTACTTATACGCACAGAAGCCACCAGTTGATTTAAATTCTTAAAATGATATTTAAAAGATATTTTTACCCACCTGCAGGGTCTGAAGCTTGCTACGAAGCTCTGACTTCTCGCGCTGTGAGGACTTTAGCTGTCTACTCAGCTCCTCCTCGCCATTGCCGCCACCATTGCCATTGGTCAGACCCTTATCACCGCCGCTCTCCTGATTCCACTTAGCGATCCGAAGCTGGGACTCCAAAGCCGAACGCTGAACCTCCAGATCGGTAACCTGCTCCTGCAGCCGTTGGTTGCCATCCAACTGAGCTTGTTGGCTACGACGCAACTCGTTTAGATTGGTCTGGGCACTGTCCAGGCGTTCAGTGAGGATGCGTTTCTCATTTTCGGCTGTCTGCAGAGACTTCTGGACCAACTTAAGCTTATCTTCATTAGCTTGGGAACAGTGACCCTGCTCAGAGAGCTCTTTCTGAAGAGTCTTCAACTCGCCTCTCAGCTGAGTTTCACTGACGGCAGACTTCTGAAGACGTTCCTTCAGCTGATCAACGGTGGTCTTGAGGGCGGTACAACGATCCTCTAGTTGGGTCAGGGCACGATTTTGGTTTTCCAATCGTTCGGCCATCTGACGAATGCTGCAGTCCTTCTCCTGCAGAGCCATTTGCAAACGAGTGAGATCGCCTTCCATGGCCACTCGCTGTAGATCGAGTTTACTGGCCCTGCCCTCAACCTTGGCTAGTTCCTCTTGTAGTTGGCGCTTCTCGTTGTCCAGTTTGGAGTACTGCTGTCGGCTCTTCTCTAGGCGTTCCTCATTTTGACCATTCTCCTCGGATGTGGCCGCCAGTTGCATCTCCGTTTGGGCCAATCGTTCTCTTAACATCTGACATTCATCGTTACGATGCTTAAGCTTCTCCTCTAGTGCCTGAATGGCGGAGATTTTCATCTTACGGTCCGTTTCTAGGTTACTCTTTTCCTCCTGAAGGTTCCTTAGCATTGCCTGCAGTTTGCCCAACTTGGCATCGCATTTAAGTTGCTGTTCGGCGGCATCTTGAAGCTGCTTTTTGGCTGCTCCCAGTTGGGACTTGTAGTCATCCTTCTCGCGCTCCAACTGAGCCACCTGGTGCATCAGATTGCGGACACCCTTTCTAATCAGATCCGGGTCCACATCAATAGGTCCATCTGGACACTGCGATGTGCTCCTATTGTCGTAATCCCCACAACTGCGGGATGGACTGAATCTTCTCGAGGGACTCAACAACCGGTGGGAAAGATTCACACTACCATCCACTTGAATTCCAGCAATCCTACGCAGAGTGTGAACTACTGAGGATAGCTTTTGTTCGGTGTCCCGCTTGTGCAGCTCCACGCAGGATAACTGCTCATCCAAGGCTCGGATGCGGCCTTCGGCTCCTCCCAATCGCGCTTTCAACTCTTGAATCTGCTGGGTGGCATCTGCCAGGCAAACCTCCAAGTTGTGCTTTTGATCCTCCAGCCGCTTTTCCCTGCCACGACCCTCCTCCAAACGTTGGGCCAACTCTTGCTCCCTAGCGTGGAAGCGATGCTCCTCCTGGTTGTTTTGACAGCGAGCTCTACCCAATTCTTGGCGAGTGGCACACAGATTGGCTTCTAAGTCGGACAACTGCTTCTTGATCTGACATAGCTCCTGTTGGGCGCGCTCCTTCAGCTCCACTTCAGCTACCAGTTTGCACTGCAACTCCTTGCCACCCTCGTCCTTTTGGGCGAACTCTACTTGGGTCTTCTGCAGCTGTGCCTTGGTGGCATTCAGATCCTGGGTGGTTTTCGTAAAGTGATTCTCTGTTTCCTTTAAGATGGTACTCAATCGGGTGCGTTCGTTTTCTAGCGAGTTCTTGGTGTCCTCCAGATTGCTGATCTTTTGAAGAGCCTCTTCTATGGCACGTGCTTGCTCCCGCTTGGCGCTCTCCACACGTTTCACATGATCTCGCAGTTCCTTGTTGCTCCCGGAATACTTGTCACGCTCAATGTTGCTATCCGCCAGTTGTCGGCGACAATCGGTCAACTCCTTGCGTAAACTGTCAATGAAGCCCTCTCCTAGAAAATTGATTTTGGATTAAGGATTTTGTAATTTTCTGGCTTAGATTAGCTGCCCAAGTACTCACCCTCTTTGGACTTTCGCAGCGCATCCTGCAACTCGTTGTTGGTGCCCTCCATTTTGTCCTCCTTCAGCCGAATCTCCATCTTCAATTCCTCGCTCACACGGCAAAGGGTATCCCGCTCTTCCCTCATGCTACTCAACTGCAACTCCTGCTTCCGGATGCACTCCTCCAGCTTAATCCTGTGAGACATTAAGTATGTTTCAAATAAAAAAGAAAATACAACTAATTTGCTACTCACTTGTGCTCCTCTTCCTTAGTGCGCATGTGCACCATTTCGTCTTTCAGTTGAGCGATCGCAGCCCTTTGCTTTTCATCCCGAGCATTGGCTTCACGCCTGCTGCGATCAAGGGACTCCTGTTCGGTCTTAAGGTCCCTCGACACGGCTTCCAGGCGTTCGGCAACCGCCTGCTTATCCCGGTGGGCAATCAACAGGGCCTGCTGTTTCTCGCTTTCGGCCCGGATCAGAGCCTCTTCATGCTGTTGAACAAGACTCTCAAGATGGGCCTGCAAAGTGGCCAGTCGCTCCTGTAACTTCTCGATCTCATCGTCCTTGGCCGTTTGTAGGGCCTGCAGAGCTTGTTGCATTCGCTTTTCCAAAGCATTTCTCAATTGAAGGATCTCCTCACCATGTCGTTTGGCTGCATCCTCTGCACAAGCTTGAAGATTGGCAATCTTCTGGTTGAAATCGCTTTCGGCCGCACGGGCAGCATTGAGCAACTGCGTTTTGGTCTCCTGAGCCTTGCGTTGGCATTGCTCAAGATCCTTTTGCAGGCGAGCCACGTGATTTTTGAGGGATTCCTCCCGTACCAAAGCCTCTTGCAGATCCCGCTCTAGCTGACTGCGTCGCTCTTCGGTGGCTTCAAGTGATGTGTTGGTATCGAAGAGCACCGACTCCAAGGACTCCTTCTCTGATCGTAGGGCAGCTAAAAGTTCATTCAAGCGGTGTGTGTCCTTTTCGTGCAGATCGATGACGACTTGCTTTTCCTCCACATCCTTCACCATCTCCTCAAGATTTCTATTAAGGCGACTATTTGTTTCGGTGGTTTGTTCTAGACGTTGGCGAGTTCGCATCAGTTCCTCGTTCAGAGCCTCCTTCTTTCGACACATGGCAGTGAGCTGGTTGTGGATATCACCACGGTCCCTGGTTACGCAAGCCAAATCCTGCAGGATCTTCTCCTTTTCCAACTGCAGGCACTTAAGCTTTTCCCCGGCTGATAGATTGTCCGTTTCCAGTTCAAGTCGTGCCTTGTCCAGTACCGCCAATTCTTTCTTGAGCTCACCAATTTCATTGGACTGATCGGCAGACTGGATTCGAAGTTTCTTGCGTTCTTCCTGCGTCTCTTGAAGACAATTTTGAACGCTCTTCAGCTCATCACTGGTGGAGCAACTGTTGTTAGACAGTTTTTCATGCTTTTCCTGGAGGTCGCATTTCTCTAGCAGCAGTTTGTCTAGGTCATACTCCAGATCGGACTTTTGTTTCTCGAGCAGATTGATGAGATTATCCGACTCGATGCGCTGCTGCTCCAGAAGATCACGGTTCAGGCTAACCCGGTTAAGTTCTTCACGGAGAGAAATGGTCTCCTCCCTCAAGCGACTGCTGCGATCTTCCTCGGATCTGTTGAGATTTTAAAGGATTGATGGTTCATTGGGTTTTATGGTATTTTAAACTTTTACCTTAAATTTAATTCGGTGATGTTCTTGTCCTTCAGAATACGTTGAATTTCTAGCTCCACGGCTTTTTTGTCCTCCTCCATGGAGTCAATACGCTTTTGCAGTTTTCCGCAGTTCAACTGCAGTTTTTCATAGTCACCACTCAGATTCTCGAACTATATTAAAGGATACAATGGAATTTTAGCATTATAATAAATTCATCAAGTTTTCATTCCCTCTTTCATTATCATTAACCGCCATTTTGATATAGAAAATCTGTATATTATTCTTTATTCCGACCAACCCATTATGAGATACGAGATCCCAGTGCGGCTGAACTTAGCCCCTTGAGTAGAAATTCACGCCGGCTGCAAATGCAATCTTCGCATCCATAATTTGTAACTCATCGCAGACATGGCATCACCCCGGATTTGAGTTGGAAACATTATTAATATACAATCTACGGCGTAATCAGACTCAGACGGAGACTAATCGAGTTATCACCGATCCGCCCCCAATCTGCCTTGACATCCACACTCGGAAAAAAACAAGACATTCCTCATTGATTATTAATTTTAAGATTCCACGAAATATTCCAACTCTTGAGTTCTAAGAAATGTTACACTTTAAGGTGGTAGTTTAAAATAAATTGTTCCATTTTTGAAGCATTATTTTTTGGGCAAGTAACCACAATATATATTTTTTATCCACTTACCGCACTATTGATATCCGCCCGACCCATCTCGGACTGCTGTTTTTGGGTACGAACATCGTCCAATCCGCGCTGCAAACTTTCCCTCTCCTGAAGAAGTTCCGATAGCTTGGAGTTACTGCTATCCAATTTCTCGGTGAGTTGCTGCATCTTGGTGGTTAAAAGCTGTTTAGTACCCTCACTGGTTTCCAACTGGGATTTGGTAGTCCGCAGAGTTTCACTGGTATTCTGGAATTTAACCTGCATGTCGTGGAGAGCCAGTTGATATTTGTGGAGTGCCGCCTGAACGGCTGAAATTGTGCCCTCGGCGAAGGCTTGGGAGGCGCGTGTCGAGTTCCGGCGCGGGGATTTCCCACCACCGCCGCCGGCAGTGCTGCCCGGACCACCTCCACCTCCCGCAACGGAAGCGGCGTCACGCGTCAGGTGCATGTGTTGCATGACCCCGCCGGTGACCTCGGCGTCTGCCTCGCGATCTGCGATTTCCGCATCTTGAACAACGGCCTGCGCAATTTCACGCATGGAATTGTTTAGTCTCTCGATTTCATCGCTATATCGGCTGGCCAGAGCAGCCTGAGACTCCGCCTGGGCACAGCGATCTTCGAGTTTCTTTAGTTGATTCATTAGCTCCAGGAGTCGCTGATCCCGCTCCATGATCTCGTGTCGGGCACTCTCGTATTGAACCTTTAGTGTGGCCAATTGGTTCTGGAGTTCATCATTGCTTCGCTGAGATTGCTTGAGTTCCTCATCCGCCGCCCGCTTGGCCTGTTGATGGGCGAAAGCTACGGTTGCATTAGAGCCATTGATGTCCTTTCCTACGCAATTAATCTCCTGACCCATCTTGGCTACCTCAGCTTTCATAGCCGTCTGCATTTCCTTGAAGGACCTCTTAACGGCCACCACTTCTCGCCACATTTTCAGCAAGCGGTTGTGTTCGCTGTTGTAGTAGTCCTTGAAAGCCTGCTCCTCCTCCTTGAACTCATCCTCCTTGATCAGTAGTTCATCTCGAAGTCCCGCCCAATCATTGGTCAGCTTCTGCAGGTCATTGGTCAATGCCTCATTGGTGCGATTCGACTCCTCCAGTTGCTGACGCAGAGCACTATTTTGGGCCAGGACTTGCTCGCAACGTTGATGCTCCTCCTCCAATTTGCGGCACAATTCTGCTGTTCCTCCGCCGCCTCCAGTAACCAAGACATCATCATGGACATAGTCGCGACTACAACTGGGTGGAGGCGAGTCCAATGAAGAACTGCAGGGCAAACTGCTCTGTCCCAGGGTCAAAGAAGTTGAGCACTAAAAAGAATGGTTAGGCGTACAAAATCGTTATTGTGGAACATCGAAGCTATCTTTGAAAATGATATTGAATATTTGAATATTTTTATATATAGCATTTTCAATTATTCGAATTTTAATGATAATTGCAATCAAATTAACCTTTGACCACCAAATGGAATTGAAAATAAATTCAAAGATTAAGCTGAACAAAAATGTATTACTCATACGCAACGTTGCCTTTATCTATTGGAAATATTTTAATCTTATTTAACGGCAATTTTTTAAATGGAATTTTTACAATAATGAAATTATTATAAATCAGTTTTGCGTACTTACCAGCACCTGACTGGTGGTTGGACCCGTGGTCAGCTTTGGTCCTGTTCCGGCTGTGGGCTTAATGGTCTCATGCATACGGTCTTCCAAATCGCTGCATCTTTGACGATACTGCTGGATCTTTGATTGCAGACGGGTAACCAAATTGGCCTGGTTATGCTGTGCCTGCTTATAGGTATCCAGACGGCGACGATAGCTATGCGACTCATCTGCCAATCGCTGGCGCAGCTCTTGGTTCTGGCGCAGCAGGGCCGAGGGATCTCCCCCACCACCGCCAATTCCACCACCTCCTCCGCCGGGCGGACCCGGGCTCATCATCCTAGGCGTTAGGGCGCCCGCAGCGGAGGCGGTAACAGAGGCGGCACTGGCCGAAGGGTCACGCCCACGTTGACTGCGCGAGAAGGGCAGCCGCGAGGTGTTCGCCGGTGGGTGGGGTGGTCCTGCCGCCTGAAGGTCGACGGCCGATGGGCAGGGCGTTTGCTTGAAGTTATCGCGATACGCCTGCATCTGTGGGAGGAGTGGGTGGTAGAGAATAAGTTCGATTTGATGTTGCGGTTAGCATTGCGTGCAACAGCAATAAATCAAGTAAAAGTCAGAAAGTTTGGTATTAGAACCAGGGGTTACCCTATAGTAAGATTGATACTTTTAAATTTTTTAATTTTTAAAGAACTTCTGTAGCTAAGCCATGAGATTTTTTAAAGTGATAATCCTTTAATTTACAATTTATTATACGTAATACGAAAAGGGGACTTTATCGTACATTCCCCTAGTCCAGTCAACCCTTTCAGTAATATAGAAAGGGGTATTAAAGACTATATGAATGCGGAAACTTTCAGGCCAAAAGTGTGGCGCCTCGCCTACGCTTCAGAGCGACTCGATAAGTTTGTCTAAATTGATTTATTAACTTGTTCCGGGCCTGGAGTCAGTCGTCATGACAGCTGCACCGAGGTGATGTTCCCTCGCAAATAAACAAGCTCAGCGACCCCATGTTCATTATCGTTCAAGGATCCCAGCCAAAGGCAGGAATTCTTTCCGCTACGTCCATACTTTCGAATGATATTTTTGGGGGCCCACTTGAGGAAATTGTTTTTGGGACCCGGACGACACGCATTGCACAGTCTGTCACCAGGACAGCAAGTGTTTGTGTTTACCACCCCCATGCTCCTCCTCCAATCCAACTCACAACTCCACTCCCTCCCAAAAGTCATAATAATTTCCTTGTCCTCGTATTTATTTTAATAAACAACATTTCCGCCGTTGTTGAAACTTCCTTTGACACGAATGCGTCTTCTAATTTTGAGCTCCTTATGCTGTCCTCCCCATGCCACCCCAATCCCAACTCACCCCATTGCCATTTGTGTTTATGCAAACCATAAAAATATAATAATAATATCCTTGATAGTGCGACTATGATTTGGCATGCAATCTGCTCCTAGTCGCTTGTACTTTCTATTTTAGTTTCTGATTTACTATCACCAAGGGCTCAGTCAAATGGAGGTCGTAATTCTTGTTTATGGGGAGTGTAAAGGAAAGACATTAAATTGAGAATCAATCAAGGAATCAGCTTGTCTATTGATGACTTTGGCAGGAAAGGTAAACGATTTTAAATAGAGAACTTAAAAATGTTTTTTAAATATTTGTAAATATAACCCAAAAGGAGTATGTTAGGATGAGTCTTCAGTATCGATAAGAAAAGTAAAAAATTTAAAAAAATGTCATCCTTAAAGACATCTTAAACCAAAGTATACGAAGATACACATATGCCGTATTAATATTTAAATAAATATTTAAGTTAGGTGAACCTCTTTAAGCATAGTTAAAAAATCGAATATTGATTGTTAAAAATTAAATGCTTATATCGTTCAGATAAACTGGTTTACTAATAAGCATTCGCACTTTTATTTCTAAAATTAATTATGTTTCACCTTTCCGAAAGCTATCTTAAACTTACTTCTCACTGACAATTACCGTGTCAGATGTATATCCCACTTAAATCCTTGAAATGAGTTTTCAGGCACTTGATTCTGTTTCGTTTTATTTTTTCGTTCAAATTAAGACCGCGCACTAGACACTGTTGTTAACTGATTGAGCTCCAATTGAATACTCATCAAGTTATCACGGAATCCTGGGGCTCGAGGTCTGCAGAGCTACGCCGCTAACGTGTCCTGCCTGATGGCAATTGACACAAATTTGCGGAATGCGGAAGTACTAACGCAACTAACGCTCCTCGGTAGGGAAAGTTAATCAGAATCAGGGCCTAACTAGGAATCGAACTGTCTGGGCCCGCGGAACTAAGCCAACTGAGCGCCCAGTCAACTTTTCGCAAGGAGGAAGAATGAAAGGCAAGGAGCGTTTGGCAAGTCAAAAGGATTCCCTTTTTCGAACTAACCGCCATTAAGGCCTGTTCCGTCTGGGGACTGCAACTTACCCGGGTGCATAGGGACTGGGGCAGAATAAACATTGAATTAACAAATTCCTGGTTACCATCGGCAACCGCAATTGATTACGGAAAAAGAGGAGCTCACAATTATGTTTGGCGTGCGAGCGAGCAACAAATGCAAATCGTGTCTCGAAGCATATTCCGAATGCGGTCGGTCAAATCGGGTGATATCGATGGGGTATATACCTCATAAGGAACCGTACAACTGGTGGTGGTGGGTGGCTCCTCTCCTGGTCACATGCTTCATGCCTAACTGCTTTTAATAAGTCAACTAGCAAGGCAATAAATTGAGAAAGTACAGGAGACTCTGTCGATGCGATTAACCCTTTTCATGATTTATTTGCGGTGAATATAAATGAGATTCTATGAATGCTATTTATAGAACAGAATAGAACCCTTGGATACGTTTATTATGCTAAACAAATGGCAGATTCAGGAAATTCTCGAAACATAGTTATTAGTAGCAAGAAAATATTTACGAAAAAAAATTTAAAATATATTTTTCATTCTAATTTTGATCTCTGGAGGAATATTGTTGTAGATAAATCGTATATCAGCTGATTATTCATATTCGCTTTACGTATTATCCCTAAAAAGGATTAAGGATTACTTTAACTTATTTATATATATTATTACTTATTAATTATTTTTAAATACCCAAATTGTGCAAATATGGCTTGCATTATCTACGTCCACGTAATGCCCCGATCGCTTTGATGAAAGCAAATGTCAAAATGTTTCCTGGCACAGGTTGCGAATTCTATTGCGATGGCGGACTCCTGGGGTTATCGCCAACGTTCATATCAGAGAACTGCATACTCATGCAACCCACACCGCAACGCCTTATAAATATGTAGTAGGTATGTACATAGGTGAGACAGCTATTTCGCCGGCACAACTACGAACAAAAAATAAATGCCAGAAAAAAAGACCCGACTGCTGAATATTTAAATATATTCAAATATTAAATATATTAAATTTTTAATACCCTTATCAGCTCCAGCTTTGAACCTGAGAGGCGACCTTGGGGAGATATCAAAGTGCCAGGTACACAGAATTAATATTATTCCCATTAAACTCGTGTACAGATGTGGAAATCAGTAATGCGACAACTATGTGTACGCGTAGACTCTCAAAGTCCGAAGATTGGTTATGCATTCGCCATTAAGGTGTTTTGTTTGCTTCACTTTCAGTTTTAATCTCGGCCCGATGCCATAAGGTCTATATTATGTGTAGGTGTGAGATTATTTCCAAGCATAAGTTTGCCTGTCGCGTTCTTCTTCTACTCATGCTATCGGGTTCATAGTGGATCCCCTTATCAGCAGAAATGGGATTGAATATACCTTGCGCGAGTGTATGTGTGTGTGCCAGCTCAAAGTCCCATTGACCACAAATCTGGATCTACTTGGTGGGGTGCATTGCAAGCTTGAGCTCTCCGATGATCTCTCCGGAGATTTCCCCGATTCTCCGCCATCTCTCTTGGCAACGGGCGCCACATGGCTGAAACCTTCAATCTCTTTGCGATGATTTATACTCGATCGCCAAAGATCACAGACGAACGTGGAGGAGAGGAGATCATTCCGAGAGTTGGCGACAATAAACATCACGTTCACACACACTGTTCGGCTGATCATCCACATAAGTGCGGTAGCTAATTACTGCTACACTGCGAGACTTTCATCATCTAAATTACAACACAAGTATTTCATAATCACTGGGACATAATTAATCTTGATTTGTTAAACGTGGGTTACGTGGGAGCTTTTGAACCTTGTCAATGCCGATCAAGCGTACCATTAGCATACATGATTTATTCTATTATTCTATAAATATATATTCTGATTTAGTTTTCTTTATTAAATGCACCTCTCAACCATATTTCTAGCCTAGCAACCATATATGATCTTTGATAAGCCCACCAGCATAGCAATTTAATTACTGACCTACCAGAATTTAAAGCAAGTCATCAGATTTAAGGTCACTATTCTGAAATATCTCTGTACTTTAAACCTTAAGGTTTTCATAGCGCCTGAATGTGATAGTGCTATGAATAAGTTCTTTAACAAATACTTGTTGGCAAAGTCTATTTCCAGAACCAATAAAAATAGTGCAATTAACTTAATCAGCGCGATAAAGACTTATTAGACCTAATCACTAGGCTGAAATATCAGACACAATTTTAAACACTTAAAGATTAGTTTGTGAAGAGTTTTCTAACAGTGCATAGGTAGAGAGACAGGGATTGGCCGATCCCAGCCGATGGACATGTGTCTAGGGTGGGTTATCAACGGCCGCGACTGCATCCCATAGGTTTAAAGTATAGCTCCTATTTAATACGCGCTTTAGTCACAGTTCGGATTTTGCCAGCAGCAGCACGGCAACGATAATCGAAGATTACACCGCAGAGATAATACGGAATACGCGAGTGAGACAGTGAAGATGTCCCAGACCCTGGACGATCTGCTGTTGCGCCAGGAGCACGCCCGGCAATTGCGTCAGGCATCGCGCTCCAAATTCCGGCGTATCAATTCGTTGGATTTAATACCGGAGCACCCCAGCCAGTCGGAGGAGGAGGAGGACAGGGATTCGCAAACGCCTCATAAACATTTTGTTACTCTAAGACGGCAGCGTACTGCGGACGGCAGTCTCCTGAGGAGTCAGTTTCAGACGCAGACTCCACCGCAACCCAATTTGGGTACACGAGTCTTGCTCTTTGGCCCCCAGTTGCTGATGCGGCTGGTGTTGACTATCTTGAGATATGTACTCTACATACCCCTCTCCATTGCGGCACCTAGCTTCTGGCTGTCCGCCTTACTCTGGATCTTTTGGAAACTATTGAGAGTACCCATTGCTCTGGTCAAGTGGCTATTAAGTGGCGAGGAGGAACTGAGTGCTGTGCAGAGACAAAAAACCATCCTCCTGAGTTGCGGCAGCACCATACAGACCCTTCATTTGGCCAGGAATTTTTATGGATCTGGCGCTCGTGTGGTGGTCTTTGAGTTTGAGGGATTATTTGGACTGGCCAGGTTTTCCACGGCAGTGGATAAGTTCTATGTGGTGCCCAGACCAACGGCCAGTAATCCGGATCAGTACATAGCGGCCCTGTGTCACATAGTTAAGAAGGAGCGACCTTCGGTGTATATACCAGTGTGTGCTACCAGTCCGGCTTACTATGATTCTCTGGCAAGACCACATCTGGAGGTCCTAGGCTGTGCCAGCTTCATTCCGGGTGTACAGGAAACCCTTCAACTGGATGATTGCCTACAGCTTTTCCAGAGATGCGAACAGCAACAGATGGCCCTGCCGGCTCATGTGGTTTTGACAGCTCCTCGTCAGTTGCAGCAAATATATGAGAGTGGTTTTGTAGGAAGCTATCGAAACATCTTAATGGCCGCCGGAATGCAAGGAGTTCTGGAGCGCCACAAGTACGTCCTGCCCAATAGGAGAGCAGAACTTAAACTGAACCAGCATGAAATAAGCGAAAGACAACCATGGTTGGTCGTGAGGGATCAACCAGGCTATCACCATTATGTGACCTGCACCACCGTCAAAGATTCGCGGGTGGTGGCCAATGTCAGTTGTAGGGTGGAGCATCACACAAAGAACCTGATCCCGGTGCCTCGGGATGATGAAGCTCAGATAGAGCTCTGGTTGCGTTCCTTCTTCGCCAAGGTGCGCTTTCAGAGACCCCTCAATGGACACATTAGCTTCCGGCTTGTCAAAAGCCCAGCCCACGGTGGTCAATTTGTACCACTAGGCACGCGACTGGGCGTGGCTCTGCCCTACATATGCCACAATCGATCGCATGCTCAGCTATTATGCAGAGCAATGAAATGCATCCATAGACGAGGATTGCCAGAGGACGAGTTGCCCAACTGGAGTTGGTCGGCGCTGGAGAGGACGACCTCGACAACGGCACTGGACAAAAGGGAGGCACTGTTTGCCTACTGGGATCCATTGCCATACTGCGCCTACTATCACTTCCAGCTGCCACTTGAGAACGTTAAACTGTTTTTGCAGCGCCGGAATCGCACGACCACGACCAAAAGTTTATCGCCCCGCATCACGGTGCCGGTTCATTGAACGGTGGAGCCAGAACCGGAGCCACTGCATCAGCATTCAGCATCAGCATCTAGCATCCAGCATCAGGCGGTCCGCCAGCGAGAGAGATTACACAGACTGATCAATAATGGAATATATAGAAATCTATATAGCATATATTTTTGCATTCTATAATATTTCTTTTTTTTGTTTACGCCAATGGGGTTCAACATCCATCTAAGAAGATTAGGCACGTTAAAAAAAAAAACAAGTACCGCACACACTCAACACACACCACATGCAAATGCACATGCACGAATATAGAATTTATACCATACTATAATACTGTACAATAAATAATATTTATATTTGAATTGCCCATTTGACTTAATTTATAATATTATTTGCGCGTTTGGGGTTTGATTTGATTTCTGTTATTGCGGCGCACATCTTTGTTTTTAGGTTACAAAAGTACGAAGCATAAAATATGTTTTATATTTAAAACTATTTAAAGAATTCTTATTAACTCCTTTTCGGTCGCTAAATGCTTCTTTGTTTATTTAATAAACTTATTAGAAAATAGTTAGTTTATGCATCACATACTGAAATTTTAACTGTTTAACACTGTTTAATTTACCCATTTAAATTAGTTTAGCATTTTTTAACTGCATCTGGCTGAATATTAAACAACATTTAGTCACTTTCCAGTTGTTCTTTGTTTACATACACAAACTAAACTGACCTGACTGGTTGCAAGGGTTTGTCCTTGGTCCTTTGGTGGTGACGGAACTGGCCGAGGTGGTGGTTTTGGCCACGTTTTCTCGTTCTAAACTCGTCCTATTGTTGTGGACGCCTCGGGTTACCAGGCAACGGCTTTGGGTCAGCTTAATTGCGGTTGGTTGGCGGTTACTGAGCCATTTCTATTATCCTTATCAATGGACAAAGCGAAGTGCATTTTTTGGTGGTGGACAATACTGTATCGCAGAGCCAAAGAAGAAATTCGAAAATTATTTGCATAATTTATGGGGTAGAAAGGCGTTCTCTTCTAACTCTTTCAAGCGTGTAAATTAGATCTTGGCTATTGTGAAATACATTCATTTAAATTGGTTATTTAAGGAAATAAATAAGTAATCATTAATTTAAATAATAAATGAAGTTACAAATTGAAATGCATATTTCTAGCCAATTTTAAGAATCTGTGCACATTCAGATAACCAAATTGACGCTTTACTCATATTTGTTCATGCATATAGAATTGTTAAGTCAATACTTTAAGAACATATTAATCGCTTAATGTAATGTTATACATATATTTATTTATATGTATATTTAAAATATAATAAAAAAAAAAACTCCTCTATGCCAGGTGTGGGGTTCGAACCCACGCTCTCTCTCGAGAACCAGAGCTTAAATCGGGCGCCTTAGACCGCTCGGCCAACCTGGCTGCGTTTTTTCGATGTCCAAATTACTATTTATGGATTCTTCAATATATGTTTATATTTAAATATAGATAATATACTAATTTTTTAATTATTTATTTATTGTCCGTCATAAAAAAAACCCAAAATATGTAAAGTGTTCTGGTGCACTATTGATAAGTAAAACCTTATGAATAATGGAAATTTTACTTTAATCTAACAAATTTTGAACTCCCTTCTCAAATTATTCCTTAGGTCCCTGGAAAAAGAATATTCAAGAAGTGAATTAAGTTAAAAAAAAAAATGCTTCCACACACGTTCCACCGCAAAATGTGACCATATGTCTGGTTAGCTTTAATCGTTTATTGAAATTTGTAGCAAATGTATTGTTTATAAAATTAAAATCTAAAGAAAATTTAATTACATAAATACTTTCTACTCTTTCCTAGATTTTAATTCAAGTATTAGGAGTATCTAGTTGCTAGAAAGCACTCAGTATAAATTTAAAACAGAACATTCGGCGTAATGAATTCTTGAATTTAAACACAGTTTTAACCGCAGCTCATTGAAGCTATAATCAGTGTGACCAGTGGTCGTCGGGAGCAAAATGCGAGAACTTTAGGCAGACGTTTCGGTGTTCTAAGCGAAAAAAGAAGCCAGTGATTGGATGTGGAACAATGAACAACAGCCCCAAGGATCCCTATCGTGGTGGCCCCCAGGATGGTGGCGCATCGGCGGGCGTGTCCATCAGCATCGACATCAGCGACGACAATGACTCAACCACAGCGGAGCACGACTTCCTTCTGCCCGCCTCCTCTTCGTCGGGGACATCTGGAGGAGGCGGTGGAGGAGGAGGCCCGGGGGGATCGGCTAATACTAGCATCAACCTGGAGCACGGCCACGTACCCACAGCTCGTAGTAGCAGTCTAAGCGGAGGCAATAACCGCCATGGCAACATCCTGTCCACATTTTTGGCACGTCAGCGATCCTATACTCCGGCCAGCAACAGTAGCTCCCCCGTCCGGGTGACCACTCAAATGAACCGTCGATTGCAACAGTCCCGCAGCATGGGTGCTAACAATGGTGGTAGTATGGAGGAGCCTTCGGGAGCAGGAGCCCCCGGTGGGCCAGGAGCATCGCCCGGAACTGCAGCAGGTGTAAGGCAATTGGGCTTTTGGCGCGTTAATCTCAACGATGTGTTCTCCCTGTCCACGGCTCCATCAACGGAGGCTTTGCGCTCCTTCATTACACATTCCAATTTTAGATATCCTCCCTCTGCTGCTGCAACATCAGTGGCATCAGGAGCTCAGCCATCAGCTAATCCTGTAGACAATTCGCACATATTGCTCAGCCAGCAGCAGCCATCGCTACCGGAACCAGTCAGTCCTCTGCGACTTAGCCGCGTTGGAGGAGCTGTAGGACCCAGTGGAGCTGGAGCAATGGGCAGGAGCATCTCCTTGCGCGAGGGAGAGATGCGGCACAATAACAGCCTTAACGGAGGACGACACAATGCTAGTGTCATAGGATTAAACAGCAATCCGGTGGCCTTCGAGGAATACGAGCCTAATGATACCCAGGATTTAGGCGAAGGCGGTGGTAATGGAGATAACGGAGGCGGCGCAGGAGGTGGCAATCAACCAGAACCCCCAGAAAATCAACCTGAAGATGAGCACCACATATCTGATGACATGGTGGTGCAGATCCTCAGCCATTTTGTACGCTATCTGCCGCTAATCTTCATTCTGTTCATTAAGTTCATACACGACCACTTGTTGGGCATTGTTGATCTACTCGTGCTCCAGACGGTTATGTACAATGTAAACCGGTCAGTGCGGGACCAGGTGGCTCGATTGGCTCAAAAGAACTACGCTGTGATGGTGAGAGATGCTTGCCTTGTAGTTGTGGTGGTCGCATTGCGTCTGTTCCTGGCCACTGCACCGCCAGATCCAATTGGCCTGATTGTGCCGCCGCCCAGGAAAGCCTTTACCTTGGAAATTTCTGGCCTGCATTCTCACACGAGCTCCGAGGGAAGCAAGATGTTGACTGCCAATCCCACCACGTCATCGGAAACTCTAAAGGCCTCCATCACCACGGATACGTATGACGCCCTCAAGGTCATCCCCCTGGGCATGTTGCTTTACTACATAGCTGTGAGCGATCTCATAATAAAGCTGCTAACAATGCTGATCAAACTTATAATTACCATGCTGCCGCACCATTTGATGAGACTCAAAGTGCGGGTGAGTAATACCTTTTTAGAGGGATCGATGTCCAATAAACATACAAACTGAATATTGGCCATAATGCCATAGCGTAAAATGTTGTAAAACTGAACGATTAAGGTCGAACCTTACTTAGGTTTTTGATGAAGATTAAAACTGTTATTACAAGGGCTTATATCTAGTGAAAAATTAATTATGGTTTCCAATATAGAAAAATGGTTTAAGATAAAGCTTTTTTTTAAGTTTCAAGTCAGTGTTTCAATAGTTGGGATTAATAATAATTAGAAAAACCTAAATAGTAAAGTTATTGTTCAGAGTGTGGTATTCCCCTAATCATATTTTTGTTATCGAATCCCAGGCACGTCTATATGTGTTGGTAGAGTACATTTCACAATTCTACCGAGCGTTGACACCCATTACACAATGGTTCATGTTTCTGTACGAGTCCTATTCTGGCTTGGAGGTGGTATCCGGAGGACTGTTCTCCGCTTTGTACCTAGGTGCCAAGATATTCGAGCTGGTAGAGCGCGCCAAGTCGCTTAAGAAAGCCATTGTAACCTTCAGAAAAAATATTGTAAGAATAACATTGACTAACATATTGTGTTTCACTTGTTGATAAATCATTATATCTCTTCAAGGACTCTGAGCGACCGCCGACCAAAGACGAACTGGATGCCGCGGGCGCCCTGTGTCCAATCTGCCATGACGCCTTCAACACACCAACTGTGCTGGAGTGCGGCCACATCTTCTGTGATGAGTGCGTCCAGACCTGGTTCAAGCGCGAACAGACCTGTCCAATGTGCAGGGCGAAGGTCAGCGATGATCCCGCCTGGCAGGACGGCAGCACCACCTTCTTCCATCAGTTGTACTAGCTACGCCACCAAAGAAATTTCCACGGATTTCGCGTGTACATATATGTAGTCGCTAGCTAGCCTTTTGTTTAATTAAACTGACAGTTATTAATTATTACTACAAGAATGAAAATTGTTGTCCTTTTTGGTTTATTGCTATTTGCGACGCCGGGCTGCGTCTAGAGATCTGGCCTCGTAGAACTCTCCGTCACCGCGAGTGGCCTTTTTGTTAATTTCAGCATGGCGCTCCTTGGTTACAATTTCCTCAAGCACTTCGCTGTCGCCTTTAATAAGGCGGACTCGACCTGTGATCGGGTCCACTTCTTTGCGAATCTGGCTCTGGCGGCGCTGGTATTCTTCTGGAGTTTCCGGTGCATGCGATTTGCTGTTCATCAGTGCTTGAGTTTTGGGGTGGGCAGAGTGTTCAGCAAACCACATACTGGATAGTTAAATATACATGGGGCTATTACGGACCTATTGGTATGGCAAAATCCTCCTCCTCGCTGCCACTTTCGGGTAGTTTTTGTGGTGGGGGGCCTGGCATAGGAGATTCCTCCTTTTTTCGGCTGTGTTTTTTAGATTTCCTGGACTTGTGCTTCTCCTTGTGCTCCCTACGCTTTTCTTTGTGCCTTTTCTTGGATTTTTTTTCACTTTTACCCATTTTTTAGTGGCTTGCAAGCGAACGTAAACAAACCGATTTTTACAGTATGAAAGCAAAAAGTCGATAAGCGAATACCCTGTTAATATGAGGTAAATTAGTTTGAAGTGCGTTATACACAGGTTGCGTTTGGTAAAAGGTTTGTGGTTATTGCTGTATATTGAATATACTCAAATGATTCAAAATACAATTTTAATCCCGCACTTAATAGTGTTTTAGTTCATAGGCGATTGAAAATTATAAAATTAAATTTTAAGTAAATCGCTAAATAAAACATTTTCAAAAAGAAATATTTTATATTATTATATCGAATCAGAACTAATATACCCTTCATCCTTGGTTTTAAAAAGCCTGATATCGATATTAGGAGGCGTTATTTAGTTCTTACAATCGGGGTATCGATATTATTATTTTTGATTTTCCCACTGTGGACCTCAATTTTGACAGCGCCGCGTGGAAGGTGGACCGCAAGTGGAACCTAATCAGACGCATGTTGTGTTGTGTACAAAAAGAAACGTCAAACTAAAGTCGAGCGAACCAAAACGAAACGGCCGAGAAATTAGCAAACCCACTGGAAACTATAAAGGATTAGGCACAGGACACACAATTGTTAACCAGAGAGAGAGCGGCGGACCCGTAGCGAACCGCTCCCCCAAGAAGCGGCGGCCCTAAAAAAATCGCCCACAAGAGAATCCACCAAAAACCCACTCGCACACACACACTCACTGAACAACACACGCGCAGCCAAGGAGCAAAAGAAGAATTGCGCCAGAAGAAGCAGCAGCATCTAGAATCTAGTAAAGCAACCACCCGGATCCACAGGTTCTTGTTCCAGCGATTGGAGCAGTGCCACAGGAACAGCCAAGGATATAGCAGATTACCCGTAGCATCAGTAACCAGTCAGGACCATCATTGCCACGATGAGCATGGACAAAGTAGCTAGCAAGCAGTACGAGTCGTAAGTGGAGCACCTTCACCACCTACACTCACCACCACCCACATCCACTACCACAACCACAGGCCCCGGTAACAACAAAACTGGGCCAGATCAGCTTCTTCACTTGACCAATTGTTAGGTTATGTTCCGGCTGCATTTATGTGCGCCCAATCGCTTTATTCATCCTGATCCTCCTCTGACTGGCGAAAAAGTATCTCAGCAGCCAACTGTTCGTTCTTGTCACAAGCCAGATAAGCCTGCACGGCCAACACGCGGTGGAAACCCAGTGCCTCCAGTCGCTCGACAGCGGCGGCTTCTTCGGCGGTCAGGGAAACCTGTAGGGTGGCTCCCGCTTCAGAGTCGTCGCTGACAACACTGCCATCACCAGTAAGCATAGCTCTGAACTCCTCCTGGTTGTTCTGAACAGTCTCAAAAGCAGCTGGATCGGTTTCAGCCAGTCTAGCCAAGATGAGCTGCAGTAGTTCAGGATTTTCACGTATCATTTCACGTACTCGGGCAACGCTAGGATCCCCCATTAGTTGCTGCACTTCCTCAGTTGTCTCCCCGCTGGAAACAGGGGCTAAACTCTGCTCCGCTGAAGCTTCGTGGGGAATCCCACTGATCAGATACTCTATGGCACGTTCCGGATGATTGAAGCTGGCCCGAAGAGCAGAGCGCACCTCCTCTTCGCCATAGCCCATTGCCATAAGATCACGCACCCGTTGCTCATCGGGAGAAGATGAAGGTGCTACCACCTGTGTGCGTGTTTCAGTTTCAACATTAGTTTGAGGCGGTGTTGTCTGAACCTGCTCCTCCGGCGGTTTAACCTCGACCTTCTTCTTGCCCATCAACACAATGAACTTGTCTTCGGATATTCTGTATTCGCTAATAGGCAGCGCATCCTCCATAATGCGGCCACCGTATATCAGCTGCAGACTCTCTACCGACAAGGACACCTCGGGTAAATTGCCCAAGCGCTGTTTTAGAGCCCGCACATTCTGCGATTCACTTATCTCCACGTTAATCGTACGCTGGTCCAGCATTCGGATTGAGAGCTTCATTTTTGCTTTGTAGAATATAAATTTAATTTGGCAGTGAGTGAGAGAAATGTGGTTGGGCGCTGTGGTGATCTGGTGAAACTTATTTTGAATTTGATTTTAAAGCCTTGACATACTAATCAAAACCCTTCTCTATCGTGTGTCATGCACGCGCGTTTCAGGAAAATCTGGCCAGATATCGTCGACAGCGACGACAGCGATGTGGAAAACGAGATAGATGTAGACAAGCTGCCGCCATTGGAGGTGGGTCCCGGCGAGAATCGGCTGCAGCACACATACTGCCTTTGGTTCTCCCGAAAGGGGACGCAGCGGGCGGCCGCCGACTACAGCAAATCGCTGCACGTGGTCGGTCGGTGCGCCAGCGTGCAGCAATGGTGGTCGCTCTACTCGCATCTTATTCGACCCACCGCCCTGAAACCCTACCGAGAGCTAAGCCTGTTTAAACAGGGCATAAAGCCGATGTGGGAGGACCCGGCAAATAGCAAAGGAGGCCAGTGGGTGATACGGTTGCGGAAGAACAAGATAGAACGCGCCTGGGAGAACGTTTGTATGGCGATGCTTGGCGAGCAGTTCCTCGTCGGCGACGAGATATGTGGAATCGTTCTACAGACGAAATATCCGGTGAGTCCCGAAGATCCATTACTAAGCCTTTGATAGGGAGACCATGCCGGGTTACCTTCTGACTTTGAGAAATCACTAATAGACCTTTTTTTAGGATTGGTGTACATTTTTGTTTTTTTAAAATTAATATAATTGAGGCTTTTATTTTTATTTTTCTTAGAATACCGTAAAAAATGATTTTATAAATTGATTCCAACATATCTATTTTGTGTCTTAATATAGACTAGTAAATTACAATTTTGTTTTAATTAAAAATGTTTCTCGAATATAAGAAATATAAATATTTAACTTATTAATTTATGTAGTTTAAAGCCCTTTTTATATGTTAGTACATTTTTAAATTGCCAATTGGTATTTTACATTTCATTTGAAAAGCTAAAGATGTACTTTTATTTTATCTGGGATATTAAAATTAATAACACCCCTAAAACATAAAAATTACTATTAGCCAAGAAAATGTTTAAAATTCGCGAATGACCAGTGTTGCGCAACGCTTTAAAGAGGGTCACAACCCTGTGCATTACTTAATTCTTGCATTTATTTATAAATATACCGCATGCATATATTATAGCCTTTAGCGGCCCATTTCCCAGTTCCTTTTTAGCTCGCGATTCGCTTAAACAAAAGTGCCGGTCGACTTTCATTCATAAAAATTCTCGCGCATGTCGTTTTTTCTCAATTTGCAATGGAATCCACAAACAAACCACGGCTGATTGTTGTTGTTGTTGTCAGCTCTGACGTAATGGAACCAAAATGCCGGCATTTTTAGCACATTTTATCAGGCGTTTTCGGGGTATTTCTCCGGAAGCAGAAGTGAAAACACGAAAATGCCGAGCAAAAGAGAAGTCAAAAAACCACTTGCAATTATTTACAAAATTTACAACTAAATAAACAAAACAAAAGTGAAAGGCTTAAACAATTAGATCGGCTTACATAAGCAAACTTCAATAATTATAGCACTCAACTGTTAGGAATTATATAAATGAATAGTATTGGGTTTTTTTGTTAATCCAATTAGACAAATATTAAAAAATTCCCTTTTTGGGATCCCTATAAAATACTGAAATATTTAGATACCAAATAAAAATGCTGCAGAGTCAGCTTACTTTCCACATTACAGTCCACATACAAATCCACCCACATTTACACTTGTTTCGGGAATCAAGGCCATCCTCAATGGTTTTTTTATTATTTTCAAATTCAGGTCACACCAAACTGCGAGAATATACCATTGCATTCATCATTACAGCTGTTAATTATATCTATTTTTAACTTTCGTATGTAAATTTTCAAAAAGGATTACATTTAAATTTAAATCAATTTGCCAGAGCTGAATTGTAATTGAAATTATAATTTAAAAAAAATGTATCCCTTTTTAATTTAAAAATTTTGTAAATATGAAGTTATTTTCCTTAAAAACTACAGTAAGTAGGAGATATACAAATTCAGCCAGTTAGCTAAACTCTTGTCCTTGCTGAATTGCCCTGGTAAAAATCTTTGCTAACTTGGAAAATTCCCCTTATATAAATAGTATTTATGGTATTTCTGACTAGAAAAGAGGGAATATATTCAGAGGTATTTTCGCGAACCGGAATGTATATTACGACAGTCAACCTACGGTCACACTCGAAAATTGTTTGCCCGCGCGAGGTGCTGCGTTTCGTTTCGGCTCGCATCGAAATCACAAAAAATAAGTTATAGCCGCCGGGAAAAATCGCGAAATAATTTTTGATTTTTTGTGGATAAAAAACAAAATTATTGTCAACACATTTTGCTTCACAAACAAACAAGAATAATGTGTGAATGAAACAATAGGCGACAACAACAAATTGTGCCACCCCAGACAGCCAGTGTGCGAGAGCGTGAGAGGTGGTCGTGCATTCCTCTCTAACACACACACACACACTGAAATCGCCGCCGACGACGCGTACGCAACAAACGAAAATAAAACGCAAGCAAAAAGGAGAGAGAAAGAACAAATAACGCCCACCGTAACACCCCCCGCGACTAAGAAGAAGCACAGAAGCTGAAGCAGAGAAATACGAATAAGAAGAGGCAAAAAGCAGACGGCAGAATTGGAGCTTTGCGCAGAAATCGATTTTTTGCCCATTTTAAGAGATTTTCGGTGAACTCTCCCACTGCCGAACATCGTTTATCGCCCCTCCGTGCGTGTATTTGAGTGTGTGCGCGCCTGTATATGTGTTCCAGTGCGAAAGTGAAACAAACAAATACAACAAGAGAGAAAAAAAAGATTAAAATAATATAGTAGAAGTGAGTCAGAAATAACACGAAAAAGAAAAATTAATTCAGCAGCAGCTTTAGCTTTTTAGCTGCTGGCATTGAAGAGGTGCTCTGCCGCAGTCGACGTCTCTGCCGCCGCCCGCAACCACGCGCTCTCTTTGCCTCTCTCACTCTTCCTCTCTTTCTGTGAGCGAAATAACACCACACAAAACACACAAGCAAAAACCAAAAAAAAAAAAAACACATAATAATATTAACCAATAACGCCAGCCAAAGTGCCAGTTAAGTTAAAATTATACACTAAAAGTAAACCAAAAAGAGAGAGCTGCCAGCCGAAAGCGGAAAATCAATAAAAGGTCTCTCGCAAAAGTGGGAAAAACGTGCAAACAAGTTAAAAAGCAAAGCTGCAAAAAAGGAAAAACGGAAAACTCCGCGCGCGTTTACACGTGTAGCTTTTGTGTATGTGTGCGTGTTTAACGTTTAACTGCTAATCGCAAAAACGCAATCTGCAAAAACCGCATAACAAAAGCTTACGTAAAGCTTGGCGAGTAAGAAAACCAACAACAACGAAGCATATAAATCATAAAATAAAAACTCATAAAAACTATAAGCAAACTTTAACTAAAACACCATAGTTCTACGAAACCCCATAGAAAACGAGGATAGTCCCAAAAAATAAAAAATAAACCCTTAAAAAATCGGAAGTAATTAAATTCGTAGAAACCCCTTGAAAAAATCGTATAAAACCTTAACACAAAGATGACTAAAGACAGATTAGCCGCTCTGCATGCCGCCCAATCCGATGATGAGGAGGAGACGGAGGTGGCCGTCAATGTGGATGGCCATGATTCCTACATGGACGACTTCTTCGCCCAGGTGGAGGAGATTCGCGGGATGATCGACAAGGTGCAGGACAATGTCGAGGAGGTGAAGAAGAAGCACTCGGCTATCCTGTCCGCCCCGCAAACGGACGAGAAGACCAAGCAGGAGCTGGAGGATCTGATGGCCGACATTAAGAAGAATGCCAATCGCGTTCGGGGCAAGCTCAAGGGCATCGAGCAGAATATCGAGCAGGAGGAGCAGCAGAATAAGTCGTCGGCGGATCTAAGAATCCGGAAGACGCAACACTCGACGTTGTCTCGGAAATTCGTCGAGGTGATGACCGAATATAATCGCACGCAGACCGATTACCGAGAGCGTTGCAAGGGAAGGATACAGCGTCAGCTGGAGATCACTGGACGGCCGACCAACGATGATGAGCTCGAGAAGATGCTGGAGGAGGGCAACTCATCGGTGTTCACGCAGGGCATCATTATGGAGACACAGCAGGCCAAACAAACGCTGGCGGATATTGAGGCTCGGCATCAGGACATCATGAAGCTTGAGACATCGATTAAGGAGCTGCACGACATGTTCATGGACATGGCCATGCTGGTGGAGTCGCAGGGCGAGATGATCGATCGCATTGAGTACCATGTGGAGCACGCTATGGACTATGTGCAGACGGCAACTCAGGACACCAAGAAGGCGCTCAAGTACCAGAGTAAAGCCCGACGAAAGAAGATCATGATACTGATCTGCCTCACTGTGCTGGGCATCTTAGCGGCCTCATATGTTAGCAGTTATTTCATGTAAATCTCGAATGCAATTACTTACACACCACATTAACAACACTCACACACTCGAATCCTATACACACACATACAGAGAGAGACATACATATAATCTCATAAAGACCCGATCTATATAGGATGTTGCGAAACCCACCCAGAGAAATTGCAGAAGACAAAATCGAAACTTAAACTGTAAGAGACCGCAACCAGTGAACCCCCGATTATAAAACAACAAAAACAACTAAAAAGCACATGAAATTAGGGCTCGATTACACCAATTATAGCTAATATATATAGAGAAACATGTATGGTTAGGAAGAAAGAAGAGTCTCAAGTCCCCAAGAGTCTACCCTTATATACACATGAAACTCAAGTTATAGCTACCAGAATACTTAGTACTTGTAAACAAATTGCTAATTGAAAATTTATAAAACAAAAACTAAAAGGAGAAAACACAGAAAAATAAGAAAACAACAAGACAAGTAATTGCAAACAAAGAAAACATGAAATTTTATTGATTATTGTTATAATGCGAAGCAAAAAAAAGAAAAAAAACGAGAATTATAATATAAAAAAAAAAAAAAGAGAAAGGAACACTCCACTTTCACACACACACAAAGCAAGAACACATATACACTCATTGCAAATGCTTTGCAGGGAAATGGAGAAAGAAATTCTTGTTGATTTCCTCGTTCTCGTTTTCCAACTTTGAAAATGCATTTAGTTTTTGTTTCGTTTAACTAGTTTAGTTCTCCTGTTAAAAACTCACACGTAAAGTAGCCTCATCACCCACACACTCACACCGATGATGATAATGATGAGAAAAAAGATGCAACAAATCTCTAGTTAACTTTTGAATATTTATTATAAAGAAAAGATTGTTTATTATACGAGATAATAACTATATTGACTATTTACTATAATGCTATTTACTTAACATGTTCATATTTATTGAATGCATATAATATATATAAATTATACAAAACACACAGCATATATATTATACAAATATAAAACTAGATAAATAGCTAACTCGGACATTCTCAATGAAGATGATAAAGCGAAAAACAAACGAAATACACACACGAATGCCGAAGCTCTAAAAGTTGAGGAAGTTAATGGAATGCTGACTTTTATGGGGTAAACAATTCAATCACACACACTCACAACTATATACAGCTTCAAATTAATCGGTAAACTGTTAAATTTAAAGTTGATTATTCAGTTTTTTCTGCTTTTCGGTTGCGCAAACAATTGAACAAGTTTTTTTTTTTTAGTTTGACTTCCCTATAAACGAGTTTTTTTTTTTTTGTCGTTTTGCGTTTTGTAATGGCCAGAAAAGTTAACAGAAATTAATGGATTTCGGTTTCAGCTATGATTTCATCCTCTCACACGCTCACCAACACGCCAGTCACACACACTTTTGTTAAATACTTTTCTTCTTTTTGATTAACCTAATTTATTTTTTCTTTCTTTCCTTCCCCACCCACACCACCCTGTCACCTCAAAAAAACTAACAATCGGAATGCAAATTCAAATATATATCTAAACATATATATTCCTCATACATAACCCAAAATATTCTCTGGCATGCGGCTGTAAAAACTCAATTTAACAAAATAAATCAAACCAATAAACTTTTCTGCACTCACAATAATAACAAAAAAAACCAAAAACCCATATAGAATCCAAGCAAGCAAGTAGCATGCTCATCAAGGCCTATAATCTGCATTATCTACACACATTTTGTAGTACAATTCAGACAATGCAAAACCATTACGCTAATTATTAAAACAAAAAACAGATAAACAACAATGAAAAACATAATGTGTATCAGTTTTTGATAAGTATTGTGATTAAGATACACCGAGAAATGCTTTCGCTTTTAAGTAGGAAATGCAAATTTGTTAATGCACCAAAAATATGAACTCACGCGAATTGGTGAATTTCTATTTTAATTACAACACCACCTGCAAATGTCAGAGCTGCATAATGTGCACGTTTTTCTTTAGATATATTCTCAATTTGTTAATTCACCTTTTGATCTTTTGAACGAGCGAAAAACAAAACCGAAAAACTGCAACGACAACAGCAACAATCAGCACGTTTCCACCACAGCAACAACAATAACAGCAAAAAGTCAAGAAAAAACACCCAGTTAATACCGCGTTTAGTGAAAAGAAAATCGAGAAACCGACTTCGTATTATGTCAATCAATCAAACTGCGATTCAATTTCAATCACACTAAAAATGCAATCTAAAAAGCCCGAAAAATAATCAAAATAAACGAATGAAAAGAGGAAAACGCGACTCCGCCTTGCCACGCCCTCGTCTTTTGGAATTTCCAGTCCGGGTTCCAGTTTTCCAATATTCCAGATACAGACCTCCCAGCTTCCAGCGAACCAACAAAAAAAGAAAAGAAAACAGCTGCAATGCTCCAATCCCAAACGCTGAGGTGAGTAATACGCAATAATTATTCAACATTTAGCATTCTTTTTATCGGCAATTCCCGCAATTACTCTCTCTCCATGTTTGTTGTTGTTTCCCTCGTGACTTGTCGCGTTGTCCAGCATTGAAAAATCGCCGAAGGTCGCGTTTCCATGTCCTCGTAAATCCCTTATCCCCCCCTGTAGCTGCCCCTTTTGGAAATTCCGCTCACTTCTATTAATGAATTCGTGCCCTTTGTGTTGTGACATTTCGAGTTTCAAGAGTGCCAAACAGAGGGAGCGCTAAAGAAACGGCCAAACAAGATCTTGGCAAACGAATGAAGCAAAACAAAGAAAAGCTAATTATACCCTCGCATACCCTATAATTGGGTATATTGTGCACGAGAAGGTCAAACTGACTATTTCAGTGTACAGATAAAAATATTCTGTTCAGTCATCGGAACCACTTAGATAAAGATTATTTCAATATATAATGCTTCAGAGATATATATTTTCTGCTTATATATAGCTGATCTTGTATAACAGCAAACGAACTTTTCTTATTAATTCTTATAAATATGCTGAATAAAGCATTTTATAGTCTGTCTTATTTGCCATTTTCAATGAACTTTGCTCTTCTCATCGTTGCTTTCATTTCTATCAGTCGTTCGGCTCTTTTCATCTTGCTATCATTAAAAAAAAAGGTTTAATTAATAGACACTCTCTTTAACTAAATGGGATATGAACAATTGACGAGATAATGAATATTTATAGTGCAATAATTATAAAGAGTTCTCTTCTATACTTAATTACATTATTAGTTGCTTGTTTTGGTATGTGAAATCAAGTGCATGCACTCGATTTGTCATCGATTACGGATGCTGCAGCCAGTATGCCTCATTCGTATATATTTTCTGCAGTTTCGTCATCCTCCCAATGAATTCAAACCAAGTTATGGCACTTATTTTCTCACTTTTTGTGCTTTTATTTGTTACTTATAACAAAAGCATCTTGCCGTTGATGATCTCATACGATACAAATCGAGTCGACTAGCTTTTTCTTGTTTTTTGGGTTGGAGAAACACTTGAAATCGCATGAAGTTTGAAAGCTTATTTAACATGTTTTAAAAATCGTATTTTTTGCGCATGAAACTGCCTTATCAAAAGAATCTTTTGTTGTTTCATTAGCTTATTAAAGTTAACCATTTTCATAGGCACACTTTTCTTGTGTAATATTTTTAAACGATGACCCCAGGGAGAACACGATATCGTGTCAGTTGCGTGTTTAACTCGAAAGCATTGTACATCTGTGAAAGTTTCGTATAATATGGGCCCGTTTATCATGTATCATTTCATTTCATTTTCCCCATCACTTCCTGTCAGCGATTTCTGAATAAGCTGAACGGCGAGTATCGCCCCTCTAATGTGACTCGAACATGCAGAGAGTTCGCGCCTCCCCCGATTCGGAATGTGGGCTTTGAATTGAGTCATCGTTGTCACCCCTCAGCGACCTTAGGCTTTTCTTCCCTTCACCCCCCTAGCGAGTCTCTAATTTATCATAGGCGCATGCACTGATAAAAAGTTTGGTTCTTTGCTGACACCACAAAAGCAGAAGGCTTTGCCTTTTTATCATTATTAATAACAAATTACTTGCATTTGATAAATTTATTCTTTCTGTATACAAAAATATTCCACCCACACTCTTGATGACGCTAAAGGCGATAAACAAATTTATTTACTTTCTCGCCCAATTAGTTATTAAACGGTTTATTTCAGTTGTACAAATATACTAGATGTCGGCGCAGTAAAACCAATGAGTTGTCCTGACCAACTAATGAATCATCACTGCTCTTATCACTTGATAATAGTCTATCAGTTGGCGTAGATAACAAACGTGTGGGCAGTGCTTTATTTTGTTTTCTTGGCTCTCGCTTTTAGCCTTATAAATTGATAGAAAAGACGTCTGAAAATTACGAATGCAATTAAAAGTTCAGCCCTTGAGTGACGACCGTCCCCCCTTCGCCTCATTCTCGTGTAACAAATTCAGTTTTTCAATGTCTTTGCCTTTTTACCTTGTTGTGCTCTATCACATGGCTTTTGTTTGCCTTTTTGTTCTCAAGCCCCCATGTGGTAAAAATGCCCGCAGCAATGTGTTCCCATCTGTGAAAGGCATATAGGGCTGCGGGGTGTTTTTGGATTTGTGGAAGTCAATTAAGAAGAGATCTTCCTGTCTTTTAGCTTTTAACTAAATTTGATTGAAATAAAGAACTATAAAAAGCTGTTAAAAAGGATATCTAAAATCCAAAATTAAGTAAAAAAAGAATTAAAACCACTTAAGAGGTATTTAGTAGACGACTCTAAACATTTTCCCCCATTTATTGTGGCTTTATGTTGGCCTTCTTTTCTGCCAACAGAGTTTGATGACACCACTGCAGTGCCACGCCCCCTTGCAGTACACACTCATACACACACATATATCTGCAAGTCATGAATTCAATTTATATATTTATCTATTTTTTCACTTGTTCCCCGCTTGTATATCTATTTATTTATTTGTCTGTGTCTGTCTATTATTTTGATTGCTTGCCAAATCCAAACAGTCTTTTTTATTTTGCTCGATGTGGGAGTTTTGGGGCTGTCCTCCTTGCCCCTCGTCTCTTTTATTTTTTCGTATCTCAACTTTGTCTTGTGAGTCACAAATCTTGCCGGCTTATGACAACGTTTTTTTTATATTTTGTTGTTAGCTGTCAGCCTACGCTTTGATTTATTGATTCATAAGAAGAGACAGAGAGAGCGAGAGAAGTAATTTCTGCCAACCTAATGAATATCCAGTGAATGTAATATCTATGTGAACTTGAGTCTGAGTGTGTAGGCCACTTTATCTCATCTCGGATGTGCGAAGTTTTTTAGAATCGTCATTGTCGTGTTAACAGTTGAAACTTGTCTGCCAAGATGCTCTGTCGGCGACTTGAAAACTTTTTGATTTCCAGAACTAAAGTTTCGTTTTTCTTAGAAGTCTTCGACCATGCAGGAATTTTCTATGCACAAAAGAAAAGGGAAGCCTGCATCCTGCATCCTGCATTTTCCACATCCGAAGCAGGCAAAATGCTAGGAATTTATCTACAGGAAAGACTTTGGAACATTTTCTTTAATACATATATTTTTCTCTTTGTGTAAGAACGCAAGTTATCTTTGGCATGGATTCATTTTTCCTAAAACCATAGATTTTTATGCCAAAACCAAAAATTGAAGAAAATAAAAGAGGGGCTAAGGTAGAAACTAAGCCTTTAGCTATCGATTTTCATCGTCTCTACAAAACAATTTGTTAATTGAAAACAAATTTCATGGCACGTCAGATGAGTTTCAGAGCTCACAGAGAGGAGGTGTGTTGAGAAGTGGGTCTGTTTGTGGGTGGGTTGAATGGTGGCTTTCAATATGACCCATGAGGGCCATACAAACTGGACAAAAAGCACACATGCACGTCGGTGGGCGTAGATTTTGTTAGGCCAGCAGCAAAATTAATTTAGAGTTTTGTCGTACAACAAATTTCCATGGGCTATAAAATGTATGTGTAATCCCCAAAGGTTATTAAATTTCTACAAAACTTTTTAAAATGCTAAACAAAATCAACTCAATGTTTGGGAGTTATTATTAAAGTATTATTAAAGGAAACAAATTAAGATTATTTTTTAATCTTTAAACTAAATATTAAATTTGTTAGCCAACTCAGATATAATTCCTTATATGCTATAATAAATTTATGTTTGATTACAAACCATTTCCATATCCATTTAGATAAACCTTTAATCAGGCCAACTTAACTCTGATTCGGTCTTAGCCTGAAGGGTATTCAGGCATAAAAGTCCTTTAATACATGTGGCTTGACCCTTTTTTTGGGGGGCTTTCCTTAGCTCTGCGGAAAGAGTTCATTCGCCTACTTTTATGTACTCCCAAAACAACATCAGATACGCCTGGCTCATGACCACACCCACACCCACCTGCCCTCTTTTTTTTGTTGTTGCCAAATTATATGTGTATTTAATGCTGCTGCAGTGGCAAGACAAAAACAACAACAACAACAGTAGCAGCAGAAACATGAAATGAGTTCTGCTGGGCAGTTAACGAGCGGTAGGAAAAAATAAAAATGTGTAGCCCGAGGAAAACCTGACCCAGTAATACGATGTGCGGGTGGTTTGGGGGAGGTTCTCTTAACCACCGAAAGGGTTGAAACCGATTCCCTCCATTTCCAAGGTTGAGCCAGGCTTCTGGCGAATTTTCATATTTTCGCCCTTTTGTTGTTTTTCTTTCCCATCGAAACAGAGAAATGCGAAAAATAAGAAAAGTGAAATTCTCACATTTAAATTCCATGCGCTTCGCTTCATCTCCAATTTCCTTTTTAAGTTGGCCCACAAAGACGAAGAAATGGCAGTTAACCAAGCGTGAGCTGAAAAGAAAAGAAAGAGTGAAAAGGTTGATACCATAAATATTAATGGTTACGTCGAACAGTTTTACCTTTAATTAAATGAACTTCTAGAGCTCCACGGTTACGTCGTTGTGTTCGCTCAGTTGGCTGAAAAACAATTAATTGTGCAATCTGGTTGGGTTTTCACCTTTTCAATGTGTGTTCAAAATAGGTTTAAAAACAAAAGGTTAGAAATGATGTGAATAAATCAAGGCTTATCACAGCTGTTGGTTTCATTTTTTAAACAAATAATTTTTCATTTATATATAAAGTATTTCAAAAAGTTCATAATTTAAAATTGAACAAACTTTTTGTATAATTTAAAGTTCTTCGTAACCAAGGTGAACGGTAACTGAGTTTTGGGTAATTTTATTTGGGCCCTGATTGTCACCTTTTGCCTTCCCCCAAACCACCCACTTCACCGTCTTTCGCCTTCAGTTCTGCCTCTAATTAACTTGTTCACGAAATTCTTCTCGGAAGTGCAAAAATTTGCATCTTCGCAGCTGCCAGCTGAAAAGTACAAAAAGGGAATAAAAGAGGCACAGGAATTGCAATCAACGGAGAGGTG